TATTATTACGAATGAATTATTGATAATGATGCCAACACTTCGGGATGAAACATGAGTGCACAGAAAGCTGAGTAGCCTGAGTTATTATCCAAAAGCAAACACCTGAGAAAGTGATGAAACTTGACGTAGAATATTGAATGTTAATAACTAGAGGTTTTTTAATTTCACAAAACAGTTATAATAGCACTCATACTTTGGATCCGATGTGGACAATATGATATTAAAACTTGGATTTATAAAAAATAAACTTTTTTAGTACAAACTAAAAATGACACATACTCCCTCCGTCCCATTGAATTTTGACAACTTTCCCTTTTTTGTTGTCCCAAAAACTTTGACACTTTCCCATTAAAGTAACTAATTAGTGGTTGTGGTCATTTCTATGTCCTCTGCACATACCTGAATCTCACAATTTTTACTTTTCTTATTTCTCACATAATTCAAAGTGTGCAAAGTCCATTGGGACGGAGGTAATATCTAGGGATGACAATGGGGCGGGTTTGGGACGGGGCTTCACTCTCCCATCCTCCGCCGCGTCGCCCATGCCTCATCCTCGTCCCACCCTGTTGCCACCCACGGGTGCCCGTGGGTGTCCGCATATAGATTTTATTTATCTTATTTGCATATTTTTTAATTCATTATATATATATATATAATATATGTGTGTGTGCGCGTGTGCGTGCGTGTGTGTAGCACTGAAAAAGTTAAACTAGCAGATAACATCGTTTTTGATAAAAGTTATTATCGCCGATTTTTAATAATTTTTCGATTTGACTAAGTTATATGAAGACAATTAAAGTAAAAATATAAGTAAACATATTCTTCCAAATTCCTCATAAATTATAATACAATTATATATACACACACACACACATATACATATGTATGTGTTCTATTTACTAACTTTCTCACTTCTAAAACTCATATAATATTGTGGTATAATATGTATTAATATTATACCAACGTAACAAACTCTAAACTCATATGTCTAAAATAAGTTGGTATAATACATACGTTAGTAACTTTCTCACTTCTAAAACTCATATGTTTAATATTGAAAAAGTAGGACAATCATTACCTAATATTGTGGTATAATATGTATTAATCATTAACCCTGGCTAAAACACATACATGTATGGTATGTCTGTATGTACATGCATGTCTTTCTTATAGATAACATATAATTTAATTAAATACTCCCTTCGTCCCTTAAAGTTTGTCACACTTTCCCAAGACACCTGAGAAAGTGATGAAACTTGACGTAGAATATTGAATGTTAATAACTAGAGGTTTTTTAATTTCACAAAACAGTTATAATAGCACTCATACTTTGGATCCGATGTGGACAATATGATATTAAAACTTTGGATTTATAAAAAATAAACTTTTTTAGTACAAACTAAAAATGACACATACTCCCTCTGTCCCATTGAATTTTGACAACTTTCACTTTTTTGTTGTCCCAAAAACTTTGACACTTTGCCATTAAAGTAACTAATTAGTGGTTGTGGTCATTTCTATGTCCTCTGCACATACCTGAATCTCACAATTTTTACTTTTCTTATTTCTCACATAATTCAAAGTGTGCAAAGTCCATTGGGACGGAGGTAATATCTAGGGATGACAATGGGGCGGGTTTGGGACGGGGCTTCACTCTCCCATCCTCCGCCGCGTCGCCCATGCCTCATCCTCGTCCCACCCTGTTGCCACCCACGGGTGCCCGCGGGTGTACGCATATAGATTTTATTTATCTTATTTGCATATTTTTTAATTCATTATATATATATAATATATGTGTGTGTGTGCGCGTGCGTGTGTAGCACTGAAAGAGTTAAACTAGCAGATAACATCGTTTTTGATAAAAGTTATTATCGCCGATTTTTAATAATTTTTCGATTTGACTAAGTTATATGAAGACAATTAAAGTAAAAATATAAGTAAACATATTCTTCCAAATTCCTCATAAATTATAATACAATTATATATACACACACACACACACATATACATATGTATGTGTTCTATTTACTAACTTTCTCACTTCTAAAACTCATATAATATTGTGGTATAATATGTATTAATATTATACCAACGTAACAAACTCTAAACTCATATGTCTAAAATAAGTTGGTATAATACATACGTTAGTAACTTTCTCACTTCTAAAACTCATATGTTTAATATTGAAAAAGTAGGACAATCATTACCTAATATTGTGGTATAATATGTATTAATCATTAACCCTGGCTAAAACACATACATGTATGGTATGTCTGTATGTACATGCATGTCTTTCTTATAGATAACATATAATTTAATTAAATACTCCCTTCGTCCCTTAAAGTTTGTCACACTTTCCCGAGACACCATGACAAGTCAGAAACAAGTACAGAGTATTATAAATTAATATTATTACGAATGAATTATTGATAATGATGCCAACACTTCGGGATGAAACATGAGTGCACAGAAAGCTGAGTAGCCTGAGTTATTATCCAAAAGCAAACACCTGAGAAAGTGATGAAACTTGACGTAGAATATTGAATGTTAATAACTAGAGGTTTTTCAATTTCACAAAACAGTTATAATAGCACTCATACTTTGGATCCGATGTGGACAATATGATATTAAAACTTGGATTTATAAAAAATAAACTTTTTTAGTACAAACTAAAAATGACACATACTCCCTCCGTCCCATTGAATTTTGACAACTTTCCCTTTTTTGTTGTCCCAATAAACTTTGACACTTTCCCATTAAAGTAACTAATTAGTGGTTGTGGTCATTTCTATGTCCTCTGCACATACCTGAATCTCACAATTTTTACTTTTCTTATTTCTCACATAATTCAAAGTGTGCAAAGTCCATTGGGACGGAGGTAATATCTAGGGATGACAATGGGGCGGGTTTGGGACGGGGCTCCACTCTCCCATCCTCCGCCGCGTCGCCCATGCCTCATCCTCGTCCCACCCTGTTGCCACCCACGGGTGCCCGTGGGTGTCCGCATATAGATTTTATTTATCTTATTTGCATATTTTTTAATTCATTATATATATATATAATATATGTGTGTGCGCGCGTGTGGGTGCGTGTGTGTAGCACTGAAAAAGTTAAACTAGCAGATAACATCGTTTTTGATAAAAGTTATTATCGCCGATTTTTAATAATTTTTCGATTTGACCAAGTTATATGAAGACAATTAAAGTAAAAATATAAGTAAACATATTCTTCCAAATTCCTCATAAATTATAATACAATTATATATATATACACACACACACATATACATATGTATGTGTTCTATTTACTAACTTTCTCACTTCTAAAACTCATATAATATTGTGGTATAATATGTATTAATATTATACCAACGTAACAAACTCTAAACTCATATGTCTAAAATAAGTTGGTATAATACATACGTTAGTAACTTTCTCACTTCTAAAACTCATATGTTTAATATTGAAAAAGTAGGACAATCATTACCTAATATTGTGGTATAATATGTATTAATCATTAACCCTGGCTAAAACACATACATGTATGGTATGTCTGTATGTACATGCATGTCTTTCTTATAGATAACATATAATTTAATTAAATACTCCCTCCGTCCCTTAAAGTTTGTCACACTTTCCCGAGACACCATGACAAGTCAGAAACAAGTGCAGAGTATTATAAATTAATATTATTACGAATGAATTATTGATAATGATGCCAACACTTCGGGATGAAACATGAGTGCACAGAAAGCTGAGTAGCCTGAGTTATTATCCAAAAGCAAACACCTGAGAAAGTGATGAAACTTGACGTAGAATATTGAATGTTAATAACTAGAGGTTTTTTAATTTCACAAAACAGTTATAATAGCACTCATACTTTGGATCCGATGTGGACAATATGATATTAAAACTTTGGATTTATAAAAAATAAACTTTTTTAGTACAAACTAAAAATGACACATACTCCCTCCGTCCCATTGAATTTTGACAACTTTCCCTTTTTTGTTGTCCCAAAAACTTTGACACTTTGCCATTAAAGTAACTAATTAGTGGTTGTGGTCATTTCTATGTCCCCTGCACATACCTGAATCTCACAATTTTTACTTTTCTTATTTCTCACATAATTCAAAGTGTGCAAAGTCCATTGGGACGGAGGTAATATCTAGGGATGACAATGGGGCGGGTTTGGGGCGGGGCTTCACTCTCCCATCCTCCGCCGCGTCGCCCATGCCTCATCCTCGTCCCAACCTGTTGCCACCCACGGGTGCCCGCGGGTGTACGCATATAGATTTTATTTATCTTATTTGCATATTTTTTAATTCATTATATATATATATAATATGTGTGTGTGTGCGCGTGCGTGTGTGTAGCACTGAAAGAGTTAAACTAACAGATAACATCGTTTTTGATAAAAGTTATTATCGCCGATTTTTAATAATTTTTCGATTTGACTAAGTTATATGAAGACAATTAAAGTAAAAATATAAGTAAACATATTCTTCCAAATTCCTCATAAATTATAATACAATTATACACACACACACACACACACACATATACATATGTATGTGTTCTATTTAAACTTTCTCACTTCTAAACCTCATATAATATTTATACCAACGTAAAATGTATATGTGAGAAGTAGGACACTGGCTATTAATATGTAAAATTCTATAATATGTATTAATATTATACCAACGTAACAAACTCTAAACTCATATATACACACACACACTCACAACGTAATATTTTAATATTAATACATATAATATTCAACGAAACGGATGTCCTAAAATGTTTGTCCTACTTTTTCAACTTCCTTATTTGGTAAACAAATCTATACCAACGTAACAAATTGCACGTGAAGTCTAGAGGCTGATTTTTTAGTGATCATGAGCTAAATAGGTTCAGTTAAAAGTTTAGAAGCTCAATGGAGCATACACGCAAGGCTTAAGGGCATACAAATGTAATTTTCTGTAGAAATGTTTATGAGCATACCTTCTGACGTTGCAAGGCCTTTAGCGGGGACAAAGCCCATTTATACAAAGGATCGTGGATGAAGACCTGGAGTGGAAATACATTAACACCAGATAAGCTAATCTTTTTTTCGACCGTTGTGAATGCAAGAGAGAGCATGTGAAGGAGTTATCGCACCTCAACAATTGTGAGCAGTGCTTCTTTGTTTGTGCGCATTACTGAAAGAGTTTCCTCACAACATCTTCTGAAGACCCCTTCCACCCCCGTGATGCCCATACCATCTATTATGTCCCTAGTCAGCCTGAAGGGAACCTACAGAAGTATACTTTTGATTAATCTCCAAAAAAATACGCTATATAACTATATTTACAACAACACCAAGCTTTAGTCCCAAAAGAGTTTGGGGCCGGCTAACATGAATCGACACATGACAATTGAGTTAAAATAAAAGATAGAGAAAAATGAAAACAAACAAAATCAGATCAATCTCCACACATAATCTCCCTCCACTGCGCTCTCTCCAAAGTATCATATCATTCTTGACCACTCTAATACACGTCTGTCTGAGTCAGCCTCTCCCACTCCTCCATGTCTCTTCTCCCAAACACTTAATTCGTCTAACAGGTGCATCACTCAGTCTCCTACACACATGACCATACCACCACATTCGAAACTCTCACATCTTATCTTCAATAGGTGCTACCCCCACCTTTTTTTCTATGTTTTTCATTCTTCAAGCGGTATCCAATACAACATGTGCATCTCAACCACACTCATTTTGCTTCACCGTCCAACACTTTACGTCATACATTAATGCATACACTAATGCACCCCTAATTGATACCAGAGAAAATTTGCCCTTCGGCCTAGATGACATACCCTGACCATACAGAATCCTAACACACTCTTTCATTTCATCCACTCCTAACACATCACACACTCTTCCATTTCACAATCCTTCTGAATTATGGGGCCCGGGTAAGGAAACATATCACCGACCGGGATCTCCTTCCATCCAAGGTAATCCCACAGTTACGATTGTTTCTAACCAACTAAACTTGCACTCCATATACTCAATCTTGCTTTAACCCAGCCCCAAACCCTTGCTCTTTAGGGGGGAAAATGCAAATATAACCCTGAAGTATATGTTGAGTTGAACTTCTTAAAGGTGCAAAAGTACACCCTATGTTCCTATAAAGGAGCAAATTCACCCTTATTGACTTTAAAGAAATAAAATAAAATTAAAAAAACAAAAACAAATTATAAATTGAAATTTCAAAATTGAAAAATAAAAAAATTGAAGAGTTAAAATTATAGATTTATTTTTGTGTTAAAATATTAACTTTTTAATTTTGAATAGAAAAATTGTTATTTTTCCCTTGTAAATGACGCACTTTTTGAAATTACATTCTTTGGTTTTGTTTAAATTTAATAAAATTAAATTCACTATTTTGTAATCTTGGACTATTTATCATCACATAAAATATGTAATTTTATTGTGCAAATAATACAAAAAATTAATGAATTTTTACATTGCGACACATATGTTAACACTTTTCCGGAAAAATCATAAGTATATAGTAAAGTTTTGAAACAATTTTTTATACTAATAATTTAAATTGTGATATACAAATAATAAAAGGGAGAATTGGACACAAGTAGATATTTAATTTTTATTTTTTATTTTTCAATTTTTAAATTTTATTTATTTATTTATTTATTCATTTATTTATTTATTTATTTTATTTATTTATTTATTTCATTATTTATTTATTTATTCATTTATTCATTTAGTATTTATTTATTTATTTATTTAGTTATTTAATTATTTACTTATTTGTTCATTTGTTCATTTGTTCATTTATTCATTTATTTAGTTATTTATTTATTTATTTATTTATTTATTTATTTATTTATTTATTTATTTATTTATTTATTTATTTATTTTTTTAAAGTCAAAAGGGTAAATTTGCTCCCTTATAGGAACACAAGAGGTGTTTTTACCATTTAGAAGTTCAGGCGTATATGTGCACCTCCACATATACTTCACGGGTACATTTGCACCTTTCTCCTATTGAAAAATGATTCAAAGTTTTCAAAAGGATATAACTAAAGTAAACCTCCTATTTTAGCAGAAAAAGAAGTACTCAAGGTAAAATAGACAAACCCTCTCTGGTGTTTTAAGCATGAGGCCTTGCTCAAATGCAACACCAAGATCTATGTGAACAACTTCTGCAGTAGTTTGGTGAATGAGAATGTTCATTAAATGCCGATCTCCGAGTCCAACAATGTAACCCACCTGAATGATAATAAATAGGTCAACATGATATTGGGATGGAGGGAGTACTTCGTCAACAGTCTTATTGGATCATTTTTTAGTTACCTCTCAGAGAACAAAGACAAATTCTATGATTTGGATATTTTTCTATGCCTTTGGAAACTATTAGAGCAGACTCACCATTGAACTAGCAGCCACACTTCTTGTATAAGACAACCTCTTTTCGAACCAGTCAGCTGGATGTAGAAATCTCTCCAAGAAAAAATGATGCATGACAGGCCTAAATGAAGAAAATATGCATTATTGAAATAAGTGAACTTCAAATGGTAAAATTTGCGTGGTACAACAAAGTGAACTTGAAATGATAAAGGCACGGTATGGGAGAACTAATAAACCTATAATTGTCACAGACTTCTTGGAAAGCCTGCCGCTTGTCGGGCATCTGCGCATACACAAACATAGCATATTAGACACCATATAAATTATCCTTAATCGAAAAATACAGGTAAACTGTTGATCTCCCAGAGACAGTTTGATTTAGACCTAGCTACAAAATGCTGCCATCTACTGGAATACCATATACAACACTCAAGGTGAGATACTTGTTAGGAAAGACTTGATTTAAATATAAATAAAGGAGTAAATCCATTGTAAATATAAGGTTGCCTAAAGCACCTTCAAGAACTCCCAAACTTATGTAAAATAGAAGAATGATATAATGTGTTGATATATCAAAGTATTTACAAAAGTATTGCAGCCAACTTTTTGGGTGATATTGGACTTTGCACCCCATTTTCAAAAAACTTTGACTTTGCACCCCATTCACAAATTTTTCTTCACAAAATGTTATGGGTTGGGAGCAAAATCAAAGTTTTTTCAAAATGGGGTGCAAAGTCGAATATCACCCAAAAAGTAGGGTGCGACGTCAAATTCCCCCATGCTAGAAACTACCCAGGCACACTAATTGCAAATGAGACATTAGATCATGTGATAGTCAATCCTATTACCATTAGCAATTTGATATGTTTAGGTAATGAAAAGAAACTACATATGTCCAGCCTAGTGAGGAGCAGCACCACTTTTAAAGTTAGTCATGTACATCTGTTAGGGGCAATACCAATTTTTAAGTTAGATAGATACAACTGTTCACTAATAAGAAGAAGATGACATAGATCCATAAAACAAAGTAACAAGCCAATTAAGCATACAATGGAAGTACAATATACACTTACTTTAGCCATGTAATCTCGACATTTAAGAAATGTCCAGTCTCCCACTCCATAGCGTTTATGGGCACCTCCATCTCTTGTGCTAAAGAAAGTAGTTATGTTAAGCACCAAAATGTCGCGTTATATTAATTTACTTTTGTTATGAAGAATCTGCCGGGAAGATGTACTGACCTCTCTATGAGGTATTCACCAAGCGGGACTGTGCCATTTACCCATTCCAGAACACCGGCACTTGGAGTAAAAGGAACTACCTGTATCATTAGTGGAAAGGTGAAATGCAATTAAATGATTTAACAAACTAAAAATTTCTTTCACGTGAATTATCAACACAACAAACTGGCATAGAGATAACTTGTCCATAATAAAGCAGATCTGCAGATGCACTGAGATGCTTCATTAACAAAGTAGTAGTGTATGTGTGGAACATGCATACATGACTACATGTACGAGATTCCATGTTGGTTGGTCAGAGAGATAAATATGGTTAAACAGAAGAGCAAGACCACATCAATGTTAAAAAAGCTAAATGGAATACAATATCACGTTTAAAAGTTACCCGCTTCAACAAACTTGATTCTAAGGACATGCATATTGTTGAATGTTATGTGTTTACCACGTCTACATAGTATGTTGTATATTTTAAGAGTCTCCTATAATATTGCACTACTCTTATTTGGGACATGAATCATATATACCAGCCATGTCATTGTCTTGTCTGGCTACATATCGTGTGGCCTCACTTGCTCTGAGAGTATCTTGTTAAATAATAAAATCAGTTCTTCAGCACTTGTGATATTAAATAGAAATGTGTGAAATATTAGTTGCTTACGGTTTTACTAAATAGTTAACACAATGTTAGGCGGTTAGCATAGTTATTTCTTTTTCCCATTTTCAAAGGTCTTTCTGTGAAGTGTAATAAATGTAAATGACGTTCTCTTCTGATAGACATATCACCTTGTATGTGTGAATTCTCAATCTCCTTTTCCAGGTGTCTCGATGGTTCTCCAAGAAAGTATTAACTAAACCAAAAAACTGTTCCATTACCTGCATATTTTCCCAACTTTTCAATAAAGATACATGATCAAAATATCTATAGCAAGAAATTGAGACAGAATTAGCAAAAAAGGAAAACATTTAGACATGAGGGAATATGAACCCAAAATTACTACATCGCAAATGGTGAGTCTTGCTTTTAGTAAGATAAGATTATCAAATAAACTGTCAAAAGTGCCCATTAAATAAGAGCCACATTGTCAAATGATTCAATGAAGTAAAAAGTTCATAGTTTTTAGATAAAAAGAATAGACGTTATTTTCGGACAAACAAAAAAGAAAAGTAGGACAAATAATCTGGGATAAATGTAGTACATATTTTTTTAACCTGCTAGGTAAACCAACTAAGTCGGTGGGGCAAACGCCGGGGAACATTTGCCAGGTTTTATAAAAAATGATTAAAAAATACAGAAAGAGATGGGAGTCCAAACCAAAACCTTTTCACAAAAAGAATACATAAATAAAACTTAAGTAATAAGTCGAAAAGAGGGAATGCCAAATAGGTCCAGGAAATAGGCCTGCTTAGCCAGTAAGGGTATCACGTCCGGGTTGGAATAAGTGGTCAGATGGCCCACAAATGCATTTGCCAAATATGCATAATATGTTATGATTCTTATGGATCACAATAACATTGGCACAAGGTATTGGCATATTAAGTACTATTGTAAACAGAAAACGTTAATGTTGTCCATGAATCGATGAAGCTACCACCAAAATCATCAATCCAATGGCTCATACTAAACTTCTTGAACATCATTTGTTCCCTGTCTCATTTTCCAATTGTCACATTTATCCTTAGGAAAATGTAAAAGGAAAACATAAATGTAAGACCAGGTGTGCGTACTACAGATAAAAACCATTCAATACACAAAGAATAAAGGTTGGTAGTCCATACAGCATCCTGCCTCAAGTCATCATTGCCAGATTTAGCTAGTTGCCTGTACTTGTTACCATCAGAGCCAAAGCATTCAACTACTTTAGGAGCATTTACACCATTCATAATGCTGCCATAAGAAGATCTAGTGTATAGGTGTGGCTATAAAAAGACATGAATCTGAAATAATATGGATATCGTATAACAAACACATACGTGACTGAATCTGCCAACCCTTTGAAATGAGGAAATGACAATTCATTGTATAGACAACTATGGTCTATAGGAACATTGGCTGTTATTACAGGAACCTGAAAATCCAAATTTAATCTGTTAGAAATCATAAGGTAAAAGGTCTGTAATCCACAATAATACAGACGAATAAGGGAAAATGTAACTGAGCATGCAAAAAATGTACATGGAGGTACGGAATCACGTATAATTTATAGGAGTGTGTACCAATATTATCATAGGAATTCTCTTATTCCTAAATGCATTTCTTAACTGAGACGTGCCATATTATGATTGATTCTACTTGCCCTAACTTCACAAACACTAAGGGAACCTCACTATTTGCTTCCTAATATCCCATGATTTTTTTAGAATTTTATTTACTGATATATTTTCTACGGTTTTGCATCATTTGCAATGGAGCAAAAGACTCACTTTTTTTTGGCTTGGGAATATGATGGAATAATAATAATAATAATAATAATAATAATAATAATAATAATAATAAACACTCAATCAGATCGGAAATATTCAAATCAGATTAGATCAGAAATATTTAGATAAAATCAAAAGGATTAAGATAAAATAAGAAAGATTCAGATCAAATCAGAAAGATTTAGATCATATCAGATAAGAAAAATTCAGATTAGATTAGAACTTAAAAAATTCAGATCAGTAACATTCAGATTAGGCGAAGAAAACGGATTCTTAGTACAGGGGTTAGGCTGCATACATCCGACCCCCTTACCCCACGGTAGGTGGGAGCCTTTGCGGCACTAGGGTAATGATGATGATGATGAATGATGATGATATATTTTCTATGGGAGATGTTACTATCGTTTTCATATTTGCTATGCTAGCATCCCATTCAACATTACGTAGGGTCTCATATAATTGAACGTTTTCTTGAACATCTCTTTTCCCTCTCTTTTTCTTTCAACATATTCTATGTTATTGCAACAAAGGATATGGAAGAGCTGCTTCAAGGCACATGAAAGCAGTAGGAAAGATATGGACTTACAAGTTCAAGCTCTCGGACACAACGGATATCTCTAGGTAGAAGAACCTTTTTGCTAGTATCCTGCATAGAAAATGTAAAAAGTAGTTTAGAAATGGAAAAGAGAGAGCAACTAAAGACGAAAAAAGAACACAAACAATGTGTTACCTCTCTTTTTGTCTCCATTTCAGCGAGTTTAATGTAAATCTCAACCATTTGCTTCATCTGTCCCAAGTAAAGAGTGACCAGATCATTTCAAGCAAACAAAATATGAAAAAGGTCAAAATGCTGTAATAAAGAAAACCAAAATGTGAATGAGCACTGTAAGTTTTAGGAATAAAACTTCCTTAATATTATTGAGCCATCCGGCCATGGTATATATACATGTTACAGATAAAATCAAGTTGTTACAGATCCTAAAAAATAGGATCTATCTATTCAATCTATTCTGTGAGCTTATCTACTAATTAGAGAGTCCTATCTACTCTAATTCTTATCTACACAGTTCCGGATGTACAAGTAATTAAAATAACAAGAATATGTTACATTTTTCTACACTCCCCCTCAAGTTGGTAAGTATATATCATACATTCCCAACTTGCTTATAAGTAGCTCAAATATAGGTCTAAATAACCCTTTGGTGAAGATATCAGCTGTTTGATCTTTAGTGGATACAAATGGTGTGCAAATGATTCCAGCTTCAATCTTCTCTTTAATGAAATGTCTGTCCACTTCAATGTGCTTAGTTCTATCATGTAGCACAGGGTTATGAGCAATGCTTATAGCAGCTTTATTATCACAATATAACTTCATAGGCAGCTCAATCTCCATCTTTAGTTCTGTGATTACTCGTTTGATCCAGAGTAACTCACATATTCCATTAGCCATAGCTCTGAATTCTGATTCTGCACTACTTCTAGCAACCACATTTTGTTTCTTACTTCTCCAGGTTACTAGATTTCCCCATACATAGGTGCAGTATCCAGAGGTAGATCTCCTATCAAATATTGAGCCAGCATAATCTGCATCAGTAAAAGCTTCAATTTTCCTATTGTTTCCCTTTTTGAAAAACAATCCTTTCCCTGGACAGCTCTTCAGGTATCTTAGAATCCTGTAAGTAGCATCAAGATGTTCTTGGAAAGGATGATGCATAAACTGACTTACCATGCTTACTGCAAATGCAATATTTGGTCTAGTGTGTGCCAGATATATTAATTTTCCTACCAATCTTTGATATTGGTGAATATCAACTGGATTTCCCTCCTTGATATCTCCCAATTTCTGACTTGGGTCAATTGGAGTGTCTGCTGGTTTGCAGGCACTCATTCCAGTTTCCTGTAGAAGATCTAACACATATTTCCTTTGTGAGACAACAATACCCTTCTTTGATCTAGCTATCTCCATTCCTAGGAAAATTTTTAAATTTCCTAGGTCTTTAATCTCAAATTCATGAGCAAGTTTGTCTTTCAATCTTTTAGTCTCTGTGTGATAATTTCCTGTGAGGATAATATCATCTACATAGACAATTAAGATTGCAATCTCCCCCTTACCTGAAAACTTCATGAATAAAGTATGGTCAGCTTGAGCTTGATTAAATCCTTGCTTTTTTATGAACTTTGTGAATCTGTCAAACCAGGCTCTTGGAGACTGTTTAAGTCCATATAAAGCCTTCTCTAATCTGCAAACCTTTAACCCAAACTTATTTTCAAACCCAGGTGGAGGTTCCATGTACACTTCTTCTTCAAGTTTCCCATTTAAAAAAGCATTCTTTACATCCAGTTGTTGTAATGGCCAGTCTAAATTGGCAGCAAGAGATAAAAGAATTCTTACAGTGTTCAACTTTGCAACTGGTGCAAAGGTTTCTTTGTAATCAATTCCATAGGTCTGTGTGTACCCCTTGGCAACTAGTCTTGCCTTATATCTCTCCAAACTTCCATCTGCCTTAAACTTGGGGTTGAAAATCCACCTGCAACCAACTGTAGGTTTATTTTTAGGTAACTCTACAAGCTTCCATGTCTGATTCTTTTCAAGAGCCTCCATCTCCTCCAAAACAGCTTTCTTCCACTCAGGTTTAGATAGGGCATCCTGTATGGTTGTAGGAATAGAAATAGAAGAGATACTGGAAGTAAAGGCTGCAAAGTCTGATGTCAATTTAGAATAAGAAACATAGTTTGAGATGGGGTATTTAACACATGTTCTTCTCTCTTTTCTGAGAGCAATAGGAAGGTCAAAGTTGCTAGAAGTATTACCTTTTTCACTTCCTGACATTGAGGCAGAATCATGGACAGTTGTAGGTTTTTGAACTTCCTCCATTCTTTGATTTCTAACCCTTCTCTCATAAGTTTTTTCAAAGAACTGACTTGTCTGTTGATCCTTTTCAATTGGTTCAGTTGGATTTACTTCATTATTTTTAATTCCTTGATCATTTTCAGGTGTACTGATATTTGAAAAGACATTATCATCCTGATTAATATCAAGAAAATTAAAATTTTCATGAATATTTGGCATTATAGGAACATCTTCACTTAATTTCTCCCCCTGAAGATGAGAATCAAAAAAAGGTTGTTCTTCCATAAAAATAATATCCATAGTAACAACCATTGTTTTGGTTGTAGGATCAAAACATTTATACCCTTTTTGAGTGGCAGAAACACCTAGAAAAACACATTTTTTCCCTCTAGGATCAAACTTACTTGCAGATTTATCTGGATTTTTGATAAACACTGTGCAACCAAAAATTTTTAAAGGAAGGGTGTTTACCAATCTATTTGTAGGAAAGAAGTGTTGTAGTAAACTAATAGGACTTTTAAATCCTAAAATTTTGGATGGCATGCGATTAATTAAATAAGTTGCATGTAACACTGCTTCTCCCCACAAATATTTTGGTATGTTTGTTGAAAACATGATTGCACGAGTGACTTCAAGTAAATGTCTATTTTTTCTTTCTGCAAGTCCATTTTGAGCTGGTGTATTGACACAAGAGCTTTGATGAATAATGCCTTTTTCAGAAAAAAAGTTGTTTAAAGTTTGAGAAAAATATTCACGGCCATTATCACTTCTTACCATTTTAATTTTGGTATTGAATTGAGTTTGGACCATAGCATAAAATGTTCTAAATATTTTCTCAACTTCAGATTTTTCTTTGATTAAAAATACCCATGTGACACGAGTATGATCATCAATAATAGTTACAAACCATCTCTTTCCCTTTAAAGTTGGTATTCTAGATGGACCCCAAATATCACTATGTACCAAGGTAAAAGGGCTAGTAGGTTTATAACTGTGGGGTAAATAAGTGTTTCTGTGATGTTTTGCAAGAGCACACATATCACAATTAAACAAAGCAGCATCTTTATTTAGAAATAATTGAGGAAACATCTTTTTTAAATAATAGAAACTAGGATGTCCTAGTCTATAATGAAGTAAATACAACTCTTTATTATTTGAAAAAGAAACAGTTTGCAAACAAGCATTTCTTAGACCTTTTTTATTAGATTGAGTTTCTCCATCAAAGATATAGAGTCCATCCTCCTCCTTAGCACTGCCAATCATCTTCCCCGATGCTAGGTCCTGAAAAATGCAATGAGAGGGATAAAAAATGACACAACATTGTAGATCTTTAGTTATTTTACTAACTGAAGTAAGATTGCAGGATAGATTAGGGACATGAAGGACTTTGGATAGATTCAGTGATGAAGAAATACTAATATTTCCCATCCCTGCAATGGTTGATAGAGAACCATCTGCAACCTTAACCTTTTTATCTCCTGCACTAGGTTTATATGAAGAAAAAAGGTTTGAAATAGAAGTCATGTGATCAGTAGCCCCTGAGTCAATAATCCAGGTATTTTTAGATTTCCCAGAACAAAAAAATGATGAATAGGTACCATTTTGGGCATAAGAGCAAGAGGAAGATTCTGGTTTGGATTCTTTCTGGGAATTTTGGGTTTTCTGGGAATTAAGGAAGTTAAGAAGTTGCCCTATCTGCACCTGAGTGAATGAAAGTTGATTGAACTTGACTTGTGGTTCTTGTTGAGTCTCAGTCACAGTTGTTTGTAGGGCTCTCTCAGTTTTTTTCTTTCCTGCCCCTGGTGGTTTGCCATGAATTTTCCAACAAGTCTCCCTAGTGTGCCATAATTTCTTGCAATGATCACACCAGGGTTTTTTCTTGTCATCACTCCTAGCCACCATTGCTGAAGAGTCCCCAGATTCCTCATTATGTACTGGAGTGCTGTACATAACCTTCTTCCTGCTATCCTCCATCCTGATTTCAGAAAATACCTCCCTGATAGAGGGTAGAGGTTTTTTTCCAAGTATCCTCCCCTTAATTTCATCTAGGTCCCTATTGATCCCTGCTAGAAACATATAGACCCTATCATTCTCTTCTCTTTTCTTATGTCTGGCCAGATCCTTAGCACTCTCCCACTCTTCATCACCATAGCATTGATCTAATTCTTGCCACAGAGATACCATTTCATTGTAGTATGAAATAATATCCCTATTTCCTTGTTTAGATTGCCACAGTTTGGTTTTGAGTTCAAAAATTTGAGAAGAGTTCTCAAGATCTGAATAAGTTTCCTTAATAGAATCCCATACCTCCTTTGCAGTTTTCATAAACATATGAGGTTTGGCAATTAAGGGCTCCATGGAGTTGAGAAGCCAAGCTGTTATGAGTGAATTCTCTGACCTCCATGTACTGTACCCTTCTTCTGCAGGTAGTTTTGGTTGGATTTCTCCTGTGATGTAACCCAGCTTTCCCCTCCCATCAATTGCAAGTCTGACAGATTGAGACCACTCCAGATAGTTTGTTCCATTCAATCTATGACTAGTGATTATCATAGATGAATGAATAGGAGACTGGTAATTTGTCATAGAGCTAATTTGGGAGTTAGGGTTGATAGTGTGTGAGGAATCAGCCTCACTGGTTTCTACCATTGTTTAAACCGAAGCTCTGATACCATGTAAGTTTTAGGAATAAAACTTCCTTAATATTATTGAGCCATCCGGCCATGGTATATATACATGTTACAGATAAAATCAAGTTGTTACAGATCCTAAAAAATAGGATCTATCTATTCAATCTATTCTGTGAGCTTATCTACTAATTAGAGAGTCCTATCTACTCTAATTCTTATCTACACAGTTCCGGATGTACAAGTAATTAAAATAACAAGAATATGTTACATTTTTCTACAAGCACTATACCTGCCTAAGGGCTGCTCCATGGTAAGAAGAAGATAACTCCTTCAAGATATTCTCGGCTGCAACCTTTTTGTCCATATCAACCACAAAAGAACTTTTCCTATGTTGCTTATCTTTGATGCGGTCACCATTCGATAAAGCTAGCAGCTAAAAACACCAAAAGAACACACTTCAGATATATGACTGCTGAGTAAAATTTGCTTCACCATTATCAATTCCACCATGAATCGTAACTATGCTAGGTTTGGAGAGATGAAATTTGTAGTGTCAATTAACTGTCAATAAATTGTCAGTACTATAAATGCATGAAAAAGCATGGTGTTAAAGTGTTATGCCTGATGGCATTCCTACTGCAACCATTTTCCCAGGAAATATGAGATAAAATTCCAAAACCATCATCAATCCATTGTAGTACATTGTTCTAAACTATAATGGAAAAATAAATGTGACAAAAAGTTGTTATAAGTATGCTTCATTTGAACACATTCATATTGTAAAATCAACCAGCACATTATGGAACACCACTATATGTTTGGTGCAAATGCAAAAAGTATACCAGATTCTTTACCATATATTTACTACTTGAACGGTAAATGAAAATTACACTCCCTCTGTCCCAAAAAAACTTCTGGCTTCCCTTTTATGGGGTTCCCCAAAATAAACTTCTCTTTTCCTTTTATGGAAAGAGTGAAAGACTTTTATTGTTGATATGACTTCTTTGATTTCTAAATAAATCCCAATTCCCAACCATATAATTATGTTTCTTAATCCAAGTGCCAAAAGCAAATGGGAAATTTGCTTTTTGAGACTAAGGGAGTGTCACATATGAAAAGTGGGGCATCATTACTTGTGTACCTGGAATAATGTATGATATGGATGGTCAATAGCCAATTTCTTCACTAGAGAAACCAATGCAAACTGCAGACAAATGACCAGTAAAATGTACTCCTTAAGTTGTATATGCAATGCTATGAGAAAAGCAGGGATTCAGATAGCTTGAACTTTTATTTATACCTGAAAGCTTTGTGGTCCCTGACCATCTTTTACATTGCCCATCCTTGAAGCAATTTGGTAAACCAATGGTAGAAATTTATAAGACTGAACCTGAAAAGAGGAATGCTAATATTGACTGGGCTCAATCGCAAAACAACTAATGAGACCTACACAATTGGTCTACAGCTTTTCAGGGAGATACTGCAATAAAGCGTAATTAAGAAATTACATAGAACAGATACCCAGCCATACCTCTTTAATGGTGCTAAGCATGTTCTCAACAGCAATTGATCTAGCTGACAAACCAAACCACAACGAAACAAGACGAAAAACCTGTACACAAACACATATAATTAATCACCGTCTATGACTTAAATATTAACTTCATATTTTTTTAATTGTTTTTTATTATTAACTTCATAATATATCCATTTCACTACAAATAAAAGCACTCTTCAATTAGTTATGTTTGCATGCAAATTGAGTAGTTTTTGCTTCTTGTATATAGCATGAGTATATAGCAAAGTCTTCCCATCTTAGTGAAATTCTATTTTACTAATGAACCAAAACATCAGAACCTCTGGATTATAAATAGATGACGAGTACTTACCACCCTAACATCATACTTATCTCCAATGACTAAACACCGTTTATATTCATCCAATGCTGTGTTCAAGAAGTTGTCCTTGTCATCCTGAGTAGCAAAGGAAATGTACATAGAAATCAATACTGTTTAGCAGATTGTGCAAGTATATAACAAATGTTAGGCTCAGCAGTCAGCACAAAATATGAATGAGGGAACTGGAATTCGCACCCCACTTTTTTCATCCATATTTGAGTTTGCACCATGTACTTTAAAATCATTAAAATTTGCACCCTAAAGTTAGAAAAATCTGCTAAAAATGGAGTGCAATCTTTAGAAGACAAATCGTGTAATTGTCTATTTACAATTTTTGGGGTGAAAATATAAAGGCTTTCAGAAAATGGGGTGCAAATTCAAATTTGGATATAAAAAAGGTGGGGCACAACCGCACATGCTGAGGCTCAACAGTCTTATTGGAAGATGATGCTTGAAAAAGAGCCATGAACACAACACTATGGCAAATAGTTGGGATATTAGTGGGCTGAATTTTAAAGTCAAGTCCTTCATTAGAAAAATGATGACTTAGAAAATTAATGCCTAAAGTCTTTTTGGAGGCAATAATATCCTAAAAACAAACATTTGAGAGATTGAGCTTAAAGTTTGTCTCACCTGGGAGTGGTATCTGATAGGAATCAGGCCCATTAGGCTAATAATAGAAATAATAACAAGTATACATGTAGTATAAATAGAAGGGGAGGGGAGGAGAAAACGAGGTTGTTTTGGATGTTAGATTGGACTGGGAGATTAGAGATTTATCATCTCTATCTTTGGGACTTCGTTGTGTATGGTTTCCACCATTAATGAAGTTGGATCTTGTTTCTTGAATACTTTTCATTTTTCTCTGTTATACTTACATACCTGCGAGATACTCTATCAGTGGTATCAGAGCACGTCGATCGCTGGATGAGATATACGCGTGCTAAGATGGAAGGGCGTATCACGGAAGTGGAGAGAAACATGATGGAATATAGCAAGAAACCAGAGAGATGATAAGTCTCTTATCATCTCTATGGGAGTTGTTGGATGGAATGATGTTGGGTGTACTCAAAGTGCGGTAGAGGGTGGCATTATTTTACTGAAAAGCATCATGACAGTCAATCATAACTCCAAGGGAGAAAAGTCAAATGGAGTTGAAGCAATTTGTAGTTCAAAAATTTCTGATGAACAGATTAAAAGGGATGAGAATCCTGATGTTGAGGACATACACAAATTCTGCTACTGTTGTAAGGGATATGCCTCAGGAAAGCATGAAGATATTTGTGGCTATTGAAGACCTGAAGTCTAAGGAAGAAAATGAAACTTCACCAGAAATATTCTATGCTGCAGAAACATCTGTGAATTGTAAAAATCAAGTACTGAAGCTCCTTGCTCAGAAACCAGTGAGATATTGGGAAGGTAGAAGCGCCAGGATGAAGAGAAAGCGAAAGATCTTGGTTGTTTCCTATCACCCACCTTGAGGGAAAGGTGGATGTTTAGGGGGGGAGTATTGATAGGAATCAGGCCCATTAGGCTAATAATAGAAATAATAACAAGTATACATGTAGTATAAATAGAAGGGGAGGGGAGGAGAAAAGGAGGCTGTTTTGGATGTTAGATTGGACTGGGAGATTAGAAACTTATCATCTATCTTTGGGACTTCGTTGTGTATGGTTTCCACCATTAATGAAGTTGGATCTTGTTTCTTGAATACTTTTCATTTTTCTCTGTTATACTTACATACCTGCGAGATACTATATCAGTGGTATCAGAGCACGTCGATCGCTATATGAGATATACGTGTGCTAAGATGGAAGGGCGTATGACGGAAGTGGAGAGAAACATGATGGATATAGCAAGAAATCAGATAGATGATAAGTCTCTTATCATCTCTATGGGAGTTGTTGGATGGAATGATATTGGATGTACTCAAAGTGCGGCAGAGGGTGGCATTGTTTTACTGAAAATCATCATGACAGTCAATCATAACTCCAAGGGAGAAAAGTCAAATGGAGTTGAAGCAATTTGAAGTTCAAAAATTTCTGATGAACAGATTAAAAGGGATGAGAATCCTGATGTTGAGGACATAAACACAAATTCTGCTACTGTTGTAAGGGATATGCCTCAGGAAAGCATGAAGATATTTGCGGCTATTGAACACCTGAAGTCTAAGGAAGAAAATGAAACTTCACCAGAAATATTCTATGCTGCAGAAACATCCGTGAATTGTAAAAATTAAGTACTGAAGCTCCTTGCTCAGAAACCAGTGAGATATTGGGAAGGTAGAAGCGCCAGGATGAAGAGAAAGCGGATGATCTTGGTTGTTTCCTATCACCCAACTTGAGGGAAAGGTGGATGTTTAGGGGGGGGGGGAGTATTGATAGGAATCAGGCCCATTAGGCTAATAATAGAAATAATAACAAGTATACATGTAGTATAAATGGAAGGGGAGGGGAGGAGAAAAGGAGGCTGTTTTGGATGTTAGATTGGACTGGGAGATTAGAGACTTATCATCTCTATCTTTGGGACTTCGTTGTGTATGGTTTCCACCACTAATGAACTTGGATCTTGTTTCTTGAATACTTTTCATTTTTCTCTGTTATACTTACATACCTGCGAGATACTCTATCAGTATCATGTACAATACATGTACACTAAGTAATGCTTAAAGAGACTTGATAAAGATGTTGTTTGCGAACTACATTTCATAGCATCATTCATTATAGGGCTGTGAAAGGAATCCTGTTGATGAGACAACATGAGTTGAGATAGCATCTTCCCCAATATCTTCTAGGCATTTTGTAACAGTGTAGTGCGAGCTCTCTCAAAAATGTGTCGATTCTTCTATTTTGCAACTCCATTTTGTTGAGAAGATACTGAGTTACTGACAGAAAGCAAAAAGGATGGAAACTTTTTCTGGAAAAAATCGAGAACTTGGATTATAATGTCCAAAGATAGAGAAGAAAACAGTGCCTCATCATTGCTTTTCATGGCGGCAGACGACGATGAAACGTTCCGGTAAATATCCCCGGAGTGAAATGAGTTTCGTGGTGGGATTACAGGATTAGGTTTCCTCATTAAATCAGACCGTATTAGAGCATTAGCATACTGTTCAGGTGAGATGGTAGTTTTGAGAGCATGTTGAAAAAGAAAGGTTTTGTCACTTAAATACCTAACAAGAAACTATAATATGCCTGCGTACATATAAATATGTCGAGAATACAACATAAATGGGGGAAAAGTCAAAAAACAGGCCAAGCCTGCTGTATGCGAGATGCAGTTGTTGTTTGTGTGTTGAGGCTGCTGGTATGTGTGCTAAATACTGATGTTATTTTTTCCAACAAAATGTCTACATTTTTGCATAACACCCTCCACTATAAATATATGATTAAGAACTAAAAAAATCTGCTATAGAGTTGTGGACTAAAATTTTTGAGTTCTAGTATATTAAGAACTTTAATCATCTATTACCTGAAGCTTTGCAGCTTCTTCGTTGTCCATTGCAACTTGCATTTTTAACTCTCGTATCTTAAGTGAATAGTCTGCCTTTTCACCCTAGGGGATAACAATAGAGAGACATCAAACATTGAAATTAAACTGCAATCTTTTTTCGAAGAAGCAAATTTGTAAACAAGTAGCAAGACTGCGAGAATTAGTGAAGTGTGACGCACTTACCTTTGATGATGTTTCCTGTCGCCTGTTCAGTGCTTCTAGCTCATTTTTCTGAAAATTGAATGTGTAGCGCAGTAATTAGCTTGAACGTGTGTAGCACACGATATACTGTTAGTCTGTGTGACTTCCCCAAAACTCTATCCCATATTCCCATGTGACTTCCTCTACATTAAAGTTGATATTTTCTTTAAATGTATAGCACACAATGTACCTTGTGTTTTCTTAGACGCAATGCTGCTTGCCATTCGCTGGAATTCAGCCTCTCTTCATAACTGCGAAACAGACCATCTGCATAATGTGCAAGATGGAAATGCATTTGGCTCCTTTTTGCAGTGCACTCCTTATCTTTTGCCATGCAATCCTCGGCAAGATTAACAGCATGTTTAAGGTATTTCTCCAATATAGTCCTTGAGCTGCAAGAAATCATTTTGAATAGAGAGAAAACATGAAATCATTATACCATACATTGACATTGATAATGATGAAGAGTTTAAAAATAAAAATTCAGATTAGCAGTGTGATACAAACTGTAAAAAACCATTGGTAAGTACTACTAACTTGCTTGAACGGGTTTCTGCTAGCCACTTTCCGATTAAACGGAAGACATCAGATGCATCCACATTGGACTTGTAGGCCAGAGATATATAAGTTGCAAGGCTGATGGCTGCTTGATGCTGACCCTGAGCACGCAGAAGCTTAGCCTCCTCAATCTGGGGGAAAACGAAAGATTAGCAGCTGAAACAAGACATACTAGGTGTATGAAAACTAGTATTACCTTGTAACAAAACAAAATACCTGTTTAAAAATAAAATGAAAAATTATGCATACCCGTCCAAGCCAGTAAAGTTTAGAGTGCTCTTCTCCCATTTCAGCACAACCCCTCTTAAATTCATGCAAGAGCGAAGTAGCTTGAGAAAATCTAGCACCCTGTGGAAATTGAAAAGTAGTCAGAGCATCATTCAAAGAAAAATGAAATTACAGAATAGCTTACCTTTCGAAGAGTAGATGCAGATTCCAATAGATGTTGTACAGTGCAGTCCTTGCAATTTAAAATCTGAAGTAAAACTCTTCTAAATGCTATAAATGGTTCCAACAAATCCATGTGTAATTGTGATTGTTTTATAGTGTGATTAGAGTCCATAATTAGAGATGATGACTGCATCAATGAAATTCGAAATTAGTTGGTTAGAAAAGCATGATATAATATAACAACCCATGTAGGCAGCAAATTAGAATCTGTTAGCTATTTTAATGTACTCGTATATATACTACGAATTTCTAGCTTTGTACCTTTGTACCTTCTTCTTTCGTTATTTCCTGTTTTGCGTCATTAAATCTTCATTAATATACTACGAATTTCTACTGTGATTGTTCCGCTACCTATCATTGGTATCAAAGCCAACAATCGCAGGACTGTGGATGCCTGTCACTAGATTGCAGATGGAGAGTCGAATCGATAATCTGGAACGTTCGACGAACGAGATACGTGAAGCAATGATGAACTTCATGAGCTAGAATGGACGCAGGCGGACCAGAGGTAGATCACGAACTCCAAGGCAGAGGAGTGCGACGAGGAGCCAGACGTCATCCTTCTCCAGGAGCGATTCAGGTAGTCATCACTCTAGTCCTGATCGGCGTGAGACACAGGGTGATCAGGGAATGATTCGAGTGGGGCGGAAAATCGATTTACCATTATTCAATGGTACGGATGCCTACCGCTGGATCATCAGGGTGGAACGCTTCTTCAAACTTAACCAGATTGAGGAGGGAGACGGTCTCAGTGGTGATGATAGCCATGGAAGAGAGAGCCCTCAACTGGTTCCAGTGGTGGGAAGGGCAAATAAAGAACGCAGTGGGGAATGCTTCAAAGCTGATCCGTCGTTCCCAACCAGAACTCGTACAGAACCCTTTCGGTCCCATGTTCAGTAGCAAACAGACGGGAAGAGTCATGGAGTATCGCAAACAGTTTGAATTGGTGGTTGCACCCACGAGGAACACAGCTGTGGAGATACAACAACAACAACATCCAAGCCTTAATCATCCCAAAAGAATTTGGGGTCGGCTAACATGAATTGATCTATGATATCGATGCCAAAAACAGAAGACGGACAAGAAAGGGAAAAAAAGTAAGATACAATGAATAAAATAAAGATAAATAAATATAAGATCACAATAACACAAGAATATAAGAAAGATAAAAGATAAAAAATAAAAGAGCATAAAAAAGCTAGAAGATAAAAATAACATAAGAATATAAAAAGATAAGGAAGATAAACGTTAAAAGAAAAAGAGAGGAAACGTAGACAAGACATCAATCGTTCACACGAATGTACGCCCTCCACTTTGCTCTCTAAACACAGATGTGGAGATGCTGAAAAGAATTTTCATCAATGGATTAAAAGAGGAGGTGAAAGCTGAGCTGAAACTGTATCCATCCGCTCCTCTATCTGAATTAATGGATCGAGCTCTGCTGATAGAACAGAAAAACACTGCTATAAGATCAGGGTTACATAAGGAAGAGGACAAAAAGTGCTGGAAAGAACAGGGAGGGACTATGTTTAGGCATTTGAACTGGGTGGAAGCAGTTAAGGGAAGAACACCTCCTATTCAGTCATGAACTCCTGAGGGAACACATTCAGAGAACATGCAGACTACTGAGAGAACACATTCAGATTTCAGAGAACAAGCTGGAGGAATTGCCAAAACCGAATAAGACATGGGAGGGAGGCCAAAGGTTGACATAATCAGAGTTAGAAAAAAGAAGTAAACAGGGCTTATGCTTCAAATGTGGAAACAAATGGAGCAAAGAACGTGCTTGTGGAATGAAACATTATCATTTTGTTTGAATGGAAGAGCAAGAAGAACAGTGTTTACATCTTAATGTATGTGAGTTACACCATGAAATAAACCCCTGCTACATCTTTCATTTTTATCATTTGAAAAATAGTGTATGAATATGAAATACAATATACTTATTTTATGTGGATTAATAAAATTTTGTATTAAATTGGCAAAGAAAAAAATTAATTCAGTTATAATTGAATTAGTTCAATATAAAGATAAGTAAAAAATCACAAATAATTAGATATAACTCACCCATAATTACATGTAACTCACGCATAAATGTATGTAACTCGTGTATAACAAGATGTAACTCACACATAATTACATGTAACTCTCGCATAAAAGTATGTAACTCGTGTATAGCAAGATGTAACTCACACATAAGAACATGTAACTCACACATAATAACTTGTAACTGGAGTATAAGATGATGTAACTTCGTATATTATCAAATGTAACTCCAAGCTAGAAGCAAAATAAACAAACTCAATATCTTAAAAATCTCTAAAATCATATAAAAGTGATAAAAAAATATATTATAGAAAAAGTGTATGCATATAAAAATATATTACAAAAAATGTATGAATGTAAAAAATTAAAATTACATAGGAAATATTGGTCTCACTCGAAAGATCATGAAAAATAAAAAATTTTGATATAATTTTTATAAAAATCAGATCAAAAATAAAAAAATTATTAACAATTTTAAGAAAAGGAGAAATAGAAAACAACAAAGGGTGCATGGTGCTCACCATGCACCGATCCCACGGTATAAGCACGGGTTGTTTCGTATTTCCGCTGCCTACCTTGGGAAGTTGCTACTGCTATTTCCGTATGATGCCTTGGGAAGTATTTCCGTATGTCTGCACTGCTCTATTAATTAATTACTGGTGCACTATTTGATGTTTAATTACTATTGTACTACTTCAGATTGAAATTGTTTCTGTTATCCTTAAAAAAAGACAAAAAAAATAAAGAAAGGAAAAATGTCAAGTTTCTCTTCATTTGCTTCAGTTCCAATCATCACCACCGATCGACTAGCTGGAAGTATTAATTATCAATCATGAGCTATTTCTGTGGAGATGTGGTTCAAAGGTCAAGGTCAAATTGATCACTTGAATGTCGATGCAAATACGATCAAAGACAAGCGGAATGAATGGGAGAATATGGATGCCTTATTGTGTAACGTGTTATGGCAATCTATGGATCCAAAACTTCATCCTACCTATCAATCATACCGCACTTGCAAACAGATTTGGGAAAAAGCTAAAGCCAACTACACAAATGACATCCAAAATCTGTTTTCTTTTGGTTCCAAAATTGCTACGCTCAAACAACATGATTTGGACGTTCAAGAATTTCTAGGACGGGCTGAGGCATTACTGTTTGAATATAATAATATTCAACCTATCCCTGAAGATAAGGAGAAACAACTCGAGCAAAAACAACAACTTGTTATGGTTTTAACCTTAGCAGGTCTTCGCCCAGAGTTGTTATTAACACGTGAGCAAATTCTCTCCAGGTCTTCTGTTCCTACAATGTCTGAAGCCTTTGCCAGAATTCTTTGAGCCGCCCCAATATCTGTTGACGCATCCTCAAGTGATTCTATCATTCTTGCATCTCAAGGTTCAGGGCATGATGGGGAAATCAAAAAGGATATCCACGACGTAATCGCCCAAAGTGTGATTTTTGTCATAGGATGGGTCATACTAAAGATAGGTGTTGGAAGTTACATGGTAAACCTTCTAGCTCTGCCAATGTTGCTCAAATCCCGCAAGTTCCAGTTGTGCTGCCTCCAGACGAATATGAGGCTTATCAGAAATTTAAGAAGTCCACTCTGACTTCATCAACATCAGGTAATTCTAAAGCATGTGTGTCAAACACAACTGGCTCGTGGATCATTGACTCAGGTGCTTCCGACCATATTTCTGGTAATCCCCATCTTTTATCCCATATTACCAAACACCAAAACCTTCCATTGATCACCCTAGCCAATGGTCTTCAGACCTCGGCTACGGGTATTGGGCAAGCACTCCCACTTTCATCCTTACCATTAGATTCAGTTTTATATGTTCCTCACAGCCCTTTTAACCTTGTCCCTGTTAGCAAAATTACACGCTCTCTTAATTGTTCTATAACTTTTTATGCTGACTCTGTGACTGTGCAGGACCGTTGTACGAGGAAGATGATTGGCATCGGGCGTGAATCTCAAGGCTTGTATCACCTCCAACCTCTTGATCCACTGAACCAACACTTTCCTTGCACAATCGTTTGGGTCATCCCAGTCTCTCCAAATTTCGACGTATGGTCCCAAGTTTCTCAAGTATTTCCTCTTAAGATTGTAAGTCGTGTCATCTTGGAAAGCAACCTCGTCAGTCCTTTCCAAGACGTGTCAATAACAGGGCTGCGTCCCCTTTTGATTTAGTTCATACAGATGTATGGGGTCCGTATCGAGTCAATTCTACCCTAGGATTTCGTTATTTTGTCATTTTTGTGGATGACTTCTCCTGTCACACGTGGTTGTTTTTAATGAAAGAACGTCTTGAATTGTTTCATATCTTTTCAAAAGTTTTGGGCTGAAATTCACACCCAATTTGGTCGTTCTATCAAGATTCTACGTAGTGATAATGCTAAAGAATTTTTTACCACTCCCTTTAATCAATTCATGACATCGCGAGGTATGCTTCATAAGTCTTCTTGTGTTTATACACCTCAACAAAATGGGGTTGCTGAACGCAAGAATTGACATTTAATTGAAACTGCCCGTACTATGTTGTTACATTCACATTCACCGCCTCAGTATTAGGCAGATGCCGTTCTCACTGCATGTCATCTCATTAACAAAATGCCTTCTTCGGTTCTTGGTAATGTTATTCCCCATTCCGTTTTGTTTCCATCTCAGGCACTGTTTCCATTACCACCTCATGTGTTTGGGTGTGTTTGCTTTGTCCATAATACCACACCAGGAATATCCAAAATGTCTGCTAGGTCAATCAAATGTATCTTCCTTGGATACTCCCGTCTTCAAAAGGGGTATCGTTGTTATTGCCCAATCCTTAGAAAACATTTTGTGTCCGCTGACGTCACTTTCCTTGAGTCCTCATTTTATTACCCATCTCCGCTCCATGATACCCCCTCATGTGTCGACTTTCTCCCATATCTCAGACCCATCTCCACCCCCCTTATCGATGCTCCTATCAACCCACGTCCACCATTAACACGTCCTTTACAAGTGTATCAACGACGCCCTCGCCCTCGCCCTCCACCCAATGAGTCCTCTGAGGGACTCAGGTCAAGCCTGTTGATTCCCCTACTCTGGATCCCACACAAGCACAGACAGCTACCCAAGTGCCAGAGAACAATCATGATGATTTGCCCATCGCCCTCCGCAAAGGTACACACTCAACTTTGAATCCTCATCCCATTTATAACTTTTTAAGTTTTCATCGTCTCTCCACCACTTACTTTGCCTTCACTTCACATTTATTTGATGTTTGTATTCCTAAAACCACACATGAGGCATTATCACACCCAAAGTAGCGTCGAGCTATGTTAGCTGAAATGGAGGCCTTACATTCTAATGGGACATGGGACTTAGTTCCCCTTCCTATTGGAAAATCAGTTGTTGGGTGCCGCTGGATATACACCGTCAAAGTAAGACCAGATGGAAACATTGATCGTCTTAAAGCACGTCTAGTTGCAAAGGGGTATACACAAATCTATGGATTAGACTAAATCGACATATTTTCTCCAGTTGCAAAAATTGCATCTGTTCGTCTGATGTTATCCATGGCAGCAATGAGCCACTGGCCATTTTTTCAATTGGATATAAAAATGCATTTCTCCATGGTGATTTACATGAGGAGGTTTATATGGAGCAACCACCTGGTTTTGTTGCTCAGGGGGAGTCTGGTTTGGTTTGCAGATTACGTCGTTCTTTATATGGCTTGAAACAATCCCCGCGTGCATGGTTTGGGAGATTTAGTGTTGTTGTTCGTGGTTTTGGCATGACTCGGAGTGATGTAGATCATTGCATATTCTATAGACATTCTGCAAGCAATAAATGTATATTTCTTGTTGTATATGTTGATGACATTGTCATTACAGGTAATGATGACTAAGGAATTGCCCAACTCAAGGAATATCTTTTTAGCAAATTTCAAACAAAAGACTTGGGAAAACTAAAGTACTTTCTTGGTATTGAGGTTGCCCAATCAATAAATGGAATTGTGCACTCATAGAGGAAATATGCATCGGATATTCTTGAGGAAGCAGGGATGTTGGATTGTAGGCCAGTGGACACATCAATGGATCCAAACGTCAAACTCGTGTCAGAACAAGGTGACCTTCTGCCCAATAAAGAGAGATATAAAAGGCTTATTGGAAAGTTGAACTATCTTACCATCACAAAACCAGATATTTCATTTGCTGTCAGTGTGCTTAGTCAATTTCTTGATAAGCCATGTGATGGACATTGGGACGCAACTATCCAAGTCTTGAGATACATCAAGAAAACTCCAGGACAAGGATTATTCTTTGAAGATCGAGGGCACCATGACATTGTTGGATAGTGTGATGCAGATTGGGCTGGATGTCCAATGGATAGACGTTCTACTTCTGGATATTGCATTTTGATTGGTGGAAATTTGATTTCTTGGAAAAGTAAGAAACATGATGTGATTGCCAGGTCTAGTGCAGAAGCAGAGTACCGTGCAATGGCCCTTGCTTCATGTGAGATATTATGGTTGAAGCATCTCCTCCAAGAATTGAAATACGGAAGCATGAAACCCGCCAAGCTAATGTGTGATAATCAAGCTACAATGCACATTGCTTCCAATCCAGTGTATCATGAGAGGACTAAACACATTGAAGTTGATTGTCACTTTATTCAAGAAAAAATCACAAATGGACATATTACTACTCATTATGTCAAAACAACAGATCAACTTGCAGATGTTTTAACCAAGTCTCTGAGAGGACCTAGGATGCAATATATTTGTAACAACTTGGTGCATATAATTTATATGCTCCAGTTTGAGGGGGAGTGTTGAAACCCTAGTTCTATTGGGCTTAGCCCGTCTCGTATAGTAACCTTAGTGCTCTAGTTTTAGCTATACATATAGCTACTTGTATAGTTCTTTACATCAAGATTCATTACAATGAAATACGGTTTATATAGTTTACAACGTCATTAAATCTTCATTAATATACTACAAATTTCTACAATGATTGTTCCGCTACCTATTAGGAAGTTGGCTATTTTAATGTACTCGTATATATCTAATCTCATGTAATTAGATAACTGTTGCACTAAGTCAGAGTGGTTTTTAGGATCTAGTTTGTTAGTGATGTATTATATTTTGAATGATGTTCCATTAATGAAATCATCCATTCCGCCCAGATCTGTTTCACTCACAGAATCTCCCTGATGAGAAAAACAAACCTTCAGCTAGGGAAGTATAAAATGATACTCCCTCGATCCCTTAAAACTTTGTCAAGTTTGACCGGCACGGGGATTTATAAAGTAAAAACTGTGTGGTTGAGGTTTGTGCAGAGGAGAGAGAAATTAACTGGAAACCACAATTTTTTTACTTAAAAGGGAAAGTGGCAAAGTTAGTGGGACAACCAATAAAGGAAACTTGGGAAAGTTTTAAGGGACGGAGGGAGTATTTATATGAATCATTGAGCATGAACATTCAGCATTGTCAAGAATCATTAATTCAGAAACTTAGGGAGAAGGCGCACTGAATATCGAATATAATACCTGGACACTTGATGGGACTACAGGTTCTGATAACAAGGTCTTTATCCCTGAAAAAGAATCCATGTATTTATTTGATGAAGGCCAACGCAGATCCCATGCCATCCCAAGATGATAAAATATCTGCTAGTAACAACAAAAGAACATCCTTATCAAGTTTGTGTATTCAATTGTACTATAGGAATTTGTGGCTATATATCAAACGATGGAGTGCCTAATTTACAAAATTATATACCTGGAGTTTAACAATTGTTAGATAAATGTACTTTGTGCTCTCCTCACTTGCATGAAAAATAGAGAGCAAAAGCACCTACATACACATCAAGGGTTAGCTTCATAGTAATACAACACAAGCGTATAAATGTCCATCAACAGTTGATATTTATTGCGATTAAAATATTTTTGTATTTTTTGTGTGAAATAGATCTGTATTATTCTATTATTATTATAGATATAAAATAATGTCTAGGATCCATTTACGTATTGTAGGCCATGCAAACACATGTGCATGTTTTCTCTCTTCTCTAATATGGGCAGCCCCTTGTAGTATAATATATTTAGCTACGGATGTAATATGTAAGATAAGAATCTCAACAATGATCTTCTATTAGTTTTCTTCTTCCGGTATTGAGATTTTCTTCTTCATATATTGAGTATTAATTTTACCATGGTATCAAAGCCGAAATTATGGAAATAACCTTTCCCACTTCTTCATTATTTTGCTAAGATATGGCGGTTGGTGATATATTCATTAAAGCCAGCCATAATACTATGAGTTCTTTTTCTGGTGCTCAAGTGAATATGGTAGATATGTTGCCACATGTAGTAATATTAATCTTTTTAATAACATGAATCACATGCCGGAGCCATCGGTGAGAATTCCTAACTGTGAATCTATTTCGGTTCATGACGTCGGTAGTTTATACTTACCCAATGGGCTTCATCTTAACGTGTTCTATACATTTTGAAATTCTAATGCAACTTACTTTCAGTTAGTCTCGCTTGACAAGCGATCCAAATTGTATACTTAAATTTTTCCCGGACTTTTGTATTTTCTACCGTCAATCAAATAGTTGACATAATTACATAAGCACTTGGCGGTGAGCGCTTTCAGTTTCTAACTTTCTACGGAGCAAGTTGGGTGTTCAAAACCTCCACACTCCACCTTGGGGGGGGGGGGGGGGTATTGAGATTAAAATATTTTTGTATTGTTCTATTATTTTTAGACATGTAATAATGTCTAGGATCCACTTACGTATTGTAGGCCATGCAAACACATGCACATGTCTTCTCTCTTCTCTAATATGGGCAGCCCCTTGTCGTGTGTGTGTGTGTGTGTATGCAGCTACGGATGTAATGTGTAAGATAAGAATCTCAATTCTAAACAATGATCTTCTATTAGTTTTCTTCTTCCGATATTATGATTTCCTTCTTCATATATTAGGATTTTTTTATCAATATTGAACAGTGCATGACAAAAAATACCTGCTTTGAGTCTCTCAGTCTACTGTGAAATTCACCCAAATCCCCTTCTTGTAACGCCCGCAAACAGCTGTATCACACAAGAGATTGTGTTGTAACATCATATAAAACATGTGTATCAGGTAACTAGTGTCTAGATTTCAATTTGCATATACTCCCTTTGTTCTTCAATACTTGGCACACTAGGTATTCCACGAACTTTAATAAAAATATCAGGGGATACTAATTAGGGTAGAATAAATATGATAAAAAGGAGAAAAAATACGAAAGAATAAAAGAAAACGTAGAAAAAGTAGGACTGACAAAAAGATTGTGGAAAAAGTAGGAAAGAGAAGAACAAATGGTGAAAATAGTAGGAAAGAGAATATGAAAAAGCAGGATAAAAGTTTCAAAATATGGAAACGGGCCGAATAATAAAAAACTTCTCAAAAAGGAATAACTATTGAAGAACAGGTGGAGTATATATTTTGTGCACCAATATGTATCGTTTTCACAATCGCACTAGAAGTACCATTCTTAACGAAACCACACCGCATATACACACATACAACACACACACACACACACACACACACACACATATATATATATATATATATATATATACCAGGTCATGCCAGTAAGATGAGGCGAGGCGCCAACCGACCACCTCATTTCTTAGGCGACAATTAAATGACTACTCACAACACCATATGTAATATCTAAATACATTAAATAATGGTACAAAATAAAGTACATATTACCTAGAATTGAAACCAAGAATTCATAATTCAAAACAAGGTTTATTTATTCAAAACAAGCGTACAAATATTCATCTCAAATAAGCAAGAGAATGCATTTAGTGCGACAAGCTCCGGAGAACAAGGGTTTTAGACTGAGTCGAAGCAAGATAGAGTACATGCAGTGAATGTTTAGTGGAGGTAGAAACAATGGTAACAATGGAATTACTTTAGATGGTAAGGAGTACTGATCAGTGCTATGTTCTGTTATTTGGGCTCCATGATTTAGAAGGACGGTGAACTAGATAGTGATGTATCTCGTAGAATCACAATAAGGTAAATGAAATGGAAGAGAGCGTCAAAACTTCTATGTGATCGAGGTATGCCGACTAGACTGAAGGGTAAGTTTTATCGAATAGCAATTAGGTTTGCTTATTACTGTATGACGTAGATGTTGGGCGGTGAAATAATGTCACATTCAAAGGATGAGCATCACTGAGATCATGCTTGTCACGACGTCGCCTAGTCGCCGACTAGGCATCCAGGCACTAGGGAGTGCACACCGGGTAACCTCACCTTGACAAAGTTGAGGTTGGCATCATCTAGGCGTCGTCCAAGTGTGAAGTTGGCGACAAGTTGCCGCCTACTTTTGCCCAATCAAAATCCGTTCGTAATCCACAAACCCTAAAATGACTAGATTAAGGTTTAATTTTTTTAGAAAACTCATTTAATTAAGGATTTAAGCCTTTAGGCTCTTAATTTAAACAAAGCCCAAATATAACTCAAGAAGCAGAGTCGTAGAGAACAACTCACAGGACGACATGCAGCGACGAGCCGTAGAACTTCAGGACACTGAAGAAGTCGCCGGTCTCGCCCGTCGCCATCCCCCATCCCGTCGTTGAAGGCTTCAAGCAGACGACCAGAAACAGGTCCATCGATCTCTTATTCTCTTCTCATGTAGCAGTGTAGTGGATTTAGTTTTTTAATATGTTAATTAATTAAGTGGTATATATAATTATATATATGTGTGTATATCCATATATGAGCATATTTATACTATACTGTGTATTATATAAAAAGGTGAACATGGTGAAATAGACTATTAAACCATTAATTTATTATACTGGTGATATATTGATATGCTCGTATTAGACTATTAGTTTAATAATCAACAATAAAACCACTAATTTATTATTTATACTATTAGTGCATCAAAAATGCATTTCTGCATGGTGATTTTAAGGAGAAAGTTTAAATAGAGCAACTTCTAAAAGTCATTGCTCAAGGGTAAGTATGGGAGAGTTTTTGGACTTCACAAGTAATCTTTATGGTCTAAAACAAAGTGCATGGTTTGGGAAGTTCAATCAACCAATTGAATGATTTGGAATGACAAAAGGATAGTCAAAAGAAGGTATTACATTACTTGTGGCGTTTGTAAACAATATTGTGATTATAGGGAATGAAATTGCTGTTATTTTAGCCATTACGACTTTTCTTCATAACCAATTCAAGATGAATTTTTTTGGCTCATTGAAATATTTCTTTGCTGAAATAGAGGTTAGGGAGAAAAGCCAATCAATACTCCCATTAATCCCAATGTGCAACTCACTCAAGAAGGCCTGACATTTGAAGATCTAGAAAGATATAGAATATTGGTTGGAAGCAGAATTATCTCCCAATTACTCGTCCAAATATTGGTTACTCTATTGAGTCGATATATGGAACCGGGATCATTGGAATTTCGATCATTGGACTTTTGTAAAAGTTATATTAATTTACTTAAGGGGAGCACCACGATGTAGTATTGATGTTGAACATAATGTTTTGTAGATGTTGATCGGGATGTATCTAAAGATAATAGATCTACCACTGTCTATTGTGCCTTTGTTGGTGGTAATTTAGTATTCTGGAAAAATAAGAAGCATAACGTGGTTTCCCATTCTAGTGTCGAATAAGAATATCGAGCTCACATTGTCTGTGTGTGAGATAATAAGAATAAACCATTTATTGAGTGAAATCGGATTGAAGACATCCATGTCTACTAAGTTGTGGTGCGATAACCCGACCATTATACACATATTGAGGTGGATAGTCATTTTATTCGAGAGATGATATATACGAAGGATTAATTTCTACGGGATATGTGAAGATGAAGAACAACTCACACATTTACTCACCAAAGAACTAAATGGATTCAAGTTGCTTATTCAAGTAATAAGTTGGGTATGATAAATATAAAGGCTCCAACTTACAGGGGAGTATGAAGTATATTAGAACTGTTTAGGAATATGTTTTTGAATATTTTTTGGATATATACCCTATGATATTATCGTGTAGTAGAATCTTACAAGAATATTCTATCGTTGTGATGTATATAGGGACTTAAATCCTGCAGTAGAAATACAAAAATTTCTTCAATTCTCAGTAAGGTTGACTGTCAATTTATCTGAGAAAAGACACAAAACAACTATCAGACTCATTTACTAAATTGGGGTTGTGTTGATAATCTGTGTTAACAAGTTGGGTGTGATAAATATATATGTTTCAACCTGAGGGGAATGTCAAGAATATTTTTTAGGTGTTTAAAATATTCTACGAATATTTGAGGAATACGCTTTGCTTCTAGAACAGTAGAACCTTTTCTAAGTATGATATTCTTGTATAGGAACTTAAATTCTGTAATATGAATATACAAATTCTTTTTGTGTTCTATTGTTATATTTCAATAATATATTACTCTTCCATCTTAACAGTTATATAGCATATATATGAAAGAATATTTGTACGTATATCCTGTATTATTGATATTTACTTGTTACCCTCACATTTTGTATATGAACTTTGTTAGCACCATTTCCCGTTTTCTGTTCGGAATTCAAGCCTTTAGTATGAAAAGACACGGGATTGCAGATTCCCAGCAAAACGACAAACCCAAAACCTATATTCTATGTGGTTTGAAAATATAGACAAATTTAAGGACATACTATATTTGAGCCAAACCCACTACATCTAAGGTTCACATGTTAGGGATTGTAACGCCCCAGCAGGACTATATACCTGTACAAGTTTTCATTGAAATGGTCACCCTTGATGTCAGTGTCATGAACTGAAAGTAAAGCATCGGATCCCCCATAGAGTACAGAGAAATCCCAATTTCCTGCACGCCAAGCTGCTTCGTACTGCATATCGTTGACAACGACCTTATGAATAGAATAAGAATAATAATAATAAAAATGACAAGATTCCACTACAAGGTTGGGAAACCTGCAATTCAATAAATTCTGGATCAAGATCAAACTGGGCTTTTTGAGAAGTCAACCACTGGCAACACACATCCAAGAGATGAGTGCAACCAATTTGCTGCAACGATCGAATTAACCCTTTAAGGGGTTTTCCGTGCATTAACTCATCAGATCTGGAATACATGTTAACTGCTGCTTGAGACTTTTTGGCATAAATACTCTCCACCATCGGCTCTGCTAGTTGAGATCTAATTTGTAAGTCATAGTACTCAAGGGCCTTGCTCCAATTCCCTTCATGCTCACATGTAAGTATTTGAGAGGACAACTATCAAGAACAAATTGAAAAAAACACAACCATCAAAACTGAAAAGAAGAAAGTTGAACTGAAAATTTTATAGTTGGGATAATCTCAAAAACTTTTTGCGCCAAGACAAACTGTTTACTTCTGAGGACTAAGACTATGACATCACCAGAGAATGTATAGGATCAGCGAACAATGCATCCTTTAACAATTATCTTCATAGTGAACAGATCTATTATGACTAACCTTATTAAATTGGATGATCCCATAGAGACTGTCAGGCTCATTTATTTGGGTAACTGCAGAGACTAGAATGTCAATGTGTTCTGGAAGCTGAAACCAAAGACAAAAAAAAAAGCTCTACTTTGAAAACCATTAGTTTTGCACTTGAGGACTTGATATAGTAAAGTCAATTTTGATATTGCGATTTCAGGAAATGTTATACAAACATTAGCAGTAAAAAACCACAAACTTAACCATGAAAAAGTCAAATCACATGTGCATATTACAAACTCACATTTTCAAGATGAAAGAAGTCGGGATCTCCCAGAGTAAGGCAGCTAAATCTTTCCTCACACCAGTACTCCACATACAGAAGCGCAGTAAAGTAAGCACCAGAAGTCTGAAATTTGATTTAATAATGCTCACGATAATGTGTTGAACAATAATAAATCATTGGCATTCTGATAGACTAGGACTACGCTGAAAAAAGCACACATTTAATGCTATGAAAGCATGTAGATGTGCGGAATCAAGAAATAGAGGGAACAAGTGACAGAACACACACAAATATCCGCCAAAACAAGGAGATAATATGGATCAAAATCACATAAAAGAGTATTAAATCCAAAATGTATATCAGAAAAGTGAATAGGGAAGAAGAACAAAGTCCAGGCAATTTGAGAGTGTCGTGCTCTAAGTCCACAACTGAATAACAGCCTAATCCTCTCTCCTCAGGTCTCCCTAGCTATTCCCTTTACAGTCTCCAAGAGCCTGGTTTGATAGGTTCACAAAGCTCATTAAAAGGCAAGGGTTCAAGCAGGCTCAAGCTGATCATACACTATTCATGAAGTTTTCAGGCAAGGGGGAGATTGCAATATTAATTGTTTATGTAGATGATATTATCCTCACAGGAAATTATCATACAGAAACTAAGAACTTAAAGGAAAAGCTTGCCCATGAATTTGAGGTCAAGGATCTTGGAGAATTAAAATACTTTCTGGGAATGGAGATTGCCAGATCAAAGAAGGGAATTGTTGTCTCACAAAGAAAATATATTTTAGATCTTTTGCAGGAAAGTGGAAAGAGTGGATGCAAACCGGCTGACACTCCAATTGACCCCAGTCAGAAGTTGGGAGATGTCAAAGAGGGAATTCTAGTTGATATTCATCAATACCAAAGACTGGTGGGAAGGTTAATATATCTGACACATACAAGGCCAGATATTGCATTTGCAGTTAGTATTGTGAGCCAATTTATGCATCATCCTTTCCAGGAACATCTTGATGCTACTTACAGGATTCTAAGGTACCTGAAGAGCTGCCCAGGGAAAGGAAAGGACTGTTTTTCAAAAAGGGAAACAGTAAGACAATTGAGGCATTCACTAATGCAGATTATGCTGGTTCAATATCTGATAGAAGGTCTACTTCTGGATATTGTACCTATGTATGGGGAAATCTAGTGACTTGGAGAAGAAAGAAACAAAATGTGGTTGCTAGAAGTAGTGCAGAATCAGAATTCAGATATATGGCTAATGGAATATGTGAATTACTCTGGATCAAGAGAGTAATCACAGAACTGAAGATGGAGATAGAACTGCCTATGAAGTTGTATTGTGATAAGAAGTCAGCTATTAGCATTGCTCATAATCCTGTGCTACATGATAGAACTAAGCGCATTGAAGTGGACAAACATTTCATGAAGGAGAAGATTGAAGCTGGAATTGTGTGCACACCTTTTGTATCTAATAGAGTTTAGAATAAGAAGGATTTGAGACTGGAAAGCTTGATTTATTCCATGAGATGAATGGCTATTTATACAATATTCTAGGGATCAATAATGTAGGTTACTAATTATAATATTAAATACAAATATTTTGTAACTGACAACTCTAATTAATTGTGTAACTGATGTCTAGACTTTTCTTTGTCTAGACTCTTCTATATGCCCCCGCAAGCCAGGTATTCTATCAGTGCTAAGAATCCTGAGTTTGTCACGTAGAAGAACAAATCACTGTCGTGAAAGTGGCTTGGTGAAAATGTCAGCTAGTTGATCATGAGAGGGGATATGAAGAACTCGAAGAAGGCCACGTTGCACACATTGACGAACAAAATGGAAATCAATGGTAACATATTTATTCGGGAATGGAATACCGGATTGGCAGAAGAGGTGGTAGTGCCTTTATTATCACATAAAACTGGAAGAGAAGAAGGGGAATGTCGAAGCTCATGAAGAAGTGACTCAATCCAAAGAGTTTCAGATGCAGTAGTGGATAGGGCCCGATACTCTGCTTCGGTAGAGGATTTGGCAATTGTGCGTTGCTTGGAGGACTTCCATGAAATAAGTGATTCTCCGAGAAAAATGGCATAAGCACTGATAAAGGATCGGTCATCTGGATTTCCCGCCCAGTCTGCATCAGCATAAGCACACAATGAAAGGTGAGAACTCTGACGGAGATATAAACCATGAGAGGCTGTTCCTTGAAGATACCGCAAGAGACGTTTCATGAGCTGCCAATGATTCACCGTGGGTTTGTGCATAAACTGGGCTAGCTTGTTGATGGCAAAGGTAGTGTCACGTTGGGTGAGGCTTAAATACTGATGTGATCCAATAACTTGACGATATAGAGTGGCATCACAAGAAATCGAGCTATCAAACAGAGTCAAGGAAGCTGAGGAAGCTAAGGGCGTGAATACTGGATTCGCCTCGTGCATGTTCAACACCTGTAATAAATCTGTAATGTACTTGTGTTGACCAAGAAAGAGTCCATCTGATGTAGGGGTAACCTGTATGCCCAAAAAGTAATGTAATGACCCCAAATCCTTGATGGAGAATTTATGTGCTAACAAGTCAATAGTCCGATGAATCAAGTCTGGTGTAGAGCCCGTAACAATAATATCATCCACATATACCAACACATAGATATAAGAGGGATGAGAAGAAAAGATGAAGAGGCTGGCATCAGAGACTGATTGATGAAAACCAAGGGATAATAGAAATCCACTAAGAGATTGGTACCACACTCGAGGCGCTTGTTTGAGACCATAGATGGATTTCCTAAGACGACACTCTTCCAGAGCCATCATTGAAACCAGGGGGTTGTTTCATGTAAACCTCCTTTTGAAGAGCGCCATGTAGAAATGCATTGTTGACATCTAGTTGGTTTATGTGCCAGCCATGAGAAAGTGCAATGGTCAGAACAACCCGAATAGTAACTGGCTGGCTAAAGGTCTCAGAGTAATCAATCCCCGGGCGCTGATGAAAGCCCTTAGCCACCAATCGAGCTTTGAAACGATCCAAGGAACCATCGGGCTTATATTTCACAGTATAAACCCATTTGCAGCCAACAATGTTCTGACCAGGATGAGCAGGTACAAGTTCCCATGTCCCTTGTTGAACCAAGGCGTCAAATTCCACAGACATAGCCTTCCTACATTCAGGTACCTGTAAAGCTTGAGAAGCACAAGTAGGAATAATATGATGAGGTAATGGTGAGTGAGTGACAACATTAGCTTGTTTACGAGGACGAAGGATCATTGGGTGGGTACGTTTGGGTGGAGAGGCTGTTGGATCATGATGATGACCCAAGGTAGATATGGGATTATTTGTAGTGGGAGTAATGGTTGAGGGGGTGGTGTTGGGTACATTAGGTAAGGATGGAGTAGTTGGGTTTTGTTTGGGCTGACGGTGATAAGTGATGAGGATCGGTGGGTTAGAAGCTGGTGGAGTGTTATGAGTCGTATGAAGGTTTAATGGAGCAGGGTTAGGGGAGTCTTGTGTCATTGGGGTACGAGTAGTAGAAGACGCCTTTGCTAGTGATGTACCTGAGATAGGAAGATAAGAGATAGGAGGCTGAAGCCAACTGTCAATTTCAGAGGACAGATCTGTAACGGGTGTTGGATTGTTAGAGAAAGGGAAGACAGACTCATTAAACACCACATCCCGACTAAAAAAGATGCGATTGGTAGTAGGATCAAGACAGCGAGAAGCGCTTTGTTGATCGCAATACCCAAAGAAAATACAAGGTCTGAACCGTGGTTCCAACTTATGAGCTGCATAAGGACGGAGCCATGGAAAACATTGACATCCGAAAATAGCAAGTTTTGTGTAATTGGGAGATTTTTGAAAAAGTTTTTCATAGGGAGTACAAAAACCTAGAGATGATGTTGGTTGCCTATTAATTAGATATACAACAGTTAAAAAGGCGTATGACCAATATTTTAACGGCAAAGAGGAGTGGTGAAGTAAAGTGATCCCTGTTTCTACAATATGACGATGTCGGCGTTCAGCGAAGCCGTTATGCTCAGGGGTATATAGAGGGGTCAGTAAGTGAGTAATACCACAAGAGGACAGAAATTTCCCTAGGGATATGTATTCACCCCCTCCATCTGAATAAACCATTTTAATAGATTTTTGAAAAAAGTTTTCTACGATCTTCTTAAATTGTTGAAAAATTGAAGTTACCTCAGACTGGTGAGTGATAGTGTAAAACCAAATGTATTTTGTGTAGTGATCAACAAAAATAAATAAATAATGAAAACCATCCACAAAATTAATGTGTGAAGGACCCCAAACATCTGTATAAATTAAATCAAGTGGACCCGAACTTGAAAGGGAAGATTTAGCAAAAGGTAACTTGTGGCTTTTATTACTTGCGCATGAAGTGCATAAGGACAAATCCTCATTAACATCTTTAAAGGAAATACCTAATGAGGAAATAACTTTTTGAGTGATGGGAAGGGCAGGATGTCCTAAACGACAATGCCATTTATTTAGAGAAAATTTTGTAGTAACATTGACACATGGTGATGAAGGAACAGGAACATCAGGCAAGCTGTAGACGTCACCTTTATTCATACACCGTAACAAAATTGCTCCCGTTTTCCGGTCCTTGACAAGACAAAAAGAAGGGTGAAACTCGATTAGTACATCATTGTCACGACATAATTTGGCAACTGAAATTAAATTAGTATGAATAGAAGGAACAAAAAGAGTATTAGGTAAGGAGAGAGAATGGAGGGTCATATTCCCAACTTGTGCAATTCCAAGACTTTTACCGTTACCAATAATGAGGGAGTCTGTGCCGGTATAATCGGACGCCAAGGTAAGATTGTTTAAATTATTGGTGACATGATTAGTTGCTCCCGAGTCCAGTATTCATCCGCTTCTCCTGGTCGTGGCAGTATTGGCCTGGGGGGATAATTTTGTTGTTCAAACCTGTGCCAACAGTTGATAGCGAGATGGTTCGGTTTGATACAAATATGACATATAACAGCACCCGGACTAGTATTTCCCCCAAAATTAGTACGCCTGCCCCCAGGATTATTATTTCCACGTCGATTTGAATTGTAGAAGTTGCTGCGACGTGGGCCTCAAAATTTTGTTTTTTGAAAGAAATTTTATTCTGAGTATTGGGCCTATTGGGTAGAGTCTGAGTTTTTGGAAATCTGCGCGTGTAATAGGAAACGACGATTCTTTTACGATCGACTGTAAAAACGATTGAGATCGTTTATTCCTAGCAATTGAGATCGATTCGAACAACGATTAGGATCGATTAGCCAAGTGTACCACATAGCGTTCCTGATAGCGACTGGATCGCTTTCGTAACGCGATTCGGTACATAACGACCGGTATGCAGATCGTCGCTATTTTAACGATCTATGTAACTATGGTCTTTCCCTTGGCTCCCTTCACCCAGTTTAGCTGCTAGGTCATATTCCCTCCGCTTTCCTTCCAACCTCTTTTGTCCTCCTCCCAGATTCTGCCCCTTTGAAAGCCAGATTCTTCTCTTTCACTAAAAGGGCCTTGTCCATAAGTTCAGTTAAACCACTGGACTGATACAACTTTAGTTCAGCTCTTATCTCTTCCTTTAGTCCATCGAGAAAAACTCCCTTCAGCATCTCTCGGTCAGTATTCCTTAATGGAGCGACCACCAGTTCAAAATGATCTCTGTACTCCATTACATATCTTGTTTGCTTAACGCTGAGCATTGGACCAAAGGGATTCTGCACAAGTTTCAAAGCATCTTGAAATTTTCCCAAGTCTGTTCATCCCACCATTGGAACCAATTTAGAGCCTTATCAACCATAGCGATCAGCACAAATTCAACCTTATCGATCTCCAACGCCTGGTTCAGCTTGAAAAAACGTTCGACCTTGATAATCCAGCCGTAAGCATCCTCACTATTAAACAAAGGTAAGTCCACCTTCCTTCCGGTCCATATTCGTTCATTGGCCCTCGCATTCTCAGGATTGAATGATGCAGTCAGATTCATTGGAATTACCTCTAGAGGGAGATGCGCTCACACTCTATGATGGCGGACGACGACAGGAAGTCCTTGATCGTCCTCATGCGATCGTTGTGAACTTCGAGATTCTGCATTTTCTCCATCATTGTTCGCATCCTTTCATCCATCATGGTTCACATCTCTGCCAATGATCGCTCCAAGTTATCTATCCGATTCTCCATGATTGATCGAGTTAAGACCATCCACAGCCCACAGGTATAACAATCGTCAGTGCTCTGATACCAAATGATAGAACACACACAAATATCCACCCAAACAAGGAGATAATATGGATCGCAATCACATAAAAGAGTATTAAATCCAAAAATAGCAGAAAAGTGAATGTGGAAGAAGAACAAAATCCAGGCAATTTGAGAGTGACGTGGTCTCACAACTGAATAACAGCCTACTCCTCTCTCCTCAGTCCTCCCTATTGATTCCCTTTACGGTCGTCCCCTCCACTTAACTAATTAGTTATTCCCAGATTCCTCTTTCTAGCCCACCGAGTGTACACCCTAGAGAAATTCAGAAATCCCTATTGGGATTAATATTTAAATTACTCTGGGTTCTATCAATAAGGTTAATGACTTAATGTGATTAGTAGATACTAAATGATCCCTTTTCAAGCAAATCAGTGTGCTCACCGTGAGCAAAGTTCAGAAGTTTAGGTTAAGAGAAATACTACAGAGAGTACCAATACAATAATATATTTGTAGTAGAGCAGGACAATCTTTGGAACTCACCATTGCAAACTTGGCCGTGACCAGATAGTCTATGGGAAGCCAATACACCTAACCAGAGAGACAAAGAGTAGGAGCACAAATAGGATAAACATACAAAAAATCAATAAAAAATTTTACAAAAATAAACCCGAAGCATGCTGATAATTGAAATAAATTGCTTGTCACAGTGCTAGTAAAAGTAAATCAACAAACTATACAAACTAGATTCCGCATGAATGTTTCATCAGTAACTATATTAAGCTATAACAAAAAACTAGTATATGCTATGCAACAACCAATTCATCAAGCTCCTGTACACATAAAAACTACAACCAGGAATGGAGCAAATTTTCAGTGCAACACACGCAAAATCGTTTCATGTGTTATAGCACATGTTCAGGGAAAAAGAGATGTGATCTATTGATCTACATTACCATTCACCACTTTACCGAGGTATGCATCCCAACCTTTATATAGGATTGGGCAAACAAAGTACAATAAGTAAGACACCCTAGAGCAGTAAAATCACATCCCATGTAGCGATAATAGCTGACCTGAAGCAGTCCTATTGAAAGGAAAAATCCACCCACGGTGTGCTATATGCAGCTACATGATGTCAGCTTTCCCAATTCCTTAGCTTGGAATTGACTGACCAGATGCCTTCTTAATCAATTCCAAGGTGTAAAAACATTTGTGACACAGTAACACCAAAACCCTTTATAAAGACAAGGAAAACCATAGACACTTTGTTGTGTATAAAAGATTAGTGAGCCTAAACCCAACAAGAAACCTAAACCCTAAACCTAATGAGAATCAGATACCATAACAGTTATAAACCACAATACTATAAATCAACTTTTTCGAAAGTTAATTAACACTAGAAGTTTCATCATGAAATTTATAGTGTCAACTGTCAAGTAATTCCTTAAAATTAGTTTAACACTAATAATCCCTCCGTCCCTTATAACTTTGCCAACTTTCCTTTTTTGGATGTCCCATTAACTTTGCCACTTTCCCTTTTAAGTAAAGAATTTGTGGTTTCACTTAACTCTCTCTCCTCTGCACAAACCTCAACCACACAATTTTTACTTTATTAATCTCCGTGCCGGTCAAACTTGGCAAAGTTATTAGGGACGGAGGGAGTATCAAAATTTAAAGCCTCTAGACAGCGATCACCCTATATTCCATTCCTATATAAAGTGAATCTTAAAGTTTCTTGTATAAGGGAATATATTATATTTGATTCTTGAACTCCCAATATTTTGGAGGTCTTATGGCCCTGTCGTTGCTAGAATTGATTTACATACCACATTATATTTGTTCATTTTATTATATTGTTTAATGTGGTTTTAAACATTGCTTCTGAACTTTTTATATAAATTTTCTTTAAAAATGAAACTTACGCCTCATTGTGCAATGATGCATACATAATGCACAGTCCTTACAAACCACCTCAACTACGCAAGCAGTTTCAAACATTGTTGTAACTCTAATTTAACTTGATCCAATGCCCATTCCCCTTCCCCTTCGCCTTCTTCTTCTCCTTCACCTTCTTCTTCTTCTTCTTCTTCTTCTTCTTCTACCTTGCCCTATCTTGAGAACTTGGCAGCCTATCAGGCTATCAGCAGATTTTTTGGAAATTTGACAAGACGGTCGCCAGAAGGAAGCAAACTCAACTATAAATCTTGACAGGAAAAATCAATGAAACTACCATAGACCATCATGTAATTCCAATAAGCAATTTCGAACATTGCTTTAACTTTAACATAACTTGATCCAATGCCGATCCCATGTCCTTTGTCACGACCTTTGCCAAGGAAGGGAACAAAACTAAAATTTTGAAAGGGAAAAACCGCTGGAACTACCACTCTATGGTAGAACCATCAGGTGATTCCAAGGGCAGTGATATGGTCTGTTTTTTTTTTAAATGGTCAGAGGTGCTTGACAGATCTAAAACAAAGCAGCGGAATAGAAACTGGATTTGAAACCATGTTGAATAATAATAAACTAATAACTATTTAGGGGTTTAACTTTGAATTTACAACTCCAAGATTTCTGCATGCTATTACATTGCTCATATATAGAAACTATGGAACATATCTGATAGGAATATGAAATCTAAAAGAATTAAGAAATTAGAATACTGCTATACCTATGATAACTATATTACTACTAAAACTATAATACATCCTCTCCACCAAAATAAACTCCCTGTTTCCTTTTGGGCCGTCCCAAAATAATCTTCTTGTTTCCTTTTTTGGAGTAAAAGATCATGTGTTATCATTTATCAAATCATGGTTCAAAACATCCAAAACACAAACTGACAGGTTTACCATGCACACAGAGCGATCAGATCTCAGACATAGAAACAGCCGCCCTAGCAACACTATGAGCAACACACATCAAGAACTACGCTGTGGGACAGTAGTCAAACAGATCTCAGACTAGTAAAACTGTGATAGCTTTAACACACATCAACTCCACATCACAAAACTAAATTTGCAGTCTCACAAACAAGTCTGAGGTACAGTAAGATGTCAAGATAAAAGATACATCTAAAATAATAAAGCACGCAACCATCTTTTTTACCTTATGCCAACATAATGCGGAGAGTACAGAGCTAGATGAAGTCCTCTCATCCTTTGCTTTAACTACTGTGGAGCGGGATCTTGATCCATAACTTGAAGGCCTGGGACACTGCAGAAACTATCAAAACCATCTATTAACAGCATATATGATATAACGATAAAAATAAATCAACTAGGTGTTTCATGTCAACCTTAATTCCTTCCCCTGTATGTGAAGTAGAACGCGAAAACGCTCTTTCTGTTACATGGTACAATCGAAGCACATTAAGCGCATCCAGTACAACCTGAACCGATTTAGCTAGCTTGTTGCTCTTTTTAAAAATATTTTCCTGCACCTACGCACAGTGGCAATAGTCATTTCTCATTCAACACAGAGAGGTTCAAGTAACAACTATACAACAAAATTATTGACCATATGCATATTAAGCTTCAATAAACCCAAATCCTAATATCCAAACATTTCATGTCCCGGAACATTTGATGTATCATTCTAATGCATAGCAAAGAGAAATATATATAATTAAATATATAAAGCAGCATTATGATAAGTATGGCATTGACATCATCATGTTAAAGCATTACTATAATCTTTTCATGCAATCGGACCTACATGAGCTTTAATTAGGGTTATCTATTCAAGTCCAATCGGTTTTAGACCAATTGGATGGCAAGAATTTATGCAGCAGTGTGCGCCCTTATCTACAATAGATACAGCTCAGATGATTGAACAATGGCATATTGTCAGTGTTAATGACTTCATGGTATCATGATCACAACCATATATTATTTTAAAAGAATATACTAGACTCATAGAGCCTTAAATGGAAAAACAAACATCATTTTAAGAATTGTATTATATAATAGAATATGAGCACAATTCATGCTATTAAACATAATAATAAACAATGACTGTACCTGCTAACCACTTGATACCAATAATAGTATACCTATATTATAGAATACTGATCAGATAGAACGTTTATGTAGTTTATTATCTAATAAGAGACAGCTTCCTTCTCTGTTATAGGGTAAGAGTACAACTTCCCATACAAAAAAATCCTATTCGTATTGACAAAGCGAATAAAACAAATTAATTACTGTTGACAAATATACACAGAACCAATTAGCAAACAAAATCCCTAGATTTAAGGAGCCTTCAAATCCTCCTCAGATTCTTCAACACTCCCCTTCAAGCTGGAGCGAAGATGTTTATGAGGCCAGGCTTGTCAAGTAGAAATTCAAGATTACTAAGAAGATCAGCAAGCTCGTCTGAAGTTGGGACATACTTAAGTTAAATAAGCTTCTTATCTAATTTCTCTTTGATATAGTGTCGATATACTTCAGCATGTTTTGTTCTGTCATGAACAGTGTATGAGTAAAGTGACATTGGTTCTTCAAGTGTAATCTTCAGCGCGGTTAACACTTTTCTTATCCAAATTAGTCCACACACTGTGAGGCATTGCCCTGTACTCAGCCACAATGCTACTTCTACCTATAGAAGATTCCAGAAAATAACAAATTATAATATTTTCAGTTATCACGCGCCGATGGGTAGATAGAGGACACTCAGGCGAGTCGATGGGTGGTATTAGTAGAAAAAAACGGCCAGCGACAAGAGCTCACGTGCCAGCGATAACGTTCTGGTCGCCGGCAGCAAGAGCACCCTCTGGGAGTGGCGGTGATGAAGAAAGAGCTGAAAGCTCTGACGATGTGATAACTGATTCTATGAAGAACAAACTGAGATTCTGAAATTTCTTTGATGCTCTAATAAAAGTCTAAATTTCTGATACCATGTTGAAATATAAACTAGTACTCTAGTAGAATACTAAAGATGGAGAGAAGGATTTTCTGTGTATTTTGATTGAAGAGTTAAGTCCCAATATATAGATTACAAAGATGGAATATTCCTATATAAGATGCTAATATGCTATACATTAATAATATCTAGAGTATATTCTAAAGCATATTCTTATAATATCTTTCACATGGTGAATCAGAAAAATGATCCCAATAATGCCCAAGATTAAAGATCTCCCGGAAAAAAGACCGACAGAGACACAGGTACGTTCCTGAACAGTTGGGTTAGTGCTAGTATTAGCAACTATTGTTTTAGAGTCAAAGTCACCCATGGAAGAAAATGAAAATGAAAGAAGGTTCTTGATGATAAGAAGAAGAAAAATCATAGGCCAATAATTAGTGGCTCTGATACCACAAAGGAAAGTGACGAGATAGGAAGTTTATGTATTATAGTATCTAAAAAGTGGCCGCTTGTTTCCTTTTTATAGGATAAGAGCACAACTTCACATACAAAAATGATCTTATTCCTATTGACAAAAGGCTGAATCAAAACAAATTAACTGCTGTTGAAAAATATACACAGAATCAATGAGCAAACTCAATCCCTAAAGTTAAGGAGCCTTCAAATCCTCAGATTCTTCAAAGTATATGAAAAAAACTATTTCAAAAAAACATCAAGAAGATAACCTTTGTAGATATTAGCTGACAAAGATCAACAACCACATCTTTCCTCCTTGAAATGTTAGAAATCACTTCAGGAAAAAGAAGTTCTGCAACTTCAGATTTCACCAACACAATTTCTTGACATAATCTGGAGGAACATTGAGATTTGATATATAAACTGTAGCTCATCCTGCAAAAAAATCTAAAATGTAGCAATTTCTATTTAAATTAGAAGTCACCTTATGATAGTATCATTGCAATACCCAATTAAGGCATGCACAAGTGGGCATATCCACATCTCAAAAGTTTTCCCATCAGTCTTCCATAATGTAGAACTTTCTAGTGGAATTGCTTCAGCTGCTCATGAAAAAGAAGAGCGCCAATAAACCAACCACCGCATTGCCCAGAAAAATAAGATATAACTTGGCACAGATTTATAACCCTTGATTTCAGAAAGCATTTTATAGGTCGAATATATTCATCGTGCAAAACATGAAGAGGAAATGCATTAAAGTGACAACTTAACCATTATGCTTTCTCTGTAGATCATCCAGGAGTTTCTGAACCAGGTCAAAATTGATACCTTTTGAGTGAATCTGCAGACCAAATGCATATATTTAAGTACCACTTATGTCCACAACCGATTTCACATCATAAATCATAGTACAAGAATGGTTTTCACCATGTTCTGCCAAATGAAAACAAGACGTTTGCACAAAAGAAAATAATATGTACTACCAGTATTATCACCAACCCTTTCCCTTCCAATCCCCTAATAGAGTAAAGTCATGTCAAGAAAATTCAGAAGAGATCCTTCCAGCAAGATTATGGGATTGGCTACATGAACCAAGAGATAAATCTTGAGGCCTCCACGATTTTCTATAATGCTCCATGCTTTACCGGTTGAAGGCTCATTACATACTCAGTCCATGTCATTTTTAGATCTCCGTGGTTCAAACAGTCCGACCTCCCAACAAAAAATGTGTTCAAACAAATGTAGTCGATTCTCCTCTAATATGACTGTGTTTCCCACTTATGTGCAAATGTCCCCATAACAAATTAAGCTTTTCGAGTATCATATTCCATCAATCTTAACATACGCATATATACTGTATTCATTTTCCTTATAAGATCTTTCTTGATGATCTAAAAAATAAAACTTATTCATCAAAAGTCATTTAGTGCCATTAAAACCATACTTCTTGCACAATGTATAATATATTATATATAACATATAATAATTAACTATATTTAATTTGTAATTTATTATGTATTATATATAATATATTACTAATGAAATTGTATATCACCTAGAATTGAAACCAACAATTAATAATTGAAAGCAAGGTTTATTAATGGAAATTAAGAGTAAAAATGTCTATCTCAAAAAGTTAAATTAAATAAACTATGTATATCATATATTTGTATATGTGATTATACATATAATAATACGAAGTAGTTTTTATTTATAGTTTAATAGTTTATTAAATTAATATATACAATCCTATTGTAAATTTTTCCGAGCATATCAGCAGATGCTCTAAAGGGTAGAGATGAGTGTGGCAGAGATGCGGATGTTACGCTGGATGTGTGAACATACCAAAAAATACCGCTTGAGGAATGAGAAAATCAGACAAAAGGTGAGGGTAGCACCTATAGAAAATAAGATGCAGGAGTCTCGATTGCGGTGGTTTCGTCATGTGCGTGGAAGACCGAGTGATGCGCGTGTTAGACGACTTAAGAGGTGGGGAGAAAAGGCAGGAAGGAAAGGAAGACCCAAACAGACTTGGATTAGAGGAAACAGAACTGATATGCGTCTTCTTGGGTTGGATGAGAGTATGGCTTTGGAGATAGCAAAGTGGAGGGCACATATTCCTGTGGACGATTGATCTATTTTCTATCTTTTCTCTCTCTCCTTTTCCTTTAATCGTTGATCTTCTTTATCTTTCTATATTCTTATGTTATTTTTATCTTCTCTTTCTTATGCTCTTTTATCTTTTTATCTCATATCTTTCTTTGGTTCTTATGTTATTGTTATCTTACACTATCTTTATCTTATCCGATTTATCTTACTTTATTTTTTTTTTTTTTTATTTTTATACTTCTTTCTTCTCTTTTGGCTCTGATATCATGACTCGATTCATGTTAGCCGACCCCAAAATCATTTGGGATTAAGGCTTGGATGTTGTTGTGCGAGGAAATATAGTGTTATTGAGTTTCATAATGATTGCATATATACAATTTGTGAGCAGCTAATTAAGGTAAGTAATAATTAAAAGATCTTACGTAATTACAAATGATAGCTGGAATATAATCTATTTACTTGGAAAGATTTATTTTCTGTCTACAAATATTGGTAAGAAGGAAAGATTTACTTTCCTTCTATGTCCCCTCAAGTCCAAAGTGGCAGGAACATTCTTCAACTTGGAATATAGGAGGAGGAATCGTCCACGAGAAAGTGATAGTCGATGACTAGGTGGGGTTTGCACACGTGTATGTTGCACTAACAATGTCACAGGACAAAGTCGGAGGGTCAAGAATGGAAATTCCTCAGAGAGATGGAATTGAACCTGGACAACCTCATATGTGGCAGAAGCTAGTGCTCGATACTCAGCCTCAATGGAAGATCGAACAATTGTCCTTTGTCTAGTCCTGTTTAAATGACTTTGAGGAAAGCAAGCATGGCCCGACATACAGCAGAAGCAATTCGTTTTAAAGGGTGAGCCTAGGCCATACCTAGCCTAAGGGAAAATCCATCCTTGGGTGTATTAGGATAATATTATTGTTACTGGCTCAACACCTGCATTGGTTCATCGGACTATTAACTTGTTAGCACAAAAAATATGTATTAAGGATTTATGATCTGTATATTACATCTTAGGCATGCAGGTCACTCATACACCAGATGTACTTTTTCTTGATCAACAAAAGTCGTTCATTTTCATTTTTATTTACCCCAGTGCCGCAAAGGCTCCCACCTACGGTGGGGTAAGGGGGGGTCGGATGTACGCAGTTTTACCCCTGTACATTACAAATTTATTACAGGTGTTGAAAATGAACAGACCTAGTCTAGTATCCATGCCATCGGCTCCTCCAATCCTTTAACTTTATTTGACAGTTCAGGCTCTTGTGATGTGACTATCATAAAGTCACTGGATCACTTCAATATTTTAATCTCACCTGACCAGACAGTGCCTTTGCCATCAACAAACTAGCCCAATTTTTGCACAAACTAACGGTCAATCATTGGCAGCTAGTGAAATGCCTCTTGCAATATCTTCAAGGCACCAACCCTCATGGTCTCTACCTCCATCGCAGCTCAACTCTTTCCTTAAAATGCTTATGCTGATGCGGACTGGGCAGCAAATCAAGATGACCACTCCACCACAAGTGCTTCTTCAATTTTTCTAGGGCAATCACTTATATCTTGGAAATCACCCAAACAATGCACCATCGCAAAATCCTCCACAAAAGTGGAGTATCCGGCTCTTTTTAATCACCAAGAGTGTATTTAATCCCCTCTTCATGAGTTACAGCATCCGCCACCTTCTACTCTGGTGCTCCTTTGCAATAACAAAGGCACTACTACCACTTCCACAAATCATGTCATCCGTTCCCGGATGAAACTTGTTGATATTACTTTCCACTTTGTCCGGCAACATGTCTAGCATAGAATCTTTTGTGTACCTCATATCCCTACTTATGATCAGATGGCTAACATTCTCACCAAGCCACTTCCCTGGCAGCGTTTTACCCTTCTTAGAGACAAGCTCAAGGTTTTTAGGTGTGATTGAATACCTGGCTTGTGGGGGCGCATAGCAGAATCCAGAGCATAAACTATCAATTATAATTGTCTATTAGAATCCTCAGTTGTAAATCTGTGTAATTAGTATTGCACTTGGTAGCTCACCTTATACACTCCCTGTCAATGTACAAATACCAGAACATACTACGGAATAAAGCATGGAATTCAGCGTAAACATCCTATCTTTTCTAAACCTGTTTAGATAACTAATAAAACATGGTGACTAAGGCAACAATGCCAAACAAAATAGAAGATTTAATGCTAGAATTTAATTCTGACGAATCTAAAAAAGGAAGGCAATAAACATCTCCTTTATTCAAACATCGGCACAAAACTCTGCAATCCTTCACCAAATCAAAAGAAGGGTAAAGTTCAACGAGTACATTATTGTCAAGGCAAAGTTTGGCTACTAAAAGTAAAGTAGAATGAACATGAAAAACGAGTAATGTGTTAGGCAAGGATAAAGTAGTTGGACAAGGTAAAGTCAAATTCCCAACTATGTGCATTTTTCATATGTCGACTGTTACCTATAACCAAGGAGTCGTTCCCAGAATGCCATTATAACCAGAGACAAGGCTCAATTTACTCAAATCATTGGCCACATGATTTGGTGCACTGGAGTCAAGAAGTGCCTCATGTGTGCGGGAGTTGGCCACGTTTGCTTGTTGCAAATTTGGCACTCAACAGAACCCCTATTAGATTTGTTGTTTGTTTGTACGCTCTTTCTCTCGAAAATAGCCAAAGTTATAATTTTTGGTTTGATTGTTAGTTTGAGCAGTACTAGGCCCAGAGGGAGTGTGATTAGACGGAACTCTTAATGGGCGCAGGCCTAACAGAGAGTTGATAGCCACCAGGCCCATATCACAGGCACCCATTGGCACCGATTGAGGCAACGTCAAGAACTGCTAGTGAGCAAAATTGGCCAGCGATACTCAGACTGGAGGTGGAGTAGACCAAGACGCTGCAGGATGATGGAGGGCAGTGTTCGCTGTAACCGGACCAAGGGTCGGTTGCTGATAGAGCCCTTCTTTGCAAGACACCAGATATTCATGAACGTCTGAGAAAGTCCACTTATCTCAGCCAGCACGTAGAAATCCAGCACATTCGGGAAATTTGACCTGAAACATACAACTTCAAGTTGGTTAGAGAAACCTCCAGGCCAAGATTCCTCAATTTGTTGGGCAGAGAATTGTGATGATGCATAAACTCGACATCGATTGCTCTGATTTCTTTCGAGCATGATGGAGCCGTTCAGTAAGGTTGAGCAATCCAGTTGGAGAAGAATCGGCATTGATGTTCTCTAAGGTGACCCAAATGTCAAAGCAAGTTAGCGCGGTAGAAACAAAGGAGAGAACTGCCGAACTAAATGATGCAATCATCGTCTACTAGGGAAGAGCATCTTGATCGTACCAACATAGAGTGGTGGGATCGGTAGCGGAAAGACCAATGGATCCATCAAGAAGGTCCTCAAGAAACAATGGACTTGTCGCTGCCAGACAAGGTAGTTTCTCATCAAATTTCACATCAAAGTTCGCGACAGTAGGGATGAAGGGATTGTCCTTGACAAAGTCGGGGAAAGCAGGATCTTGTCTTTTTGTTCCTTGTTGGCCATAGAGAATGGAAATTGGTTAAATCTCAAAGAACTCTGATACCACATAAGAGTGTAAAGAGAGATGATTTTATTGATCGTCTAAATGATTACATATATACTACGTACTATTTGTGATAAGAGTACAAAATAATAAATGATAGCTGGAATATAATCATGATAGCTGGAATTATGATAAGGAAAGATAGTTTCACAGCCTTATTGACATCGTACTCCGATTGACCAAGGGATTAACAGTACTACAATTGAACATGATGGATACATCTCAGCCTGGAAGGACGCGATCCCCAGCGATACATCCGAACCCCGAATTCTCAATCTCAACACGATTCAGCATGGATGAGAAGGCACAGATCGTAGAATCAAGTGATTCCACAATGTTATCACAATTTTAACAAGAGAGACAACAACAAGAACAAAGACATCTAATAAAAATCTCTCTCACCCTCTCAAGTTGAATACGTTATAAATTTCCTTGTGCACTTATAACTCAATACGTCATGATGCTATTGAAGCTTTCCACATAAGGTAATAAGTGAATCTCACTAGATTATTATTCCACTAAAATGACCTCAAGAGATGTCATCATGTCAATATCTCAACATTCAAAGAGCACATCTGCTGAAATGTTAGCGGAAAGAATGCTTAGTATTCATAAATTGTACCTCCATAAGAGACCTATGATAGGAACCAAAAGACAATAAACATTTCTGACCATTTTCTGTTGAAAGTATCCCCTGTTCAGTAGAAAAGATAAGGTTATGTCAGTTTCGTACAAGTAATTGCCAATACAAGTTTCATTAGTCATGTGCCAATACAGAACGGCAGACTAAAACAGAGTAAATGAACCTATCCATTTCATTTTCATTTCATTTTCATTTATTTACCCCAGTGTCGCAAAGGCTCCCACCTATGGTGGGGTAAGGGGGGGTCGGATGTACGCAGTCTTACCCCTGTACTAAAGCACAGAGAGACTGTTTCCGGATGACCCATAGTGAAAATCCCGTCCAAAATTGCATGGACTGACTGCTGCTTCATAACAAAGAAGCGCAGACAGGTTAGTGAGCCATTTTGCTTTACTCCATCATAATCTCAAGCCAAAAAATAATGAATCTTTGGCTCCATTGAAAATGATGGAAATAAATGAACCTATCCATGGAGAAAAAAATCTAATGGAATGACTAATATGAATCTATGGTATAATTAAGTGCTTGTATAGAAGATTCACCAAGATGCTTTAAAAGCATGATACGTCCACAATGTAAGAACCATTAATTGTGAGTCAACAATATAGAGCAACAGGCTAGCATAGTAAAAATGAAAATCCCCATAGGGAACACTATAGCGTGTGACTAAATTAAATATATGGTGTAACAAAATGCTCATAAATAGGACTGAGGATGAAAATAAGAAATCTAAATGCATAATTACCTAGAGCTTTGCTTTAGAAATGATGGAATCCCCCTAAGCTTCACCGGCATCATGGCCGGAATTCCCCAAATTTCTTCACCGTCACCCCCTTTTTCAGTTGGATTAGAAGGAAAACGAGGGGAAGGAGACTTCTTCACCGCCATCCCTCAAACTTTATAGAAGATGAAGAAGAAGGGACACAGCCGCACAGTACAATCGGGAAGGAGAAAGTCAGACTTGAACCAGGGGAACCATACAAGCAAATCGGCGGCGATGTAGATAATAGGAAGTACCCAAGGGACGAAACAAATGAGCGGTGGCGAACGGGTTTGGAGCGACAATGACAACAGAGGCTGACTGCTATGAATAAAAGGAGAGCAAAGGCCCCGAAGAACAAAGAAAACACAGAGAGAGGAGGAAGGAGGAAGGAGAAAGGTGGACAACCTTACAGGATGTCGGCAGTGAGATGGTGTCCGGAGGTTGAGCGCAAAGAACAAGAAGTTGTGGGCCTAGAAGATGCAGTAGGATGCTATACCAGAAATAAAAGGGAAATAAATAAATAAATAAATAACTAAAAAGAAATTGGTAAAGACCTAGACAGATAAAATTAAAAAACTAAAAAAATAGAATGCCACATGGACAGGACACATGGACTAAAAAAATCCACATATGCTTCCACATCACTGACTAACCTGTTTATCGACTGGTGACCGCCTAAAATGATGATTTGAATGATTTTAGAACTACGTACACTTAATTGGGTGATTTACAAGTGCGAGGGCTTAATCGAAGGATGGCTGATGGTACGACAGTTTATTTGAAAATATTCCCTAAAGATAAAGATAAGATAAAAATGATAAGATAAAAGGATTAAAAAAATAAGACAAGAAGGATAAAAGGATAAAGAACATAACAAAGATAAAGAAAATAAAAAAGATAAAAGGTTTTCCTCTCCACTATGTTCTTTCCAAAGCAATAATCTCATCCAACCCAACAAAAAACATATCAGTCCTAACTCCTCTAATCCATGTCTGTTTGGGTCTTCCTCTCCCTCTCCTCTCCATCTTTTCTCACCACCTCTCAACTCTTCAAACAGGAGCATCACTCAATCTTCTATGCACATGACCAAACGACTGTAATCGACACTCTAGCATCTTATCATCAATAGGTATTACTCTCACCTTTTGTCCGGTAGTCTCCTTCCTCAAACGGTCTTTTCTAGTATGTCCACACATTCATGATGATGTTGATATACTTACATGATATGCCTTTTCGAGAGAAGGCCCATCAAAGAACTTTTTCGGGTACCCTATCATACGCCTTTCCAAAATTAATGAACACCAAATGCAGATCATTGGTAGTGTCTCCACACTCCACAAGTTGTTTAAGAAGATGAATGACCTCAGTTAATGTCTGATCAGGCATAAAACTGAATTGATTTTCCAAAATCTTACAGTTCTTAAGAGGCTTTGCCCACTCGCTCACAAAAATTTCATGGTGTAACCTATATATACCACTCATATTCTTAAATAAGGGAATAAAGTACTCTACCGCCAACTCGCTGGCACTTTGTTGTTCCCCCAAATCTTGTTCAAAAACACGTTCATAACTCGATAGCCCCTCTCTCCCAAACTTCTCCAGGCCTTGATCAATATACCATATGGAGCCACTGCTTTCTTTCGCCCCATATATCTCAAAGCCTATTTCACTTCTATTGTTTGGATCTTTCTCATCGATATATTGCGATTTATTCCCATTGAGCAACGTACCAAAGTATGACCTCCAACTCTCTTTTATTTCCTCTTCCTCCATTCTTACCCTTTGATCTACATCCTTCACATGCTTAACTTTTCCAATATCTTGAGTCATACACTCACGAAGACGAGCAAGTCTATAAGTATTTTTCCTCCCTCTACAGCCCAAATTTATATGTAACTCTTTTTTCATTTCCCCTGGTGATTCTTCGCGGCTTTCTTAGCTTTTCATTTAGCTTCCTTATATTCATCTATGTTCTCATCACTCCAACTTTTCCCAACTTTTTGTAGCATTTCCTTTTCCTCTTTATGGCTTGTTTCACCTCATCACTCGACCAAGATATGTCTTTTTTTGGTGGCGGACATCCTTTAGATTTCTAAGTATTTGTTTTACCTCGCATCCTCCACATGTGTGTCATTATCAATACACCATTCATCTTCACCAAACATTTTGTGTGCAAAGCGTTGTTAAAGAACCCCCACGAGCCTCCAACACTTTATCTTTGGCTACACTCGTTGTTTAACTTGCCTTCTATTTTTATTATATCGAAAAACAAACACCACCATCCTATAGAGTGACAACAATCTCAAATGGGATAACTTTATAATTTGTATAGCTAGTTCTCCAGATAGTCTCTATTAAATAGTCAATTTGGGTACTATTAGTTCCACTTTTATAGGTCACAAGGTGAAAGTCTCTTTTTTGAATCAAGTGTTCACTATAGTCGACTCATACGTCAAGACATAATCCAAAATGTTCTTCTCTACTTCACTAATAGTGCCAACTCATACGCCGAGCCCACATACCCATTGAAATTGCCTCCTATGACCAACATCTCTTCCCTTGGCACTCATCTCACCTCTTCCTCAAGATCTTCTAGAATTGTTGAGTGATAGATTCATTCAATTGCACTTGTGGTGCATAGGCACTACCATGGACATGATCACATCCTCTATCACCAATTTAATGCTTATAATATGATCATTCTTTCCAAAGACTTCCACAATTACACCTACTCAGATTCTGGTTTTTTCTCTCCTCAAATACCACAACGTAAAACCTCCGTGATTAATTTTTCATGTCTTCTCTCCAACCCACTTAGTTTCTTGCACACACATGATGCTAATATTTGTCCTCTTCATTACCTCGACTACATCATATGATTTTCTCGTAAGAAAACCAGTGTTCCATGTCCAAAAGCGCAATCTACAACTCCATCTCATGTTCTTAATACCACCTTGACCCCCACCATGCCCTCGTATGTTAGAGATCATACCCGGGCATTGGGGTGGTGTGCCGCTTCGGGACGAAGACATGGCAACATAACATTCTTATCACCAAATGGAAGATGACAAGGAGAGTAATTTGTTTGTCATCAGGCACAAGAAGTAATCCATATTGAAAAGCTGCATGAATCTAAAGATATGGTTGCAAATGTTTCATTACAGCCATGGTTTTTAAAGGCGTTTCGCATCTACGCCTCTGAGGCGCAAAGGCGCTAAAGCGTTAAAAAGTCGCCTGCAAGGCTTAAGCCTGGCCTTCCACTAACCAGGCTTACGCCTTTTTTTTACTGAGGCGGTGATGCGGTCCAATGCGCAAGGCGAAGTTGAGGCGTACACATTTAATTAAATGCAACTTGGGCTTTTTTTTGAATTATTGGGGGCCTCGATTTTTAAAAATAAAAAAATTACTGCATGTTTATCTCTTAGTCGACACAAGACAGCCCTAGCTCCACTACTACGAAGAGCGACATGAAGAACTGCCAGTCGAAGCCTAGAAGCTGAGTACATACTACATAGACTTCGATCTTTCAGAGTTGCTTCCATTCCAGATGTTATCAAGTAAATAGAGTAAAATATCCCACCGCCCACTTGTATAAAATATCCCACCGCAGCTTCTGAAGTTTGTTTCTTATTGTATTTATTGTTTAAATGTACCGAAGTATTTATTTAAATTTTTAATTATTTAAAAGTTCAGTTTTTATTGTATCTACTACGTATTAATGCTTTTTCAACCAGCAAACTATAAAACATCCCACCGGCCCACTTCTTAGTTGTTTTGGTATAAGATATTATGGTTGCCATTCAATATTATTACTGTATTATTATGGTTTAAACTTTAAAGTGATCATAAAACTATCATTTAGCTTATTTATTTGTTTAATATTACGTACTTTACTAGTTTACTACTTTACTTGGATCAAGATTTACAATTTAATTAGAAATATTATAAATAACTTCATTACAGTTTGGTTATATCTTCTTTTTTTAAGTTGATTATTAATTAATTGGCTATTTTGTGTATCTAGTTTATTTAAATTCATGTAAACAAATCATTTTACTTGTGATTTTGTTTAGCTGCAATATTGTTTAACATTTAAGAAATTAATTTTGAGGCTTACGCCTCGTTACGCCTCGAGGCTTACGCCTCGTGAGGCTACCACAGAACGCCTCGAGGCCCGATTTCGCCTTTCAAAACCTTGATTACAGCATAAGAGTTTTTTCCTTTCTACATTTATTTTATTTTTTCTCATTCTTGGAGAAGGCAGGAGGAAGTGAAACGTGGCAGCACCACAGATACAGCTTGTCTCAGCTATCATCATCTCTCCACCCTTTAATATGCATTTATTTCACACCTATCTGATGTGCATATTCCATACCTCAACATGAAACCAAGTTGTAATGCACATCGCATCGAACTTAGTATTTCATGAGAGGACAAAGCATATTGAGGTTGATTGTCACTTCATTCAAGAGAAGATATTAAATGGACAAATTATCACGAGTTATGTCAACACGACAGATCAGCTTGCAGATGTTTTTATTAAAATCTCTTTGAGGTCCTAGAATAGATTACATTTGTAACAAGCTTTGTGCATATGATTTATACGCTCTAGCTTGAGGGGGAGTGTTGAAACCCTAACCCGAATTGTATCGGGCTTAGCCCACTTTGTGTAGTTAGCCCTAATTTTAGCTATAAATTTATCTATTGTTGTAATGTTTTGATTATCAAATAACAAGAACGAGAGTTATATTTCACATTTTCCTACATTTATCCTAATAAATTTCACAATAGTGATGGCAAATTGCAAACTATTGAAATACAGCTTGGCAAAATGGACAAATGTTCTTACCTGTAGAGCTTGAGAGGCGATATCAATTATGTTGACAGATTCATCCATAAGATATTTCTTGAGATGTTTCAAAACTGCAATTACAAACGCTTCAGATATGCCTCTGTCCAAATAAAACTTGTCTTTAGTTGGACCGTCGACATTATTATTTCCATAGAAATGAATGCGCCTAGATTCTCCTGGAAGATGGAACACAACGCTATGTGGATCACCAATACCAACCTACATGCATGCACACACACAAGTACATACAAGATGTTAGGAAGGGGAAAATCAGAGAAAGGTTTTCTACTGATTTTATTATAAACTACAATGAGATGCCAGAGATATTAATCAGCGTACCCTGGACAAAAAGTCAGACACGAATGCACTAAAATTGTTTGTATCATCCGAACTGCACGTCTGAAACAGATCCCAAACTGCACAGACAATTTCATTGTTTGGATGCAAACCACAATCTTCAAATATATTCTTATCATTGTTCAGCCCTTCAAGAGTGTCACTCGCAAACAATTTCGCGTGCAATGCTTTAAGACTGCCCAAACAAATAAAAAAATAAATACCAACTTTCTACCAGATAAACTAAACCAATACATGCAGGAATTCTGATACTGCTTTTTAAAGTTTAAACTGAAGTGTCCCATTTTTTACAAGATCACAAGATGAAGCTAGCAGAAGACCGTCTGTTTTTTGAACAAATTCTACTCCATTATACTATATTTTTTATATAGTAACATAAACCCTGAGCATTTCATGATCTACTCTTTATTATACAGATCATAATGTGGCTACAAGAAACCAAATGGGTTCAATAGTCAACACACCAAGTAAAAATACAAAATGAGAAGAAAGAAGGTGAAAGAAGTCAACACCTCATTAAAAGAAACCTTGCAGGAAGCCAATGAGATCTCTTTGCCAACTGAAATGCCAATATAAAATAAATCAGAAACGGACAGTCCAAATTAACAATTAATAAACAAATTTTAAATGGACAGAAGCATGTTACATTTAGTAAGTGTTCCCTAGGTGAGTAATCACCACATAGTTTCTCATGGAATCTCCGTATCCCTTCAAACATCTCCAGACGTGGAAATGGTTCAAGCTCCTGCAGTAGCTCTAAAGAAATTATTTGACAAAACTAACATAGTATAAAGCAGTCTTAATAGATCTGAGAGGATGTTCTGCAATACGAACATAACAAACAACAAGGAAAATCTGTTGGAAACATACTTTGATGTAATCATAGAGAGATGGATGAGCATCCAAGGTTAGCTGATCGAGCAATGGAAGAACTTTGGATGTTGAATCAAAAGTGTGTTTACCACCAAAATCAGATGAAATGCAACACTTGACTAACTTAGATACCAACATCTGTAAAGCCATTATGGGCAAACAATTAAATAAGGTCAATATATTTTTGTATAAATTTGATAATGATACTTCGACTCTTTAGAGAGACTAACCTGAAGATGTTCACCGAGAGCACCAATGGCCCCTTCCGATGGATTTACTTTGAAAATTTGGAGCAATGAAAATATTATACTACAGCACTGATCCAAATATGCATCAGGCCCAATGCAAAGGTCAACCAAGTTGAGAAGGTAACTGTCAACAATCAGTGTTAGATGGCATAAAAATACATGTCATTTCATCTTCATGTTCAACAAATAAGAATTAAGAACCTTGTGGGTGACAACCATCCATTAGGAATATGGAATGTTATGCTAAGTAGTTCACAGATTTTCCAAAAAATAAGAGTTTGACAATAATCTGTTAAGAGCATGTGACAAGCTTTTGTTCAAGGCCTTAAGGTAGACATAGGCAGAGAAGAAAAACCTCCACGATAAGGAGCTATGGTGGAATATATAAGAACAGCTTTGCTCACCCATGGCAGAGAAAAGTTCGGACAAAGGATATGAGGCTTAGACTTGCCAAAGCACATGTTAGCTAATTCCAAATATTCAACACTATTATTGAAATAAGAACTCCTGTAAATACTACTTAGCCACATCGCCTATATTATTCAGCTGAAGCATTACAGCTGTATCATAATCACAATGTTTCGGTAGATAATTGTCGTTGTAGTCTGGCAATCAAACAACTCTGCACATCCCATCTAATTGTTTTCCATTAACAAGCCAAAAGCATTGAAGTGTACTAGCCCAAAAACTTCATTCATATATAGAAAAGTTGTAACTAGTTTTCACATGCAAGTGAAATTTACATGTGAAATATATTAGCATTCCCAAACTAGATTCGCAATTTCAATAAAACCTAACCTCAAGGTACTTGAAATAGCAACTCTATGCTCTAAAACATCAATGAGCACCTCTATCCCAGCAAGCCAGTTACACTTATGCCGGTAATGAGCTGCTGTGGCAATTTTGTAGTGCATCTCAACTATAAACTGAACAACCACAATAAAGTTAATTACTTGTATAGTTACTACCGAAAACTCAAAAAGAGTGGTTAGATTGAGTAAAGACATTCTATCACATTAAGAAATGTTCAGCATAAAATGACCAGAAGTACCATGAAAACACGATCAGGTCGGAAAATGTTGATCTTGTCAATGACGCCCAAGCTTCCAGAAGGATCATTCCTAAATGATCCCAATAAAATTAAGTTAGATTGAAAAAAACCATTAAGAAACAGGAAAATTGCAAAAAGCTTAGAGGGGGTCGTGCACATCTCCAAGAATCCATCAACAACAGTCACTATAGCTCTAGCAATTGTATCTTTGGAAAAGAAAGGAAGCACAGGATCTGAAGCACAAGAAGAAAGCGAAAATATAGTGTTGACAATGGCAACCTGCAAGTTAAATATTGAAACTACTAGTTAATACTAATGATTTTCTTATTAAAATATGACAAGGGTAGAATAGGAAGAGGAGTGTTAATTACTTCTATTTTGGGAGTTTGAAACTCTTACTCCTACTCTTGCAATTTAACTTTCATTTACTTTTATTTAAGTAATATTTCAAGATCAACCAATGAAGACAAAGACCGATGGAAGAAACAAAATAGATATACATACAACAAAATGCACTTTCCAGTATATAAGATCCGACTCAAATTGATTAATAAATACACTAAGAAAATCATCTGGCAATGTTTTTACAATAACAGGATCAAGGACCATACCATTTGTTTCTTTATGAGTTTATCCCTTTCATTCTCAGACATTTCACCCATTTTCAATATTGAGCTCTCCAGAACTGCTGTTCCCTTCTCCCTCCCAGCGTTCTTACTGCAGTGTAATGCCATACAAACAGAGAAGATTTGCACAAAATGATTCCTAACTATGGAAAATTGTGGGAGGTTAATGATCTGCAAAAGACAGAAAATAACAGCACATAGTATGCATCAGATGCGTAAAAAGCTAAATAACACGCATTAATAGAAGTCATCAGCTATGTCAAGTCATATTATAGTCACCAAATAGCACTACCAATACAGTGATAAATTAATGAGTTCAAATTCAAGAGTTATCAAGACCATCAAATCCATCTTTGCATCAATTACTTGACAGTTGACAATAAGAATCTCACCAGCTTTGCTGTTCAACCCATCCCACAATCCCACTCGGACAATCCCTAAAAAATTAATGTAGTTCCAGAGAAAAAAATTAGAGTAATGTTGCTCATACCTGTGCAATCCAATTCAAGTTGCACACATCCCCATGTAAAATCAAAGCTGGAAGAAGCCAGTTGCAGCAATAATGAATGAAAGTGGTGGGCTCTGAGTCCAAAACAAAGAGATCCCTTGCCTAAAGTAGAAGTTAGTTACTAACAGATCAACTACAAGCATTTATGGGGAAAACAATTACTACTACGGGTATAAAAAAGACACAGTACCTCTAAAAGTGCAGCTAAGCTTACACCACAAGCAACCCAGCAGAAGAGAATTGGCCCCATTAGTTGATCCAAATACTGCCGAATGCCAATTAAACTTCATCAAAAAAATATTTAGAAACATTGTAAACATACCACAAGCATTTTTCTCTCTCACCTTTACCCTGGAAGTATATCGTAACTGCTTCGACAAATTATCCAGCACACAACTGACAAGTTCCCTGAAACAAGAGCACATTGCTTACAAAAAAAAAAGGAAACACCAACAAAATAAGAAACATGGTACCGTTGAGAAGGGTTTGTGGCAGCAATCGCACATATCGCAAAAACAGCCTGCAATGTACAAGATAGACAGCAGGAGTTGGTACAAGCGAAACAAAAAAAACAAAAATATAAGGAGGGGAGAGGAGAGGAGAGGAGAGGAGAGGAGAGGAGAGGAGAGGAGAGGAGAGGAGAGGAGAGGAGAGGAGAGGAGAGGAGAGGAGAGGAGAGGAGAGGAGAGGAGAGGAGAGGAGAGGAGAGGAGAGGAGAGGAGAGGAGAGGAGAGGAGAGGAGAGGAGAGGAGAGGAGAGGAGAGGAGAGGAGAGGAAATCAAGAACGGTGACGATGATGACATATTGGAAAGGCTGGACTAGACGACAGGGGCGATCCAAGACTTTGCATAGTGGGCCCGTTTCAGAAAAATGAAATAAGTATAAGGTACATCAAATAAAACATGAACAAAAAAGTTAAAAGATTGCCAATAATTAAAAGTTTACTGTCTTTCAAATTTTTATAATTCACGATACAATCATATAAGAGTATATACATTAATATAAAAATAGTAGGGGCCTAGGCTGCTAGGTGTCTGTGCCCATAGGCCGAAGCAAAGCGTTGAAGATCGCCTTCTTTAGTCGCCACCTAGGCAACTCTTACATATTTTTAGTTAGTCATTTGTTTGGCACCTAATGAGGGCATAGTGGGCCCGTTTCTGCAGCTCTCAAGTATCGCTAAACTCTTGAAACACAAATGTTTCTTCTTTTTCATCTTAGGTTTGATATTCTTTAAATCTTTTGTGGAGTTTTGATACAGGCATGTTTGTGGGCCATCAGTAACAATGCAGTTGTCTGTTATTGCAGAATTTAAAAAGGTTGGCGACTTTCCAAGTTTCTACTTTCCATTGCTTTCTTAATTGATTTAGAATTGCTATTTAGCAAGTCTATAAAAAATTAGTTGGAAAGAGTTGTAATAGCTTGACAACTCTTTCAGAAATCTTGTAATAGCTATATAAGGTTGGATAGATGCGATAAAGAAATCATCTTTGGGATACTAACTTTGGTGTCTTCGCAAAGTCAATGCCATGTCTTCCTCAGTAATGAGCGAGAGACACCATAGCTCCATCCATCTTGGATTCCTATTTTTATCCATCTTCTTTGCATGGGTGACCTTGGATAAGGAATTGCATGTACACTATTAGGGTTTTAGAAATTGTTCTGAATAGGAGTAAAAACGTTTTCAAAATCCAAAATGGGACATTCATGTTTGTATTCCCTAAATAGGAGTAATTTCTGCCAAGTTTGGAAAAAACTTGGCAAAAACTGCCATGTTTGAAGCCTGATAATTTCAAACTTGACAGAAATTACTCCTATTCAGGGAATAAAAACATGACAATCCTATTTTGGAATTTCAAAACTTTTTTACTCTTATTTAGGGAATTTTCCCTTAGTTTTTTCAGAGATAATATTCAAGTGTCATCTTAATTTCAACCTTGTGCACCAATCGTTTGAAAAAAGGAACAAATGGTGCTATTCGTTCTAATTCCTATTGGAATAGCCTTATTATAACTTCAGTTATTAAATGGGATACCTAACCAGTTTTACCTATCAATGAGGATACATATTTGCCACAGATGAGTACGTGCTAGCAAAAAAGCCCAAGATGCAGTGTTGCAATTACAAACCATAATAACATTATGGTGTCTATGTCTTCATATGTCACTATCATAGTTGTGAGAAGCACCTGAGGCGGACGCAAGGCAAACAAAGCACATGGCGCCCTTTAATATGAGAGGCGGTCGATGTAACAGAGGTTGAGATGTGTGTGCGACTCGACACCTTATGCAAATGAGGCGTGCGGCAATTCCAGCCAACTTGATTAAAAAAATAGCTCTCCTACAGTTAACTATACAGGCTTGGTCTTCACATACTAACAAAAGACGTCGTTCACAGAGCTTTGAGCCATTTCCAGACTGATTCAACATTCGCCCCTCTCCTATGTTTGGTGATAATCAGGTTGAAGATGAACTGGGCGGACTTTTTTACGATGATTTGGATGAACAATTTGATGACGGGGGGATGAAGGTTGTGATGCTTGACTGCTTATATCCTACGTTGCATGGAAACGTGGGAAACATTGGGAAATGGGAAACATTGTTTTTAATAGAAAAACAAGTGTTGTTTATATCATCTGTAGCTCTTTAGCTTTTTTTAAATCAGGGTGTTGTTTTATATTAACACATTTACCTATATTCTTTTGCGTCTCACACTCATGAGGTGAGCGCCTCTTATGCACCTTAACAACTATGATCATTAGTACATTAAGTCATTGCTTGACTTGCGATTCCACACCTTCAACTTGATCACATTATAATGCATGTGTTCTCTATATTGTTTAAACCATACATAGAGGTTGTGTTATTGAAGGCGCTACATGTGTGTGCTTCCAGAATATTCTCAATCCCAACTGCCGGAGTGACGTGGCCTCCTGCACAGCGCTGGTGACGTGGCAATGACTTGCACAATACTTGATTGTTGAAATGTTCAAGTCAACACTTGGTTAATGAGGCCCCGAGCTCCGTGAGGTCAGAGCTCGGGTATAGTGAGTTCTTCAAGAGGATCTGGTCCTGGTCTTCAGTTTGTCTGGTGGCGGTCATTTCTTCATATGTAATGACTCCCGTTGACTCGTGTTTGTATCTGAGGTTGGACCTGGTACCGAGCTTGGTGTGTTCGAGGTCAGCCTCAGATTTGGCCGTATCTTGGTGATCTGGGAGCCTGATGTTGCACCGACCTCGGAGGGTTGAGGTCGGCCTCGACCGTGGTTCCATACTTTGTTGATTTGTGGACTTGTGTTGTGACCCGACCTTGTGCATCGAGGTAGGCCTCGACAGGAGCTTTGTACTAAATGTTGATACCACTGAAGTCCTTGCCCGTTGATTATGGTACCCCTGGGGTATACGGGAATATACTCCCATCAGTTTTAATTTTCTGAATTACATTCTCCCACCTACTTTATCATTTATCTTCTCTTTCTTACTATATCACTTTGTCATTTTACTCTACTCCTACTATTTCCTCCTAAAATAACGTGCCAGAGCCTATTGTAGCAATCTTTCCAATATGGAGGGAGTGGGATACAGGTGATAGTTGTTAACTTGTTATTATTTAAAGTTACTTTCCCTAAATTAAATATGTATATAACATTTTATGGATGTATACTCCACATTATTAATACTAATACTAATTTATAAGGAATGTGATTAGTTAAAAATTTGCTATTAGGGATCTGCACAAGTCCTTGATATTACTAAATACGAAATTGCTACTTATTTCATGTCATTAGCATTTGCAATAGTTTCCTATTCAGATTGTATTATTGTAATTATATTTTAGTTGATAATCTTATTAGCAATATTGTAATAGATTTATGGCCCTATTTATTTGCCCACCAAGCCTGTGTTTGTAGTAGAAATAGAGGCTTACCCTCTAGGGAGGAAGTCAGACTTACATCTTTAGGGCTTAACTTTGCTAAAATGCCTCTAGTGATAGGCCACAATCACATAGTTAAAGTCATAAGTATATGGTGCCCAGCAAGAATGAGACACGAGAGTAATCTAAAAGAGGTTGAGGGAACATGTATTGATTATTGAAGTTATAAAATCTGTCTCGGTAAAAAATTGTTCTCCCTACATGACCCATGTTGAAACTCTAAACCATGACTTATTGGGCTGAACCCACGTTATGTAGTTAGACCTAATTGAACCCTAATTATAGCTATAAATATAGCTATTGTAGTAATCTTTCATAAGATGAATAAGTATAAGAATCATATACTTCACATGGTATCAGAGCCATATATTACGTGGTGTTCAGTTTATTCTTTAGTTTTTCTGGCGTGAAGATTTCCGATGGGGAGTTTTCCGGCGGGAGTTTGACTGTTCATTTTCCAAGGCTTTCTCGGTAGTGTGTTTTCAAGGGCAATCCTTCACCCCACCTCGGAATATCAGCACGACCCACCAGCAGAAATCTCACCAACGGAGACCCACCTACGCGCCGCCATGAGCAGCCTCAAGTTACAGAACCTACACTGCTCATCTCCTCTACTGTTCTCCGCTGCTCCGTTTTTGTCGCAACCTATACCAGAAGAACGGCAACCCTTCGGCAACCCTCCCTAGAAATTTTGGAGTCTGTCCGCTGCTGCCGGAAAACCCACGCACCGCCGCTGGATCTTCAATGCCAGACCAGTCTACCCGAAATTCCAATCCCTATATGCTGTCCTTCACCACCATGCCCACTTTCATTACTACATCAGTCAGCACTCTGTCATCTCCGGTTGGGCTTCCACACGAAGAATTTGAGGATTACATAATATTTGTCTAAGCCACTTTCATTAGAAGTGTTTGAAACACAAGCAATAGATAAACTGGTAGGAGAAAACAATGTTGATGACATTGTCATTACAAGTAATGATGAACAGCGAATCACTCAGCTCAAGGAATATCTCTTTAGCAGATTCCAAACAAAAGATTTGGAGAAGTCACAATACTTTCTTGGTATTGAGGTTGCACAATCTCACAACGGTATTGTCCTTTCCTAGAGGAAATATGTGTTGGATACTCTTGAGGAAACAGCTATGCTGGAGTGTAAACAAGTAGATACACCGATGGATCTAGATGTCAAGCTCTTACATGAACAAGGAGAGCTCTTACTAGATCGAGAGATATGGTAGACTCATTGGGAAGCTACACTATCTCACAATTACGAGACCGGATATTTCCTTTGTTGTAAGTGTTGTTTAGCTAACTTTTGGATAAGCTATGTGATGGCCGTGGGGATGCAACTGCCCGAGTCTTGAGATACATAAAGAAAACACTGAGTCACTAAGTCAAAGGGTACTCTACAAAGACCAAGGCTACAATAACATTGTGTGATAATGTGATACAGACTAGGTTGGATGTCCCACCGAGAGATGTTCTACTTCTGCATATTGTATCTTGATTGGTGGAAACTTGATTTCATGGAAGAGTAAGAAACAAGATGTTGTTACATTAAGTGCTGAAGCAGAGTTCCGTGCAATGGCCCTTGCTGCATGTGAGATTTTATGGTTACAGTGCCTCTTTATACGAAAGCATAAAACCGTTGCAACTAATGTGTGAGAATCAAGTTGCAATGCACATCGCATCTAACCCAGTGTTTCATAAGAGGACTAAGCATATTAAGGTTGATTGTCACTTCATCCAAGAGAAGATTTTAAAAGGACAAATAATCACAAGTTATGTCAGCACAACAGATCAGCTTGAAGATGTTTTAACAGAATCTCCTCTTCGAGGGCCTAGAATAGAATACATTTGTAACAAGTTTGGTGCATATGTTTTATATGCTCCAGCTTGAGGGGAGTGTTGAAACCCTAAACCATGGCTTATTGAGCTCAGCCCACCTTATGTAGTCAGCCCTAACTTTACCCTAGTTATAGCTATAAATATAGTAATCGTTGTAATCTTTCATAAGATGAATAAGTATGAGAACCATATATTTCAAAACCCAATAGAGTGAAATTAATCCATGCATGTAGCAATTTGTTGGTCTTTATATCCTTCTGCAAAGCTAAAACATTTTTTAAAGAATACATAATAGTGGGCCAAAATTTCCCAAACCATGTAACAAAACATTACGAATGGATGCCAAGTGGAGAACTTACCGCCAGCTCTATTGTCTCACTCCACAGAGCAAGATGCATCAGAGTAATAATTGTTGTTTCTAGGATTTGGCAAGGCTGAGTACCTTCAGCTAAGACCTCACTGGCAGTCACTAGTCTTTCTCTGGTGCACATGACAAACTTCAAGCCAATGTTTGAACTACAACAGGAAATTGATTGTGGAAAGAAATCATGAGATGGAACACTTAGAAGGTTTAAAATGTTAAACAAGAAAGTGAAAAAAAATTATTTATCAGCAGAGGATCAGAATAAGTAACAATAGATATTAAAATGAAACCATTTATCAGAACAACATTTCATACTTATGGTAATAGACTAGGTTAGAGTACGGAGTGGTCTATACTAAAAGCATATCAATGCGCAACCAAAAGTTAAAATAAAAAACATCATTCAAATGAAGAGAACATATCACACAGAAATGAGAAAGAACCAAATGTCATATTTTTTAAGTCTTGGATTCATAGTTTCAATCATTTAGGTCCTACATTGTTTTCATCTTTCTAGATGGCATATCTAGAAAGATCACAAACCAATAAACTGCCTCTTTGTATATTGTTTGTGTTTTAGTGATCCAGAACCTGAAAGACATTAGCTTTTGTTGAATAAAAAACTACTCCCTTTGTCTCTTCTTCATTTTCCTTCTTTCTTTATTTGTCCGTCCCAAACTAATTTCAGTTTCACCATTTTTCTCTCCATAAATCTGGAAAGGTAAATATCTATAAGCACACCTTTCAGTGTTGTTGTGTTGTATCATGCACCTTTTAAAAATCCATGTATGCATAGCAAAGATAAGATTCCGAAGAAGAATAAATCAGCATCCCACACTGATGTACTAACCAAGAGTGGTGAAGATAAAAAAAGATAAAAAACATATCGCAGGAGCAAATCAGCTAATATGCAGGCATAAATACAAGTTTTAGAGTTGCCAGTGGAAAAGCTATCAACCAGAAAAGACTAATTCCTGAACATCCAGCAGTGATAAGGAAGCAGCAAATCACAACAATCAAGCACCAACATATTGAGAAAAAGCAGAGAACCCCAACACATTATCTTTGTAGCTCATTGTGTAACTTGGAAGTAAGCTACATTTCTTTGAAAGCAGTAGACCCAGATTCAAATCCCACAACCCATCGCCCATCAGATGTTTCAAAGACATGAAAAAGTAAAACGCCAATACATAAAAAAAGATCTATACTTAATATACAGTTTTCTGACATTTCATAAATTTTATGCCTCTTCAGACTGATGGAAATATAATGCCCAAGTCGTAGCATAAATATGAGGATATGCTAAGAACCATGAAGAGAAGCTTATCATAACTTATTGAAAATGTATTCAGCCATAATAGAACGGCTCTGGGATTTATTTCCAAAGCTGTAGAGCTTTCGCTGGCCAAAAGCAAAAACTTAAAGGAATATAAAATATCACATCGAGTAGAACTCTACCAAATGTCCTGGAAAAGCTCAAAATGGCCATCCCACATTTGGAAAAGGATGCCAACTCGTTGGGCAAGGAAGAACCGAACACGATAATCAATATCTTGAAGCATTAGCATCAGCTTCTCAATCAAAGACTGCACAAGTATACAACAAAAATCATCTAACAGAATTGCTAAATATATGCGTCTAATTTGAGGATCTAACAATATGAAATGAAGAATGACACAAATATTACTCACGGAGATTTAATGAACAAAAATACAACTACCTTTAACTGTTTTTTAAAAAGTGATTAAATATTCCCAAACCCTAAATCTATATTCTATACCATCTATTCCCTTGTCCCCATCAACTTCTCATCTACCGTCGACGCCGGAAATTTTCTGGAAAACAATGCCTTTTCCTACCAACGCAAAAAGTCACTGGAAGCAGCCTTCAATGGTGACGGTGACATGTGGGGCGGTATCAATCACGGTGCTGGACAGGCTGTTATGTTGCCACTAGCAGCGACATATTTAGTAACTTATTTAGAGTATATAAAAAAATGTCATATTTATGTCTTTGGCATTGCTTTTAGAAGTAAAGTAATTGCCCCAAATAAGAGTAAAACAATGCTTTAATTCCATGTAGAAAAATATGACATGTATTTCTATTTTTTAATTAATGTACGTATGTAGCTGTATAGATAAGAGTTTAGAGCTGTTAGACCTCTTTAATTAAGAGATAAGCACGCAGTTAGATAGATCCTATATTTTAGGATCTGTACCGGGAGTTTGTTATTTGTAATTTGTATATATACTCCTGCCGGATGGCTCAATAATATTCAAGGAAGATTAATTCCTAAAACCTACATGGTATCAGAGCCCCGGTTTAAACAACACGATGGCCAGTGATTCTGATTCATCATACACTAGCAACCCTACCTCCCAAACTAGCCCTATGACAAATTACCAGTCTCCTATTCATTCATCTATGCTAATCACTAGCCATAGATTGATTGGAAAGAACTATTTGGAATGGTCTCAATCTGTCAAGCTCGCAATTGATGGGAGGGGAAAACTGGGCCACCTAACAGGAGAAATCAAATCAAAAAAAAATGGTGAGGAAGGCTACAGTACATGGAGGTCAGAAAATTCCCTTGTAACAGCCTGGCTTCTCAGTTCCATGGAGGCCTCAATTGCTAAACCTCATATGTTTATGAAGACAGCAAAAGAGGTCTGGGATTCCATAAAAGAAACATACTCAGACCTTGAAAACTCTTCTCAAATCTTTGAGTTAAAAACCATTCTCTGGCAGTCCAAACAAGGAGATAGAGATGTCACCACTTACTACAATGAAATGGTGTCTCTATGGCAAGAGTTGGATCAGTATTATGATGATGAATGGGAGAGTGCAAAGGATCTGGCCAAACACAAAAAAAGGGAAGAAAATGATAGGGTTTATATTTTCCTGGCAGGAGTTAATCAAAGTTTTGATGAAGTGAAGGGAAGGATTCTGGGAAAGAAGACTTTGCCTTCAATCAGGGAGGTCTTCTCTGAAATCAGGATTGAAGAAAGCAGAAAAAAGGTTATGAATAACAATCCAGGACCTCATACGGGAGACTCCACAGCAATGGTGGCCAAAGGAGAAGAAAGAAAGAAACCATGGTGTGATCATTGCAAGAAGTTGTGGCATACAAGGGAAACTTGCTGGAAGATCCATGGAAAGCCACCAGGAGCAGGAAAAAAGAAATTTGAGAAAGCTCTCAATACTACTGTGACTGAGACTCAACAAGAGCAAGAAGTTAATTCCGAACAACTTCCTTTCACAAAGGAAAGGATAGAGCACCTACTCCCGTTTCTAGCTACTCAAAAAATATCCAACCAGGAAACCCCTTCTTGTTCTTTTGCCCAAAATGGTAAAACTATATCATATTTCTGTTCTGAAAAATCAAAAAACACCCGGGTCCTTGACTCGGGTGCAACAGACCACATGACCTTTATTCCAAATTCCTATTCTTCATATAAACCTTGTGCAGGGGATAAAAAAGTCAAAGTTGCAGATGTCTCTTTTTCAACCATTGCAGGGATGGGAAATGTCAAGATTTCTTCATCTATTAACCTTTCTAAAGTCCTACATGTTCCAAAACTTTCTTGTAACCTTGTCTTTGTTAGCAAGTTAACCAAAGACCTCCAGTGCTCTGTTAAATTTTATCCATCTTATTACATTTTTCAGGATCTGGCATCGGGGAGGATGATTGGCAGTGCTAGGGAGGAAGATGGACTCTATATCTTTGATGAAAGGACTGAATTAAATAAAGAAGGTCAAGGAAAAACTTGTCTGCAAACTATTTCTTTTCGTTGTAATAATGAGGTGTATTTAATGCACTATAGATTAGATCATCCTAGTTTTTATTATTTGAAAAAATTGTTTCCTCAATTATTTCATAATAGAGATCCTTCATCATTTCATTGTGATATGTGTGCACTTGCAAAACATCACAAGAATTCTTATATTCCTCATAGTTACAAACCAACTAGTCCATTTACTCTTGTGCATAGTGATATTTGGGGTGCATCTAGAGTTTCTACATTACAAGGAAAGAGGTGGTTTGTAACTATCATAGATGATCATACCCGGGTAACATGGGTTTTTTTATTAAAGAAAACTCTGAAGATGAAGATGTGTTCAGAAAATTTTACTCAATGGTCCAAACTCAATTCAATACCAATATCAAAATGGTAAGAAGTGATAATGGTCGTGAGTATTTTTCTCAAAGTTTAAATAATTGTTTTTGCTGAAAAAGGGATTGTACATCAAAGTTCTTGCATAAATACACCTGCTCAGAATGGAATAGCTGAGAGGAAAAATAGGCATTTACTGGAAGTTACTCGTGCAATCATGTTTTCAACCAAAGTTCCAAAATATTTATGGGGAGATGATGTTTTACATGCTACCTATTTAATTAATAGGATGCCATCAAAACCTCTAGGATTTAAAACTCTTATTGACACACTTCAAATCAGTTTTCCTAAAACCAGACTGATCAGCTCTCTTCCCTTAAAAAAATTTGGTTGCACGGTATTTGTCAACAATCCTGATAAAACAGCAAGCAAGTTTGACCCTAGAGGTACAAAATGTGTTTTTCTAGGACTATCTTCAACACAGAAAGGATATAAATGTTTTGATCCTACAACAAAAAGGATGTTTGTAACCATGAACACTCATTTTGTTGAGCATCAAGCTTTTTTTAGTTCTCATCTTCAGGGGGAGAATTCTAGTGAAGATGGTAAAAGTGTTCTACATATTCATGAAAATCTTGAATTTCTTGACATTAATCTAGATGCACATCATACTAGAAACTTAGATGCATCAAAAAATGGTCAAAAATTAGAAGAAAATGAAATAAATATAACTGAAACAAGGAAAGAAGATGAGCAGCAGACAAGTAAATTTTTTGGCAAAGTTTATGAAAGGAGAGTTCCAAATCAAAGAATAGAGGACATCTCTGATCCGCTCATGAATCTGACTTGATACCAGCAAATGAAAAAGGTAATAATTTCAATGATCTTAATTTGCCAATTGCTCTCAGAAAAGAGAAAAGGTCATGTGGCAGATACCCTATCTCAAACTATGCGTCTTATTCCTGGTTGTCCTTATCATTTGCAACCTTTACCTCTACTCTTTCCTCTATTGCAATTCCATAACCATAGAGGAAGCTCTATCTAAACCTGAGTGGAAGAAAGCTGTTTTAAAAGAGATGGATGCTCTTGAAAGGAATCAGACATGGCAGGTTGTAGAGTTACCCAAGAACAAGTCAACTGTGGGATGTAGATGGGTTTTTACCCTAAGTTCAAGGCAGATGGAACACTTGAAAGATATAAGGCCAGGCTGGTTGCCAAAGGATATACACAAACCTATGCAATAGATTATACTGAGACCTTTGCTCCTGTTGCAAAATTAAATACTATAAGGATTCTTCTATCTTTAGCTGCTAACCTAGATGAAATGTGTCGGTATAGGACCCAAATGATTGAAAATATATCAATCTAGGACCTAAAATTTCATAGGTTTTGATTGAATTGAATTTTTTATTATTTCCATTCCTAATTGTCGATGAATTTTTTTTCTTCACAAAAGTTTATTAGTTCAATAAAATTAAATAACATTTTAAATTTTTAAAAATAAACAAAGAATAAAATTCATGACAACTTAGGTCGTAGATAGATAATTTTCAATCATTTGGACCCTATACCGACACATTTAATCTTTCAGACCCCAGATGGATAGCTCATCTATCTTTCTGGCTCTGTATTGATAAAAATTCCTTTTTTGAAAGTATAGGTTTTTATTTTAGCATTCTAGTTGTATTTTAATATTTGTTGTTAGTATGAATAAACAACTTGGAAGGGGAGTTGTGGCGCACCAGTTACAGTGTTCTTGTGTGAGTGTGTGACTGAGAGATCAAAGGTTCAAGCCAACTTAGGTCCTAGATAGATAATTTTCAATCATTTGGACCCTATACCGACACATTTAATCTTTCAGACCTCAGATGGATAGCTCATTTATCTTTCCGGCTCTGTATTGATAAAAAATCTTTTTTTGAAAGTATATGTTTTTATTTTAGCATTCTAAATGTATTTAAATATTTGTTGTTAGTATGAATATACAACTTGGAAGGGGAGTTTTGGCGCACCAGTTACAGTGTTCTTGTGTGAGTGTGTGACTGAGAGATCAAAGGTTCAAGCTTTGGGAGCACCCTTTTGCAAAAATGACAAGGAAAGGCTAGCCCCTATACACCCTTGCGATGGGACACTTCCCTATGGCTGCACCTTTAGAGGAACATTGGAAAGCTGTGAAACACATCTTAAGATATCTATCTGGCACTACTAATCATGGCCTGATCATTAAACCTCTTCCTTTATCAACTATGCCTCTACCAACTTCAACCTTCTGTGATGCTGATTGGGCATCTGATCCCACAGACTGTGATCACTCCACTTCTGACTATCTGCTTCGTATTCACACAATAATCGATAACCTAATGTTTGTCAGTGAGCCTATATCAACCAAGGATCATATCAATGTGATCCTTGAAGGTCTTCTAGAAGACTATGAGTCCCTCTCTTCTGTTACTTCTCGAAGCATTCTGGATCCAGTCACTGTCTGAGCTTGAAGCTCTTTTATTAGCTAAAGAATTACGACTGAGAAAATTTCGTGATTCACCACAGCAAACATTATTTTCTGCTAATGTTGCTCGACTTGAAGATTCTTCTCAAAACACTGATGTTGGATCTCAAAATCCTTCAGAAAATGCCTCACCTCAAGTTGCTCATTTTGATAACTCTGGTGGAACTCCTTCGAGGTAGAGGTCGTGGAGGTTTTAACAAAGGCAGAAGTGATCGCTCTAGTGATCGCAACTCGTTATTTGTAAGTTTGTGGAAAAAATGGCCACAATGCTCTTGTAAGTTTGACTGGGGAGGTGAGTTTAGATCATTTACAAAATTCCTCACTGAAAAAGGTATCACTCATAGTGTAATCTGCCTTTCTTAATGGTGTCCATCTTATCAATAGAATTCGTTCAAAATCCATTGAACATCTTAGTCCATATTTCAAACTTTATGGAACTGATTATTCCTTTCTTAAAGTCTTTAGCTGTACATGTTACCCTTTCATTCGACCTTACAACAAAACAACAAACATAAACTGGACTACCACTCAAAAGAGTGTATTTTTGGGCTACTCTTCTCAGCATAAAGGCTACAAATGCCTTTCTCCCTGTGGAAAATATATCTCTCCAGGGATGTTATTTTTGATGAAACAAAATTCCCTTATCTCACTCTTTTCCCTTCCACATCCACTCCATCTCACAATGTCCCAATTCCATTTTCTGCTCCCATAACAATATTTCATCCGTCCTTCTCTTCACATCTCAATTCCAACAATGGTGCTACTCCAACTTTCACCAACTCCAGTTCATCTTCCAGTACTTCTTCTACTCCCCCATCTTCATCTACTTTACCTCAGTCTACCTTTAATCACACCACTGATCATCAAGTCTCTCCTGAGACTAACTCACCTCATCTCAATTCCCTAAATAATACCCATGCTTGTCACGGCGTCGCCTAGCCGTCGCCGACTAGGCATCCTGGCACTAGGGACTGCTCGCTAGATGGAGAGTAGTCGTGAATGGCGTCGTCTAGGCGCTGTTTTGGCGTCGAAGTCCTCGCCTTTTTGGAAAGTCGGACCGCTATGGCGCAGGCCCAGAACCCAAAATAAAAATAGATTTAGGATTTAATTAAAAGCAAGCCCATAGTAATCTTCAGTACCGACGATTCGTTGCTCAAAGTCGTATAGCCAAGCCAAGTCGCGGCCTCGTAGAGTCGCAGGAAGCAGACGAACAACTCCACGAAGAAGACAAACTCGCAGGTATCGCTCTCCTTCAGTCTCTCGCTCGCAGAAGCAGAGTAGCAGACGACTCCCCAATTCTCAGTCCCCGATCTCTTCTTCTTGGCTTCATTTTTTTATTATTTTAATTAATTAAGTTGTGTATTTATATATATATATATATATATATATATAAAAGGGTGTATTTTCATCTATCTATCAATATATGTGTATATATACACTTCTATATTACAGAATCAAGATATAATTTGATATAATGATATACCCAACCTGTGAGACTTCTATTTTATTACTCCCTCCGTCCCATAATTAACTTCGGTTTTGACTGGGCACGGGGATTAAGATAGTGGGATTTGTGTGGTGGAGAGTTGTGCAGAGGAGAGAGAAATGTGTAAGAATGATTGTGAACCATGTATTCTTTATCAAAAAAGGAAAGAGGAGATAAATTTGGGACGGACCGAAAAGGAAAGAATGAAGATAATTTCGGGACGGAGGGAGTATAAGTTATAAATTATAAAATAATAAACTATTAAAATAATCATAAAAACTGGTACATACTACTCCCTCCGTCCCTAATAACTTTGCCAAGTTTGACCGGCACGGAGAATAATAAAGTAAAAACAGTGTGGTTATGATTTGTACAGAGGAGAGAGAAGAGGAGAGAGAATGAGCTGAAACCACAAATTTTTTACTTAAAAGGGAAAGTGGCAAAGTTAGTGGGACATCCAAAAAAGGAAAGTTGTCAAAGTTATAAGGGACAGAGGGAGTAATATATACCACGTATGATATACATATTTTGCATAGTTTAATTATATATTATGATTATTATATATATATATATATGTGTGTGTGTCTATATATAATATTATTCATATATGGGAGACTAGTCGCCTAATTGTCACCTAGGCGGGCGCCTTATCGCCTAGGCGATATGGCGGTCGGCTGGCGCCGCGACTCGACTTACCGCCATGACAAGTATGATAATACCACCAACATCTCCTCTTCTACACCATCTGTCCTTTCCTCTTCTCCCACACCTACCATTCCCTTTAGTAACACTCATCCTATGCAAGCCAAATCAAAAGTTGGGATTGTTAAACCTAGACTTAATCACACCTTACTCTTGGCTAGTTGGCTCATATTGAGCCCAAATCAGTTAAGCAGGCTCTCTCCTCTCCACCTAAGTTTGCAGCAATGCAATCTGAATATAATGCTTTGTTAGCTAACAATACTTGATGCTTAGTTTCTCTTCCTCCAGGGAAGCAAGCAATTGGTTGCAAGTGGCTGTTCAGAATCAAGGAAAACTCAGATGGGTCTGTTAATAAATTCAAAGCAAGGTTGGTGGCCAAAGGGTTTCATCAAATGTTTGGTTTTGACTTTGGAGAAACATTTTCTCCGGTAGTCAAACTTGTTACCATCAGAATTCTTCTCACACTAGTTGTTTCTAACCAATGGTCTATACAACAACTTGATGTTAACAATGCCTTCCTAAATGGAGATCTTGACGAAGAGGTATACATGACACAGCCCCCTGGATTTCAGGTCAAAGACACTTCTCTTATTTGCAGACTACACAAATCTATGTATGGCCTCAAATAAGATCCCAGGGCTTGGTTTCACAAACTTACTTCAGTTTTGTGCAATGCTGGGTTCAAGCAAAGCAAGACAGCAAGTGTGATCCTTCTTTACTCATCTACCTAACTTCTGAAATACAAATCTATATCTTAATCTATGTTGATGATATCCTAGGTATTGCAAACAATCCTTGGAATCAAGTGTGATATCTCACTACAGATCTGTTGTTGGAATCCTACAATATGCTACCTTAACCAGGCCTGAACTCAGCTATGCTGTGATTAAAGTGTGTCAGGATATGGCTTCCCCTTTACAAGATCATTGGAAAGCTGTGAAACACATAAAACACATACTGAGATATCTATCTGGCACCATTACTCATGGACTAATCATCAAACCTCTTTCTTTATCAATTATACTTCTACCTATCTCAACTTTCTGTGATGCTAATTGGGCATCAGATCCTACAGACAGAAAATCTACATCTGGATCATGCATCTTTTTAGGCCCTAATATCATTTCCTGGTGGTCTAGGAAACAACTAAGGGTAGCCAGATCTTCAGCAGAAGCTGAATATAGAAGCCTAGCAGACACTACATCAGAGATTCATGGATTCAATTTCTGCTCAAAGACCTTCAAGCTCCTTTTATTACTCCCAGAATCTACTACAACAACCTTAGTACAGTCCAGCTTTCCCACAATCCTGTACTGCATTCTCGCATTAAACATATGGAAATTGATCTCTTCTTTGTACAAGAGAAAGTCAAACTCAAGCAGCTTGAAGTCTTTCACATTCCAGCTCCTCAACAAGTTGCAGATGTGCTGACCAAGCTTCTATCTGCTTCTACATTTCTTGAATTTAGAAACAAACTGAGTGTGATTGACTTTCCAAAGCAATCACCTCATTTTGAGGGAGGAATGTTAGGAATAGTGTATGAAAACTACACGTGTATTTCTCTATAATATAGTGTAACTATAGTCTGTTAGGCTTCGGTTATATTAGATGTTAGTTAGTTGTGACTACTGCTTGTATAAATACTCTGTAACTACTCATTCTCGGTAAGATGATTTCATTCCCATCTTCTACCTTGCTTCTATTTCAATACATATAACAAGATAGCACGTTTAGTTACTGGGTTTAATTAAGGGCACTTTTGCAAACCCTCTATTTACACCTACGAACTTTTAACTCCTATTTTTCAGTTTTACATTGTTTTACTACTACTTTGAAAATTGTTTCTCAAAACTATTTATGTTAACACCGCAAAGAAACTTATATCAACAGATATATTATAAAAGATTAAAAGAAAAAAGTAATACTTCCACTACTTTATTAACATAAACTTGATAGCAAATAACCTGACCAACTTGAGGATCTAACAATATCAAATTGCAAATGCAGTCAATTTGCTTAGTACGGCCACTCCAGTTGAAGGCATTGTTTTCCGTCACTTTGCTAATCAGTTCTTGAAGAGAGATGATGCCCTGCAAGCCCAATAGGGGACATTATGTACATTCATATGGACTTTGTATACCACTCGGTCCTTGCATTACAAAAAACAATCATCTATACTAGTGCTTTTATGAAGTGTCAACTAGTCCAATCAATTCAAAAGAATATAATCCCTCCATCCCAGGCCAAATATGTGAAAATAGAATAATAAAGTTAAAAATGTGTGGTAGAAATTTGTGCAGAGAAGAGAGAATAATAATAGTGAAAAACGTGCAGAATAATAAAGTGAAAAATGTGTGGTAGAAGTTCGTGCAGAGAAGAGAGAATAACTTTAACCACATATATATTACTCTCGTCGTCCTAACTCCTAATTTGTAAGATACTTTACGGTTTACGATGTTTGACTGACGATAAAGCAAATTGATCCCTGTCAACACTCAAATTTGTTTTAAAAAATAAAATTTACATATTCAGAAACTACATTAAAACCGCTACAAAGCCTGCAAAAAATAATTCAAATTTCATAAATTTTGATATATAAAGTAAAAGATTAAGAGTGATTTATGTTGACCAAGTGAATAGGAAATGTATCTTACAAATTGGGACTGAGGGAGTACTTCAAATGGAAATGGCAAAGTTATTTGGGACGGAGGGAGTACTAAAGTTCTTGTTGTGGATGCATTACTTCACTTTTCTAAAGTTTTTGTTAGCAATAAGTGATTGCCAATCACGTCTTCCCCTGTGAATCGGTTTTGACCATTTCGTTTCACACTTTTTCCTTTGATTGTGGCTCTTTCACGCTTTTGATAAATTCCAATTTTTCTTTTTCTGTGCTAACCCATGCTAGAGAAATGTAACCAGTAGACCCGGTTACATTTCTTATTCAATGCTAGAAATATAATAAAAATTGCACTTTAGAGGATAGATGGGGATAACAAATAGGTTTAGGCAATGGGGTACTTGTACATATTTACCACACATCATTAAAAGTAAATATGTACAATGACCTCCATTACCCCCAATAAATAAAGGATACTTGTCATCCTTAAAAGTATATTTATGAAATTGTTGCTTTTGATGTATAATTATAGCTTTTTATATGTATAATTGTATATAATAAGTATTACACCTCAGTCATACGCCTCATTGCCCAATTAGGCTTGAACAATGTGATGTACACAAAAAACGCCTCAAATACAAAATTTTGAACCTTGTGTAGTACTACTGGGGGAGGTGGTAGGGGTCGTGTTGGGGTAGGAGGTTAAGGCAATTGAGGAGACGGGGTGGGTCAGTTGGTGGTGGCAAGGCGCAGGGGCAGCACCGCGGGGCAGGGATTGGAGGGAGGGCGGCCATTGCACTGATGTGGTAGGGAGGCGGCGGCTAGAGCTTATGGGTGAGGCTACGGTGGTGGCAGGGCGGGGGAGGTTAAGGAGGGGGTGGCGATTGGGCTGGGGAGGGGGCAGGGCGGGCTAGGGCTGAGCTGGTGGGTCAATGACTAGTTGGGTCAGGGTGGTGCTGGTCACTAGGCGAAGATGGTTGAAAGTTAGGTCAGTGAAGCAATTGTAACTCACCGGCAGTGGTCTCCCGGGTGGTCACTGGCCGGTGGTGGTGGTCAGTGTTACCGGCAGCGGTGGTCATTGTGACCGGCGGCATTGGTAGTGTGGCTGGCGGCATTGGTCAGTGTGACCGGCAGCGGTGGTCACTGACTCACTATCAGAGGTGGTCACTGACCGGCAGTAGTCACTATAGCCGGCGGTGGCCATTGGGTATCAGGAAGTCTAACTAAGTAAAATGCATTCAAGAGTTTCCAAATTTAGTGCTTAATTAGTCTCATTTTTGGAAACTCAAGAAAATGTCTCTTTTTTGTCCATAACCATTTTTTTAGTAATAATGTAATATTGCCATAATCCTAATGTTTACGAATACCCAAGTAAGTATATTAATGGTCAAATTCATGTGTTGGCAAATGTGATATTCAAGTATTGCGGCTAGATAAGAATGGAGGTAGTAAAGTTCATTATTCATATGTATATCAGTATATAATATAATATATACATATACATACATGAAAATAAATTGTTACTAATATTTTATGAGAAAGCATTTATAACTTATAATATATATATATATATATATATATATTTATATATGTAATAATAATACAATCTCCGTGCCCCTAAGATTGGGAGAAAACGGAGTGGTGTGTTTATTAAGAAAAGTGCAATTGTATGATTTATATTTGTTGAAATATAAACTACAATGATAATAAAGATGGAGAGAAGGATTTTCTGTGTATTTCATTAGTTGTGGAAGTCCCTATAAATATACATTACAAATAGAATATTCCTATATAAGATTCTATACAATCATAATATCTATGGTATATTCCTAATATATTCTATAGCATATTCTAAAGTATATTCTAATATACTTTCACACTCTCCCTCAAGTTGGAGCATAGATATTTATCATGCCCAACTTGTTACATAAATAACCAACTCGAATTCCATTTAGTGCTTTAGTGAACAAATCTCCAAGTTGTTCCCCGGTCTTCACATATCCTGTAGAGATCAATCCTTTTTGTATCTTCTCTCGAATAAAATGACAATCGACCTCAATATGTTTCGTTATCTCATGAAACACTGGGTTGTTGGCAATGTGTATAGCAGCTTGGTTGTCACACCACAGTTTAGCAGGCATTGGTGTCTTCAATCCAATTTCACTCAATAAATGGTTTATCCAGATTATCTCACATGCCGATTGTGTCATAGCACGATATTCTGATTCGGCACTAGATCGAGAAACCACATTTTGCTTCTTACTTTTCCAGGAGACAAGATTACCATCAACAAAGACGCAATAGTCAGATGTAGATCTTCTATCATCTTTAGATCCAGCCCAATCAGCATCTGCAAAGCATTCTATTCTCATGTGATCATGATTTTGATAAACAATACCTCGTCCTGGTGTCCCCTTCAAGTAACATAATATATGTTCTACAGGATTCCAGTGATCAACTGTGGGAGATGACATATACTAACTCACTACACTCACTGAGTATGCAATATTTGGACGGGTAACTGCGAGATAATTAAGTTTTCCAACCAATCTTCTATATCTCTCTGGATCTTCGAATGGCACACCTTCGTGAGTAAGTTGTACATTAGGAATCATAGGAGTATTGCTCGACTTTGCCCCTAGTTTCCCTGTTTCAACTAGCAAGTCAAGTACATATTTGCGTTGAGATAGAAATATGCCTTTCTTGCTTCGTGTTACCTCAATACCCAAGAAGTATTTCAATGAGCCTAGATCTTTCGTCTGGAATTGGCTATGAAGAAAATTCTTAAGAGCCAAAATACCAGCAGTATCACTCCCTGTAATCACAATATCATCAACATACACCACAAGCAATGTGATACCTGCTTTAGTTCATCTATAAAAGACAGAGTGGTCTGATTGACCTTTTATCATTCCAAATCGTTCAATTGATTGACTGAATTTTCCAAACCATGCACGGGGACTTTGTTTCAAACCATACAGAGATTTGCGAAGTCGACACACTTTCCCATACTCCCCTTGAGCAACAAATCCCGGAGGTTGCTCAATATAAACTTCTTCCTGAAGGTCACCATGCAAGAATGCATTTTTAATGTCCAATTGATGTAAGTGCCAATCATGAGTTGCAGCGAGAGAAATAAGTAACCTGACAGATGTTAATTTAGCAACAGGAGAAAAAATGTCAGAATAATCAACACCATAGGTTTGGTTTGAGCATAACCCTTCGCAACTAATCGAGCTTTCAACCGAGCATAAGATCCGTCTGGGTTAACCTTAACAGCAAAGACCCACTTGCATCCTATAGATTTCTTCCCTGTAGGCAAGTCAACCAAATCCCATGTACCATTAAGATCTAAAGCATTCATTTCCTCTACCATGGCATGACGCCATTCAGGATGAGACAAAGCTTCTTTAACAGATTTGGGAACAGAAATAGAATCGATGGAAGCAATAAAAGAACATGAGGCAGGGGATAACTGACTATACGACACAAATGAAGAAATAGGATGAGTACAAGACCGTGTACCCTTTACGTAGTGCGATCGGAAGGTCAAGATATGATGTAGAGACAAGATCTGAAGATGCATGTACCGGTTCAGGACATGAGATCAAGGACGGACCAATATCAGGATAAGTAATCACAGGTGTCACTGGTGGAGGGTGATTTGGTGCTTTGTTTCGACGGGTGTAAACCAAGTGTACTGAAGGTCTGGGGTCAGGAACATTAACATGTGGAATAACTACAGAAGGTGTAGATTCCGATATAGTGACAGAGTAAATGAGTATTTCATCATTGTCCCCATGAATATCTGTCTTGGATGATGAAAAAGGTGTATTTTCATGAAATGATGCATCAATGGAAACAAGATATCGACCTGTACTTGGACAAAAACATCTATACCCCTTCTGAACTCGAGAGTAACCCAAGAAAATACATTTTAATGATTTGGGGTCTAACTTTGTAAGATGAGGATTAACGTCTCTAACAAAGCAAGTGCAACCAAATATTTTAGGTGGGATAGGAAAAAGCTCTTTATTTGGAAATAAGCAGTGATAAGGAGCTTTACCGTTTAAAACAGAAGACGGCATACGGTTTATCAAAAAACATGCGGTAGACACGACATCCGCCCAAAACTGTTTAGGCACATTAATTTGGAATAGAAGAGCCCTTGCAGTTTCTAACAGATGTCGATTCTTTCTTTCAGCGACTCCATTTTGAGGAGGTGTGTCTACGCATGAAGTTTGATGAATAATGCCATTTTGAAGCATAAAAGATTTAAATGGAGCAGAGAGATATTCTTGGGCATTGTCTTCCCTCAACACACGAACAGGAACATTAAATTGAGTTTTAATTTCAGCACAAAATGCAGAAAAATGAGTAAATAACTCTGATCGGCGTTTCATAAAGTATAACCAAGTCATACGAGAATAATCATCAACAAATGTAACAAAATATTTGAAACCAGATTTGGACACAACAGGACATGCCCACCAAACATCAGTATGAACAAGATCAAACGGAGCGTTTGCTCGTTTATTAAGTCGAGGACTTAAACTAGTACGATGATGTTTTGCAAATTCACACGACTCACATTGTATAGATGACACCTTATTAAACTGAGGATATATTTGTTTCATTAGTGGGAGAGATGGATGTCCTAAACGGTAATGAGCTTCTAATAGATTTCCAACCCCAAGACAAGAGATACCTTTTGTGATTGACGTATCCAAAATATAAAGACCATCTGACTCATGTCCTTTACCAATAGTCTGCTTTGTAAACAGATCCTGAAACACACAATATCCAGGAAAAAATGTTACAGAACAATTAAGAGTACGTGTGATTTTAGTGATGGAAAGCAGATTAAATGCAAAATTAGGAAGACTCAAAACAGGTGATAATGGTAATGTCAAAGTTGGGACAACAGTACCGAATCCAAGAAAGGTGAGGTAGATCCATCAGCTAAAGTGACACTAGAAGTAGGTAAATATGAATGAAATGATGAGAATAGACTAGGGTTACCAGTCATATGATCTGTGGCACCTGAGTCAATGACCCATTTCGAGGATGAGGAAACAAGACATGTGTTTGAAATAACTGAATTAGCAGCTACCTGAATTGGTAGCAAATAAATTTGGCATACTCGTCTGAAGAAATAACAATTGTTCCATCAGATGAACTGGTAGCGGAAGCAACATGAGCTAGCTGATTTCCTTGATTTTTGAACAGCAATTTTCTACATTCTTTAATCAAGTGTCCGGGCTTCTTGCAGTAATTGCATATTACTCCTCTGTCAAATTGACCCATACAAGACATTTTTTTTTCTTTTTTTTTGTTTTTTTTTTCTGTTTTTTTTATGAGAATGTAATGAATTCCAAAATTGAGATATCCAATGAGAACTTACAGCAGTCCGTTTGTGGACTCACCTTGGAAAATAAAAGATCTAACTGATTGGGCTTTGACTGAGCAGCCCGTTTGTAGACTCGACCTGGAGAATAAAAGATCGATGCCAGAGTGCCATACCCTAACGAAGAACAGCCAGACAAAGGAGTGTGCGTATGTCCGTTATGAAGCCTGGAAGGAAGAAACAAGATTTCCACGTAGCCTGGACGGTCTCTTTTCGATGTCAGCGTACTGAAGAGCTCGAACAACGCAACCATCCCAAAGAGACGCTACAGCAAAGGATAGGCGATATGCAGGCGAGCTGGTTGGCGTGTTCCGATTGGAAATCTGGCCGCAGAATGGACGTCACGTGCCGGCGCGTGATTTGAGGTCACCGAGCTGTGGCGGCGCATACGACTCAGTCGCGTAGAGTTTGGGTGTCGGACTTTGGTTTCTGGGTCGTCGGAGGCAGCCGCACCACCTGGGTACGGTGGTGATGAAATGTGTGGTCTGAGAATTTCTGAGGTCTGGTGGGCAGACTCTATGCTAAGGAATTTTCTAGGAAATTAGCTCAGGCTAATTGATTTTCTGGGAAATTAGAATGGAGCCTAGAGGTTCTGAAGAATCTGAAAAACTGAACTCAAGTTCCTTGAAGGAAGAATCCAGTCTGAAAATTAAACTGAAATCTGAAGAACTAAACTAAAATGGAAAGCTCTGATACCATGTTGAAATATAAACTACAATGATATTAAAGATGGAGAGAAGGATTTTCTGTGTATTTCATTAGTTGTGGAAGTCCCTATAAATATACATTACAAATAGAATATTCCTATATAAGATTCTATACAATAATAATATCTATGGTATATTCCTAATATATTCTATAGCATATTCTAAAGTATATTCTAATATACTTTCACAATATTGAATTGGTAAAAAGTGAATAAAGTAAAAAATGAATTGCAACCATCTTAACATCCAAAATCCAAATATTACCAATGAGACAAACTTAGTGGGACGGACGGAAAAGGTTAAATGGAAAAAGATAGGGGGGCGGAGGGAGTAATTTCTTTAAAGTGTCTGTAGGCAACCGTCTAATCACCAAGGTGCTAGGCGGTAGTTGAACGGCGACTTGAGCCAAGCACGATTTAGTACACTGTTAGTAATACAAAAGATACTAACTGCCATTGTAGAAAATAGCTATACGGTTCAGCCATTTTTCAAGGAGCAAAATAAAAAAAGCCAGACTAGTGTCAGAAAATTAGTAAGCATACCTGTTCTGATAACTTCATCCTTAACCTTGAAGCATCTTTGTTATCTTTTGCAACAGTGTCCAAAGATAACAGACTCTGTAACAAGGTGCAGGTGGAAGCTAGTATATTTAAGCTTGGCAGTTTAAGATCTGCTTGTATGTCTACAACAACATTTATTGATGAAACCTGCGAGGGTAAGAAGCAAAAAAAGTGCTTAAGTACTGTGTAAAGGAGCTGTTCATCTATTATTAACAAACGGCAAAAACTATTAAAGAACTGCATTACCAAATCTAAAAACATCCTGGGTGAAGACCAATGAGCATGCACACAGAGACTGTGGATAATCTTCTCCTGAACCTATGTATCTCGAACATTATTACACTATTTTTCTGAAAACGAAAAGAACCTTAGCTGAGGACTAATGTACCTTTAGATCACTTTCTTTCTGCAATAGATTATATATGATATCCCACGTAGGAACAGGTAAAATCAAGAAAAACTTTGAAAGAATTGATATGATCTCAATCCTCCGATATTCTGATGAAACAACCATTCCAGTAGAAGCTTTTGCATCAACAGGTGCAGTATCTGCATCCTTAGAACCGGTATCCATATCCAACTCCAAGTCAATGATTGAACTTTTCCGACTACTCATTGGGTAAGAAACATATTGAGAACCAGAGGCAGTAACACCAGGACTATCTGTGTCAGGAGAAAAGTTCCTTTCTCTTTTCGAACATCCATCATATAGTTTAACCACAGTCTTCAGAAGTCTCTCAACAGATTGAAAGATCAAAGTTTGTATAACATTGAAGCCATTGATGTCATCTTGCTCACCGAACAGTGGAGAGTGAAAAAAACAACTCAATGATGCTATAATGGTTTGTGTGCTATTGAAAAAGGTGTTTGATCCCAAACCAAAACAAATAATGTCATCATATGTTTTCTCCATGATAAAAATAGCATGATCCAAAAAATTCAACAAGTATGTGCTTAGATTGGAGAAGAATGTGACATTTTCTCTAAACCTGCAAGGAGAAAGGAGCGCATTATTACAACGGGGCTGGAAATGCTATTATACCATAGACCATAAAAATAAAACAAGAATCATCACTAAAGTAAAAGATTTCAAAGGTCCAACTAACTTAAAATATGCCACTTAGGCCTGCAAACATTAACTCGTAAGTCACTAGGAGAAGCACACTTTTATGCGACGGTTGAAGTTTCAAAAAGAGCACAACATTTTAGTGGATGTGGGAAGAGATAGAAACAAAATTTCCCTCAAAGTTGCGACTAATTTTCGACATGCCAATAAGGCATACGAACATCAAACCATAAGTCACAATGACAAGCACACTTCTATGTGACTATGTGAGATGCAAAATGCGCTCAATAGTTTAGGGAAAAAGAAAGCGAGAAAAATAATGTATCTAAATGTAACCCAGAAAGTTGCAACAATATTTTAGTGGAAGCAGGAAAGAGAAAGAAACAAAATATCCCTCCAAGATGCAACTACCTTTAAACATGCCAATTACGCATCACAAATATTAACTCATAAGTCACAAGGAGAAGCGCGCACAAATTGTGACAATAGAAGATGCAAAATATGCACAACATTTTAGGGGAAGCGGGAGAGAAAATGTGTTTAAATATAACACAGAACATTGCAACTGTCTTTTGATCTGGCGCTTAAGTCTACCAACAATACCTCGCAAATCACGAGGAGCACAGTATTATGCAATTGTAGAAATATAAAAATGAAAATAAATGATAAATCAAACATAATATAAGAGTTAAAAGGAATGTAGGGGAATCAGCACATAAGCTATAACAGTTATGCTTTGGAAAAAAAAGATAATTAGGTTACGCAAAGAGAAAAGACAAAGAATGGTAAGCAGGTGCACATTGGACTCCAAGATCTACTAATGAACAAGCGCGTAATTTAAGTTGTACAAAAAAAAAGATAAAAGAACTTAGATACACATCAAATAATGGAATTTTGTTAACCTTGATGAACCATGCATAATTTTAAGATTCAGATATAGAACAGACCCTGTAATATATGAGTTGTACATGAAATTAGATAGAAGAGAACAAAATAAGATGACATCTGATAAAGGCATCCCTTCCATCTCAATTTTCTTGATAGCTTCCAAAATATGGTTTTGCATTTCATGACAGAGTGGATCTCTAACTTGTCGTGGAAGGCGTATACTTGGGTAGCAGGGGTATTGAAAGTCCTGAAATTTTTTTACAGAATAACAGTAGCACAGCTAAAAACAACAGAAAGTGTTTTTATCAATAGAAGGGAATGACAGAAGTAAATTGTATGTTTTCACCTTGAAAGCAGATTCCTCACCAATCTTTGCAAGGACTTCAACAGAGAATTCAAAAAACTCATGTGGACTGCCATCCTCATGTTCTTGAACCTGTGACTTTCAGAGGTCAGCACCGAACCACATTATCAAACATCAAAGCAGTAGTCATGAAGCGGTTGAGTCTCATCCGTGATAAGATCCGAGGGTGCTTCAATAATCTCAATGACACTATCATGGGCCTTGCCTCGAGAGCCTCGAATGGTAAATTAGCCTCCGCAAAAGTTTATGATCTCCGAAGGGTCAAGGGAGAAGCTAGGACTCCTATGAGTTTCATATGGAAATCCTACATTCCCCCCAAACTCTCATTTAATGCATGGCTGGCCTTAAGAAACCGACTACCTACACAAGATAGCCTCGGGTATCTTTATATCGTGAACCGGTGTGATCTATGTCAGGGTGGTTTGGAAACAATACCACACCTTTTCTTTCTTTGCCCCTTTACTTGTAGGGTGTGGCATCACGTAAGGAGCTGGATGGGACTAAGACATGAGATGTCTACCTTGCTGAGTTCAATCAAATGGATCAAGAAGACCCATAAAGGATCAACGTTGAAGGCCAAAGCAGCCCGCATTGCTTTCTGTGCAACAGTGTACTACATTTGGCATGCTAGGAATGAGTGCAGATTTGATGGAAAGATGAAGAAGGAGGAAGAGGTTGTTGCTAAGATCAAACATGTGGTGTATAAGGTACTCTACAACATATACCCACATGAGTTGATCACATTTTGATAAGAACGATGAAAGCCGTTTGTATAGCCTCGGTTTTGATAGGCTATGTGTGTGCACTAAGGTGCAGTCCTGTTTTGCTTCTTTTTGATTTCCTATGCCGCGGCATAGGTGAGCCTTATGGCTATCTTTGGTGATGTCCGTTTTGAAGTGAAAGCTCCTTCCAACCCTCTCCTATCACAGGAGGGGGTAGGGGGGAGCTTTAAATTTTGTAAACTTTACTTTGGGTAATAATATATTTACATTTTATCCAAAAAAAAAAAACAGTAGTCATGAAAAAGTGCAATCTGAAGTTCTGAACTGAAAAAAGAACAACCTTTTTCATATCATCCGCAGCATCAGGAACATAATGTAATGGAGAAAAACAACCATTTCCTGTCAAAGCAGAATAACCTGTACAAAGTGCAGATACAGCAGCAGGCAACATGGCAACCAACTGTTCGTTCAGCATTAGAGAATCCTACATTAAGAAAGAGTGGGGGAAATCATCTAGCAATTTCAAATTCACTAATTCATATTCTTCTGTTGACATAGTATTCAAACAGTAATAAGTAAAATCTGGAAGGCTTTCAAACAGTAATAACAAAAAAAATGTTTATAATGGAGTAACTGAATGATGGCTTCTTTCGCAAAAACATAGAGAATGAGTTGGTTAAGCCGTGAATAAAGTGGAGAGATCCTCCAAACAATGCATAGCATGAGTTGCACATCATAGGGGAGAGTGGAAGCTTGAATTATCCATGAAAAATTAATTTCGTAGAATACTGAGGAAGAAGGAGGAGAGTTTAAGGAGGGGGATCAAGTTGTACTTGCTCCAAAACCTCTTAAGACAAGCATACACATATACACCAAAGAACGGGGAAACGAAATTTAGATGAAGCGTACGTTATGAATGCAATAGTGTCTAGGGAGTGTAATAGTAAATAGTGCCAACTTAAACAAAGTCAAACCTTAGAGTAGAGCAATGCCAAAACAGCTCTTAGAAGAGTCTGTCTGAGATAGAAAACATCCTTAAGGTCACTCTGCACAGTTTCATGAGGGAAAAAACATCAAAAATCAAACACATCAGATATACATTTACCCCCAAAAAATATAAGTTTTGCAAAAGCTGCTTCTCTGCAGAAAAGGGAGTTCTGCAAACGTGCAAAAGTATTGATTTCACATTAAGAAATGCTAGTAACATAGCCAATTCAAATCAATACAACCAAGTAACCAACTGGATATAGATCCACAGTAAGCATCAATGTATCAGTAAAATAATATAGCAATCCTCATATTGGGAGAGAAAGTTTGTAGAGAGAATCCAACCCCCAAAACCTTCAGCAAAAGACATACAAAATGTTGTATGTGCATTGAAGAAATAACTGCTTTTTGAATGAACTTTTGTATTCCAATTGTTGAAATATAGAATATAAACTGGTTAAGGAAGAGAGAAGGATTTTGTGAATTTGTGTGTATTTCATTGGAGGGTTAAGTCTCTATAAATATACATTACAAAGATAGAATGATCCTATAAGATTCTATAAAATAATAATATCCTAGAGTATATTCCTAAAGTATTCTAAAGCGTATTCTTAAGTATATTCTAACATCTTTCACCCTCCCCCTCAAGTTGGAGCATAGATATTTATCATGCCCAACTTGTTGTTACATAAATAACCAACTCAAATTCCATTTAGTTCTTTAGTGAACGATTCCAAGTTGTTCTCTAGTCTTCACATATTCTGTAGAGATAAATCCTTTTTGCATCTTCTCTCGAATAAAATGGCAATCGACCTCAATATGTTTTGTTCTCTCATGAAACACCGGGTTGTTGGCAATGTGTGTATAGCAGCTTGGTTATCACACCAAAGTTTAAGAGGCAATGGTGTTTTGAATCTATTTCACTCCATAAATGATTTATCCAGATTATCTCACATGTCGATTGTGTCGTAGCACGATATTCTAATTCAGAACTAGAACGAGAAACGACATTTTGCTTCTTACTTTTCCAAGAGACAAGATTACCACCAACAAAGACGCACTACCCAAATGTAGTTCTTCTATCATCTTTGGATCCAGCCCAATCAGCATATGCAAAGAATTCTACTCTCATGTGATCATGATTTTGATAAACAATACCCCGTCCCGGTTTCCCAATAAAAATACATGCATTATCACTTCTTGTGATCACAATATCATCGACATATACCACAAGCAATGTGATACTTGCTTTCGTTCGCCTATAAAAGAAAGAGTGATCTGATTGACCTTTTATTATTCCAAATCGTTCAATTGATTGAGTGAATTTCCCAAACCATGCACGAAGACTCAATTTCAGACCATAAAGAGACTTGCAAAGTCGACAAACTTTTCCATACTCCCTTAATGCTACAAACCACAGTGGTTGCTCAATGTAAACTTCCTCTTGAAGGTCACCATGCAAGAACGCATTTTTAATGTCCAACTAATGTAAGTGCCAACCATGAGTTGCAGGGAGTGAAATAAGTAACCTGATAGATGTTAATTTAGAATAATCAACACCATGGGTCTGAGCATAACCCTCCGCAACTAATCGAGTTTTTAATAGAGCAGCAGACCCATCTGGATTAACCTTGACAGCAAAGACCCAATTACATCGAATAGACTTCTTCCCTGTAGGCAAAACTACCAAATTCCAAGTACCATTAAGACCCAAAGCATTCATTTCCTCTCCCATGACATGGCGCCATTCATGATGAGACAAAGCTTCTTTAACAAATTTGGGAACATAAATAGAATCAATGGAAGCAATAAAAGAGCATGAAGTGGGGGGTGTATGTCGATACGACACGAAGGAAGAAACAAGATGAGTACAAGACCGTGTACCTTTACATAGTGTTATTGAAAGGTCCGGATTTGATGTAGAGACAGGATCTGAAGATGCAGGTATTGGTTCAGACCTTAAGATCGAAGGTAGACCAGGATCGGGATAAGTAACCACAGGTGGAAGGTGATCTGATTTGAATAGATGATACTTTATTAAATCGGGGATATATTTGCTTCATTAGTGGGGAGAGATGGGTGTCCTGGTCGAAAGTTACAACCACGAGACAAGAGATACCTTTTGTTATTGATGTACCCAACATATACAAACCAGCCTACTCATGTCCTTCACAAATAGTCTGTTTCATTAACAGATCCTGAAACACACAATATCTAGGGAAAAATGTTACAGAACAAATATGATAGAGACCTCGACTTATGGGCTTAATATTTTAATAAAATGTAGTAATGGGTTGGACCAAGTAATTAGATAGATTGAGGGCAGCCTCATTTGGAAAAGAATAAATAGAAGGAATAGAAGAGGAAGAAGGTAGGCTGGAATTCAGTTGGAATTAGTCTGGGAGTCTCAAAACTGTTTCTTCCCTTTCTTTGTGTTTTCTGCTATTATATTTTGGTCTACTGTTGCTGTGAGGATCGGTTCCTGTCATTGGTATCAGAGCGCTACGATTGCTGGTTTGGAGATTCTCGCGCTAAAAAATTTATGTCGTAGATTGAGAACCAGGAAAAGGTAGAAACAACCTCAACTATCGTTCACCAATTGGGTGGCGGATATGAGGAGCTGCTTAACCGAGATGCGCAACAAGTCGTGTTAACAGAATAGCATTGTCCAGAAGCGTCGCCGGATACCTAGAGGCCGAGCGAGGAGCCCTCCTAGACGCCGTAGGCCAATTGAAAATCAGGTAACATCGTTCATCGCTCTTCCTTCGCAAACGCGAATGGCTTCTTCCAGTTCGCAATCGCGAACTTCATCTTCCCGTTCGTTGACTTCATCTCTAGCTTCGCCCAGTTCGCAGTCGCGAACCGCGTCGTCTCCCAGTTCGCAATCAGCTTCACAGCAAGCCGATTCTCACAGTCCACAGGAGTCGTTGCCAACAGCTTACCTCAGTTCGCAGCCGTCGCCAACAGCTCTCCACTGTTTGCAATCGTCACCTGTTAGAGTCACGGGAAGTCAAACTATTGATAATAATAATAGTATTAGCTATTATGATAAAGTGTATTCCAGAAGGAAAGGGAATATTAAGTATCTAGCTGTATTGTTTGTGGGGGTCGGGTGGACTTCTATAAATAGATAGCTAAAGGAGGAATAAGCAGGCTGTTATTTGGTATTGGGCTGGGACTGGAGAGTTGACATCTCTTTAACTGTCAGGGCACTTTCTATATCTTTTCTGTTGTTCGAATAACCATTCCTGTTCACTGTTCATCTTCGTTCATATTTTCTGCCGCCATTATTACTGATTCCAGATAGATACTTAACATCACCACGAGCAGATGTACCTGTTTCATCTGTCGCGTCGCGTTCAGCTTCTCACAGGGCCCAGATTTTGACGGTATGATATCCTCCCAGTTCGCAGGGTTCACAAGCAGCTTTACATAGGGCGCAAACCTCATCATTCCTACAGGAGTCATCCACTTCCAGAGCCATGGACCACGTTGAATCAAAAAATGGATCACCCGTAACTCAGCCGCCTAAACTGACCACTAAATTGATGCCGGTTGCACCATCAGTTCTGGAACCTGGTAAGGACAATTATCTTATTCAACCTTCGGGACAGGGTCTAACAGTGTTGATGATGCTCCTGCTGAAGTTCCTCTGAAGTGCATTCTGTTGCTGGAAGAGCTATTGGCTTTATTATAACTGGAATGGGGGAAGAAAACTTCCCAAACTTGGTGCCTTGGCTGTTAGATATTCTAAAATCTGAGGGCAGCAATATTGGACTCTATGGAGCTGCACAGGGCCTGAATGGGGTGAGTCATAGGTGTGAAGAGATTGATCTGCTAGCTGCAATTCCTGAAGCTTTAGAAAGAACTGCTATACCTTTGCAGTCCAACTTAGTAGTTGCTATTGCGTGTATGGAACCCTTGGAAGAATGGAGGCAAGTGAACAAGGAGGGTGCCTTTCACTACTATAAGAAACACACTGTCCAACAAATTTTTATCACAGAGGAGAAAGTGAGAAACATTAAACTGCTGCTGGTTTACCTCAAAAGGTATTGGAATCTTACTCGTAAAGAGGTTCTTACAATGGAAGGGATTGATGGAAGAAAAATAACAGATGAACGTTTTCTTGAACTAAGTGAAAGTGATGCTAAATGTAATAGTCAGTGGTTCCCTGCTCCCAATAATCCGACTGATAAACTGTCCACAGAGGTTGTCAAAGAAACTGGTGAACAGAAAATCATTGTTCAGACTCGAAATGATGGCTCGTCTGAATCAGCAGAAGCCGAAAATAGCGAGGTTCTCTTGATGGCCCGCTATGCTCTTGTTGCACCAAGGAGCAAGTTAGCTGGGCTGCCTGGGCATCTTATTGTCATGAAGAAATTCTGGGAGGATCGGTTCCTATCAAATTAAGAGTACACATGATTTTACTGATGGAAAGCAGATTTAACGCAAAATTAGGAAGACTCGGAACAGGCGGTAATGGTAATGTAGAAGTTGGAACAACAGTACCGCATCCAAGGACGGGTGAGGTAGACCCGTCACTCAAAGTGAAACTAGAAGTAGGTAAATATAAATGAAAGGAAGAAAATAAATTAGGATTACTGGTCATATGATCTGTGGCACCTGAGTCAATGACCCATTTCGAGGATGATGAAACAAGACATGTGTTTGAAAGGTAGCCTCTCTAAACGTTTGGCTGACGAGCGTTGATTTGGAGCTGCGGACTTTCAACGCCAGGTCGGAGACGGCAGGAATGGTGTAGTCAGAAATTCGCCAAGAAGATGGTTGGACCTGGCAGAGATGGAGGTAGTTTGCTTGATACCGAGATTCTGAATTTGCTTGAACTAAGGCTCTGATTTCTAAATAGAGGTTCTGGTTGATGGTGATGGTGTGTAGAGAGGTTCTGTCCTGGATTGAGTTTCTTGGAGACAGAATGCCTGAACTGAACTCAGGTTCTTGGAGAAAGAACAGAGTCTGAATACTAAAAACTGAAATCTGAAAACGAAACTGAAATATGAAAACTAAACTGAAACGGATGGCACCGATACCATGTTGAAATATAGAATATAAACTGGGATAGGAAGAGAGATGGATTTTTTGTGTATTTCATCGGAGGGTTAAGTCATGATAAATATAATATATGGAGTACAATACAAAAATAGAATATTCTTATAAGATTCTATACAATAATAATATCCTAGAGTATATTCCTAAAATACTCTAAAGCATATTCTGAAGTATATTCTAGCATCTTTCACACCAATCATCCAAGACAATACATAAGCTGCCCGCACAAAGAATGCATTTCCAAACATGTACAAATGTAGCTACAAAATTGTTAGAAACGTCAAACTGAAAGGTATTAATATTTAGGAAAACTCACTTGAGATCCTCTCCGAGAAAAATAACACGAAATGAAGTATAAAGCGGATCTGGTAAAAGAAAAAAACTTTTTAACAGTACTATGAAGTGCAAAGCAGGAATAACATTAACAATGACAAAAGCTATATTAAAATAATAAATAATAACAAAAATAATTCGTAGTATTTTTTATAAATCAGACATCCGATTGGCTAGAAACTAGGCCTATGGTCACTCTCTCCACTTCTCCAGCATTAACCACTTCCTAGAGTGAAACTAAATTAAAAAATTGAAAACTGTGTAAGCATATCATGTTAATGTACAATATATACAAAACTAATAAGGTCAGGTGCAAAAACGTCCAAGAGGAAAAAAACTAGGAGCTTCTTAAATTGATTCCTATATCCCTAATTTTCTGCCTTACACCTCTTTAAGTATTACCCCCTCCGTCCCATTTAAAGGTTCCCGTCCACTATTCTCCGGTCAACGTGTATCGTTCTTAATCTTCTACTTTATATATCCAATTTTTATCAAATATAAATTTTCTTGATCAGTCTTTGTAGCGTTTTTAATATAGTTTCTGAATATGTAAATTTTATTTACTAAAAATAATTCCACTAATGACAGGGATTAGTTAACTTTATGGTCAGTCAAACGTCGTAAAACGTGTGGGAACGTTTAAATGGGACGGAGGGAGTATTCAAATACACTGTTAGTTAGTAAGTATATTTCCTTCCCCAATTAACCCATTTTTACTCAAGTTCAAACTAATGCAAGGTCACCGTCCCCTCAAGAGACCAGCATTCGCATCATATATTTCTAGATATCATTCTATAGTCTTCTAGCCAACAACTTAACTAAGCCAGATTCCTAATGTAGCAAAGAAGTAATGTGTTCCAAAAGTCCTTGTATGAATAAATAATGCATACTGTTGACGTGACAAATGAAAATTGAAACTTGTTATCAGTTATGTAAGCACAACTAAATAACTTACATTGACGGCAAGCGTTTAAATAATTTAAGATCCCATAAATCTTGGGGCACTATGAATTCATTCATTGTATCCTAAGACATGATGCAAGAAGATGTTAGAAACAAGCTACTGTGCACTCTCATAGAAGAAACCGGCATTTACTTAACAAAGTAGCAAAGGACATACAATGAGAATTATGTTACCAAGTAGTAGCAATCCAGCATCCACCTGCATACCCCACTCACCATTCAAGTGTTACAAAGAAATGGTCACCATAAGAAAAGGTACAGCAACAAGTTAAAAACAAAAGTGAATGAGGAACATAAATTTCCCAACACGAAATAATCAATTTAGTCACAGCGACAAACACTCAAAGCTTCAACCTTCATCAAGTATAAATGTATGTGTGATGCAAAAAGGCAAACATTTCACAAAGTAGAGACACTATGACTGATACACCTTATTAATAAGTAACATCCAACTCCATTACCAGCTGCGATTCATATTACACATTTCGTTTCCTACTCTGAATTAGATAGTAAACATGAAGACGAATACATTATATCAATGCTGGAAATGTCCAACATTCAAACTATATCATTCATAGTCATTATATATTATAAAACACTATGTAAACTATGCCTAAAACACTATGTAAACACTATGCAAATACACCCATACACATGAGACAGTACTTGATAATTTTATATTAGCTTGTAACATGTCATTTGCCTACTAGAGAAATGTAGATAATATCATGTATCTGGTTTAAAAATATTGCAATTTTCAACCTAGAAATCAATATTTACCTATCAAATAATAACTTTTAAATCATGATCTGCAAATAACTTACAAGTGCAGTGACAGCACTGAATGTAGACAAACTATGCATTAGACAACTCCATACTGTGTGCCATCTTTCGTCGTACTGAAAAATTAAGAAAACATAAGTCAACAAAAGTGTTACGTTTTCTAAGTGGCAAAAAATCACGACTGAAAAAGAAAAGTCAAGAAACTCAAAAGGTGTTCAGACCCAAGATTTGTGGTAAAAATACTAGACTATTTGAACTATCAGTAATCTTCAGCAAGACTAAATTCCAATCATGAACATGACAATAAGAGATCATATTTATAGAACCAACACATCCCAAAACATTGTTCCCAATAGGAAGTGTTGAGACCCTAACTTAACCCTAGTTGTTCTGGGCTTAGCTCACCTTGTATAGGAATCCTTAAATGTAGCTATGTATAGGCCTACTTGTTTAGTCTTTTGTAAGACATTGATATAGTTGATGTCCTACAAATAACTCAATCTCACATATAGTTGATACATGACATATAGTTCATTAAATGAGGTTGTGTAACGAATAACTCACATATAGTTAATACATGACATCACGTGGTATGTTTCACCAATCTTCTTGTGTTTAGACACCTCAACAAAATGGGTTTGCGGAACGTGAAAACCGACATTTGGTTGATACTCCTCGCACTCTACTACTCTCTTGAGTACTAGACAAATGTCATTCTCAATGCATGTTATCTAATCAATAGAATGCTCTCCTCAATACTTAGTAATAGTATTATTCCTACACATCAGTTGCTTCCTTTACCGCCTCATGTGTATGGGTGTATTTGCTTTCGCCATGCAGTCATGCTAGACCAGGAAGATAAAAAATGTTTGCTAAATTCATCAAATGTATCTTTCTTGGATGTTCATGACTTAAATAGGGATATTGTTTATATTCTCCATTACTAACGAAGCATTTTATTTCTATTGATGTCACCTACATTGAGTGATAACTTTATTGTTTATCTTCCCCCACTAATACACCAATGTATCTCAACTTCTTTCTAGATCTCAGACCATTTCCTACCCGAAGAATGAGCCTCGGAAGGACCTAATGGCGACTTCCTTCGAAGAAACGAGGAATGATCATCAGAAGGCAAGAGAGTCGTACAATTTTTATACACAAACGGGCCTCAAAGCATTTTCCTTGCAAGGTCAAAGCCATAGAGCTTTCTAAAAGTCTTCATTTTTCCTCTCCTTTTTCCCGTAACTTTACACAACAACAACAAAGTCAACAACATCTAAGTCTTATTCCCCAAAGATTTTGGGGTCGGCTAACATGAATCGATTCATGATATCATAGCCAAAAAGAGAAGAAAGATAAGAAAAAATATAAATTAAAGTAAAATAAAATGGATAAGATAAAGATAACTTTAAGATAAAATTAACATAAGAACATCATTTTCATTTCATTTTCATTTACCCCAGTGCCGCAAAGGCTCCCACCTACGGTGGGGTAAGGGGGGTCAGATGTACGCAGTCTTACCCCCGTACTAAAGCACAGAGAGACTGTTTCCGGATGACCCATAGTGAAAATCACGTCCAAAATTGCATGGACCGACTGCTGCTCCATAACAAAGAAGCGCAGACAGTTTAGTGAACCATTTTGCTTTATTCCATCATAATCTAAAGCCAAAAAATAATGAATCTTTGGCTCCATTGCAAATGATGGAAAAAAAATTAACATAAGAACATAAGAAATATAAAAGATAAAAAGATAAAAGAACATAAGAAAAACATAAAAGATAAAAACTAACACAAGAGCATATAAAGATAAAGAAGATCAAAGATAAAAGAAAAAGAAAGATAAGAGATCAATCGTCTACATGAATATGTGTCATCGACTTTACTCTCTCCACAATCATACTCTCATCCAATCAAGGAAGAAGCATATCTTTTTGGGTCTTCCTCTCCCTCTCCTCCCCACCTCTTCTCCCCGGGAACCTCTCAAATCATCTAATTGTTGTCCAATAAAATTTACCCTTCAATTTAGTCGGCATAACTTGATCACATAGAAATCTTGATGCATTATTCCATGTCATCCACCCTGCTCCGATTCTATACGATACATCTCCATCTAATTCACCATCCTTCTGAATTATGGAGCCCAAATAACGGAACATATCACACACCAGTATCTCCTTGCCATCAAGGATAATCCCACTGTTACTACTACTTCTACCTCCACCAAACTTGCACTCCATATACTCAGTCTGAAACCTTTTGTCTCTAATGTTTGTCATCATACTTCAAACTATGCTTTAACACTTGATTGTGTCTCATCATTCAATACAATATTATCGGCAAACATCATGCATGACGATATATCTTCTTGAATTGATTTTGTAAGTTCATCTATTACTATAACAAATAAGAAAGGCCTCAGAGTTGGTCCTTGGTGCACTCCGATAGTAATAGGGAATTCTGAAGTCCTTCCTACACTTGTACGGACACGAGTGGACTTGTAGTACAAGCTTCAAGTATATCAATGATAATGTTGATATACTTACGTGATATGCCTTTTCTAGTTAAGGCCCACCAAAGGACTTCTCTAGATACCCTATCATATATCTTTTCTAAGTCAATGAACACCAAATACAGATCTTTTTTAGTCTCTATACTTCTCCTTGATGCACTCTGGCAGTAATAAGGAATTATGCGGTCCTCCCTACACTAGTACGAACATTTGTAGTACAAGCTTCATACATATCCACGATGATATTGATATACTTATGTGATATGCCTTTTCTAATTGAGGCCCGCCAAAGGACTTCTAAAAATACCTTATCATATGTCTCTTCTAAGTCAATGAACACCAAATACAGATCCTTTTGGTGTCTCTATACTTCTCCACAACTTGTCTAAGAAGGTGAATGGCCTCAGTTGTTGAGCGTCCAGTAATAAAACCAAACTGATTCTCTGAAATTTTCACACTTTTTCAGAGTGTTTGCTCAACCACTCACTCCCAAAATTTCATGGTGTGACTCATAAACTTAATCCCTTTATAATTGGCACATTCTTGCACATCATATTTATTTTTAAATAGGGGAATAAGAGTACTCTTCCGCCAACTCACTCGCATTTTGTTGTTTCTCCAAACGTGTAGCAGAAACGTGTTGGTCACTTGAATCCTCTCTCCCAAACTTCTGCCCCATTACCATACAATCAGTTTACCATACAATCAGGTATTGTAAGATCAGCAATACCTTGCACTTTATTCCCGTTGAACAAGGTATCAAAGTATGACCTTCGTCTCTCTTTTATTTCCTCGTCCTCCATTTGTACCTTTTGATCATCATCTTTCAAACACTTAACTTTTCTGATATCTTGAGTCATACGATCACGAAAGCGACCAATTTTACATACAACCTTAGTTTTAAAAGGCGCGAGGCGGCACGAGACATTTTCATTGATTTACCCGAGGCACGAGGCGCGCGCCTCACGGATCTTAACATCATATCTTTGGTAAGATATATATTATACTATTTCTAGTCTTCTACATGAAGCACTCATCTCAAAAAATGATAACATGACAAAAATACTTCAAACTATTAAACAATCTTAACATACATCATAAGACAAATCAAATATTTATTAAGACAATAGCAAGAAATAAATATCAAACGGCGTCATTGGCAAGAGTCAAGTCACAAAACTCAATCTTAAAATTTCAAAACATAATTAATAAGATGTTATATAAAAAATTGTTAATAATAAAATATGTCCTATATATTTGTTAAATAAAATCAAATATTTAGGTACCCTACTCAGCATGATCTAGAACAGACCAACAGAGGTAGAACACTACAATTTCAAGGCAATAAAATATAAAAGGAAAAAGGGGCAAATAAGCCCATGTACACCAAAAAAGGTCAAATAAGCCCTTATACAGGAGGCTATGTCCGGCCGTCGTCATTTGGGGCGGTTCCCGGTGGAAATTTTTGATGCAATTTTTTGAACATATTATTCATTAAGTCTAGTTTACTCATACCAAATTTCAGCTAAAACTTCAATCGGGAAGGCATTCAAATGAATTCTTGAAGATAACTGTGCAGTTAAAAGCGCAGTTATCTTCTAGAATTTATTTGAATGTCTTCCCAATTGAATTGTTAGCTAAAATTTGGTATGAGTAAACTAGACTTAATGAATAAGATTCTCAAAAAAATCATCAAAAAATTCCACTGGGAACTGCCCCAAATGGCGACGGCCGGACAGAGCCTCCTATATAAGGGTTTATTTGACCTTTTTTGGTTAGTACGTGGGCTTATTTGCCCCTTTTTCCAATATAAAATAATACATACTTAATTAATAAACTATCACACGAATAAGAGAACAAACTGTAGAAGAGAAGAAATAAATACTTACCTGCGACTACTCTGCAACGCGAGAAAATAGCGGAAGAAACAGACTTGCGAGTCCTGCTACGCGAGCAAGAAACAGGACCGCAGATGTGGGAACTCGGAAGCAAACCAAATGCAGAAGGAAGAAGGGAGAAGACTAGAGACTCAATCGCCAAAAGAGACATCCATGATGCGTGAGAAGCGTGTGCCTCTCAGAGGCGCAAAAGGCATCAAAAAGCGCCATATAAGGCGCGCCTCTTGGAACCTATGCCGCCTGGGGGGTGGAAAATGCGATAAAGTGATCACCTTAGGGCACCTCGTTTTTTAAACCAAGCATACAACTCTTTGTTCATTTTTCCTTTTGCTTCATTAACGACTTTCTTTGCTTTTCATTTAACCTCCTTGTACTCATTTATGTTCTCATCGCTCCAACTTTTGCCCAACTTTTAGTAACATTCCTTTTTTGTCCTTATTGCTTGTTTCACCCCATCAATCTTCGTCTAAAACGGTTGAATCCCCAACCCCAAGGGCCCCTTCACCCCGACCCGACAGGATGGTGTGGGAGTTAATCACAGTTACTCAGTCAACAAAGCGGCAATAGGCCTTTACCCGTGCGCACCAGAGGTCCACCCTTATTTCAGGTTCTGAAAACCCCATTTGGCCGCTGCGGGATTCGAACCTTGGTCTACGTCCAATTTTTCCCACCACTCGACCAACTGAGCTACCCGTGCGGGTGCCACCCCATCAATCTTCATTCCACCATGATGTGTCCTTTTTGGTGGCATACATCCTTTAGATTCTCCGAGTATCTCATTAACCACTTTGTTAATCGTCGACTCCATTGATAACCACACATCATCCATATGTGCCATTATCAATACACCATAAATGTTTCTCCAACATTTTGTGTGCAAAACTTTGTTAGAGATCCCCATCGAGCCTTCACCACTTTATCTTTGGCTTCACTTATACCTTAACCCGCCTTCTCTTCTTAACTTGAAAATCAAGCAAAAGCATCCTATGTTGAGTGACAGCACTCTCATTTGGGATAATTTTTTAATCAATGTAGCTAGTTCTTCAAATCGTCTGTACTAAATGTAGTCAATTTGGGTACTATTAGCTCCACTTCTATAGGTCACAAGGTGATAGTCTCTTTTCTTGAAGCAAGTGTTCATTACAGCAACCTCATATGTCAAGGCAAAACCCAGAATGTTCTTTGCCGCTTCATTTCTAGTGCCAAAACAATGTCCTTCATGGATACTCTCAACCCATCACGGCATGGGCCCACTTTCCTGTTGAGGTCGCCTCCTATTACCAGTTTCTCTCCATTTGGCACTCATCGCATCACTTCCTCAAGATCTTCTCGAAATTGTTGAGTGATAGATGCATCTAATCTCACTTGTGGTGCATTGGCACTTGCCTCAGACATGATCTCATCTCCTACTACCAATTTAACGATCATGGTTCGATTGTTCTTCCTAAAGACTTCCACCACACCCTCAACGTAATCACGCACCACAATAATGTGTACTCCATTTTTTGTCCTCTCTCCCCTAATACTACAAGTTAAAACCTCCGGATTAATCTCACGTGTCTTTTCTCTGACCCACTTAGTTTCTTGCACACAAATAATGCTGATAGTCCTCCTCATAACCTCGACTCCCTCAGATGATCTTATTCGCACCACATCAACCCCCACCATGCCATTACACATTTGACATAATCCTCGGGCATTGGTGTGGCGCGTCACTTCCGGGCAACGAACTAGCAACCTTAGCATTCTTATCACCACACACAGGCATGAATAACAGGCGGAGAGATGGCACGTCGCTTATGGGCGACGACCTAGCAGTAGCAATAATCATAATTTAATTCATTTCATGTGATGTGATTAAGTTATATTGTTGGCCGTAACGCGCCTACCACAACACGCTCCTCCTTTATCCTGGTTTGGGACATTTTCCAATAACTTTATATAAGGTAAATTTCATGGGCCACCTTTGGGTTCCCTAAATAAAAAAATTGAGATGTTGAAAAATAAAACCCTTATTAGTGACCCAATCAAGCGATTTTACTATGTGCCTCAAGGGGTACGCCTTGAACGATTTTAAATTCCAAGCTCAATATATATTAGACCCATTTAGGGAGTGTTTGCAAAAACTTAAAAAAATGTTTTTCAACTTTTTGCTTTAAAAAGGGCTAAAAGTGGTGAGTGACAATTTCTGCTTAAATTAACACTTTAAAGCTAAAAGTTGGAGCAGGTGGAGGGGTGAGTTCATGGGTGATTTGAACTGCTTTAAACTTTCCCTATTACATAAAAAATACTTTCTTAGCAAACACTAGCAACTTTTACTTTTTTCAAAATCACTTTTTTCTCAAACACTACCAACTACTCCCTCCATCCCAATTTACTTAGCCATATTTGACTTTTTCGGTCAAACATGTTAAACCTAATTATTTAAACTAATATATTTATGGAAAATTTAATAATTTTATACTTTTATGATAGTATTTTTAACAAAGAACATTTTCATATCATTTTCATATTATTAATACTTTCTCTATATAAACATATAATCGGTCAAAGTTAGACTCTATTGACTTGAAAAGTCAAGATTGGCTAAGTAAAATGGGGCGGAGGGAGTATTATTGTTAAGCATTTTCTCTAAAATCACTTTTTTAAAGAAGCAACCTAAATCACTCCCTAAGACAGCAAAAGACGAATAAATGCAATGTCTTCAACAAACATGGAAAATGGCTTGTACCTTGTTCAAATTAGATTGATGTGATACCTTCTCTCCGCCGGAAACAAGGAATAACAGCAAGCATGAAAGTCCTCGAAGACTCCTATACATGCAAAAAAGTTGTCAAAGAATGGAGAACAACGCCTCAAGCATTAAGTAAATAAACAAATTACATGCAGGCCTTAACCCACCACACACACACACAAAATGGAAATGGATTTTGCATAGTACTGGCTAAAAATGGTAAATATGCTTTACAAAAATAATTTTTATAGACACTGCATACAAGTGCACCAAGACAGTGCCACCTGGAGTTCAAAAGCTGGCTGCAAGAAATTAATTAACTATTTATTTATTTAAGTAAATTATACAGAGTGAAAAACATTATACAAGTTTACATGTATCAAAAAATCTAGGAGTGTGAATGTATGCATCCTTCTAAATAATAAAGCCTTCAATGTGTTCTATTTTTTCTTCCAAATAAGCCAAATTAAGTCCAGACCGAACTGCTTAAGCACTTAAATGTAATTGCTCAGAAGATCCAAAATCAACTTACCTTAAAGTCCATAGTAGACCATCATACATATGCGTGATATTGGCTTCATTGACTATCCTGGTACAATGGTACAAAATAAAGAACCTTTACTAAAGGCCACCACTATGTATACTAAAATAACTTTCACCAATCCATGCATGGCTGGCATATACAAGTATTTAGGGTTAATTATCAAAATAGGACTAAAAGTCACTCACTTTGCACAAATAGGACCAAAAAATAAAATATGTTTTCATAGGACTAATTATGTGTGTCTTGGACAAATATACCCTTATAGCTATTGAAATGTTTTAATTCATAATAAAATAATAAAAAATAATAAAAAATTCGTAAAAAATATTAAAAAAATAATAAAAATATTTCGATAATGATAATTTATTTATTTATTTATTTTCAAAAAAATTAAAAAAAAACTCAAAAAAAATAAAATAAAATTCACCGCCGCCTCTGCCGTCTCTGCACCACCACCTCCGGTCAACAGGGGAAAAAATGTCAAGTTCATTACGAATGCCATATTAATGGCAGAAAACAATGAAAATGGCATTCTCAAAGAGAAATATGCCATGTTTTTGGCATTCTCAAAGAGAAATATGCCATGTTTTTGGCATTTTCAGAAAAAAAAATGACAGTTTTTAGGAAAAATGGCATTTTTTTCACCGCCCGTAGATGGTGGTGCAGGGAGGTAGTACAGGCGGTGGGAAAGGCATCCATATTTTTTTTAATTTTTTTTATGGAGTTTTACTATTTTTTATTAATTTTTTAAAAAAAATAAAAAATTTAAACAAATTATTTTTTTAATTTTTTATTTTATAAATATTTTATAAATTTTTATTTATTTTTCTACAAATTTTTGAATTTTTTTCGAATTTATTATGAATTAAACATTTAATTAACTCATATTTAAAGGAAGGGTAAGAATGGAAGGAAAAAATAGGTATGTTTCCAATAGGACTAATTTGGTCCTATTTTGAAAAGAAAAACATAGTAAGTCCTATTTTGAGTTTTTGCCATAGTTTTAGTCCTATTTGGAGTAATTTCTAAAGTATTTAAAGGTCCAGATCTAAAGCTGAATTGGCAAATGACAATGTACAGATTTGCATATATGATGCACAAGGCATTAAACAAAATGCATCTTAAACAAACTTATCAATGCATGTCCCCATTATACAGGTTTCTAACACACACGCCCCTAGGACATTCGAGGACACAAAAGCAAATTACATGAAATAACTCTGAGGGGACATTTTTTATTAAAACATATTTCAGTGACGTTTTTGTGTCAATAAATTTCTGGAGTTTAGCATTTAGGTGGGACTTAGCATTTTAATGACTTATGTGTGTTGTGAAGATGACATATAGGAATATCATTTTTTTAAATGTCAAAAACATTCCCCCGCTAGAACTACTCAATTTCATGTGTGACGAATTAAATTTGACATTCGTATAGAAGACCATATTCAAGCTGCAATTGTTTCTTGTACTTCTTCTAGATTTTTCATGTGTAGAGTTTAATATCGTCCCTTGATATAACACACATAATAAGAAAGAAAAAAAGAACGGCAACATGTTACTAGCCTAGAATGTGTGTTCCTAAAGTGTAATTTCCCCAGAACTCCAAAAAGAAAATGTACTTTGCATAGCATCTTTGCTGCCCTGCTTCCCAATTAATATGCAGCAGGCCACCGCAGAGAAGAATTGAACTACAATTCCCAATGTATTATAAATTTATTTTTTGAAAAATAAATTTAAATTACTCTCATTTTAAATTTTCAAAATCTGAATTTTTTGATTTTTTACTAATAAGAAATGAAATATATTAATGGTAAAACTTGCGCGTTGTTAAACGTGAAAATTGGAATGTTGCAACTAAAAAAGAACGGAGGAAGTATTATTATTACTATTATTATTTTTATTATGTATGCTTCAGGCGGCTTCTTAATTAGCATTTATCTCCTTTTAAAAGTATTCCTATTCTGTTTTGGGCAACTTCTTAATTAGCATTTGCTTCCTTTTATAATTAGGACTATTGTAATAACCATGCAAGGGTCATCAGTATTATTCAATAAACAGCTTGGAAAAATTATTTCGTGTGTGTCTTAACTCTTAACAAGGTTAGGCACCAATTAATTGTAACTTAGGCTTATTTTATTATTCCTCTCTCATATTCTCCATTTCCTAAATTTGAAACGAGATCTCAACCACTCCCGTAACAGATAGATGGCTCTTCCATAGCCATGCCAATATAGTAGCATGTGCAGATGCAGAAATATAACATTCTATGGCATTCCAAGGCAATTTCCATCATTTGCAATGGAGCCAAAGATTCATTATTTTTTGGCTTGAGATTATGATGGAATAAAGCAAAATGGCTCACTAAACTGTCAGCGCTTCTTTGTTATGAAGCAGCAGTCAGTCCATGCAATTTTGGACGTGATTTTCACTATGGGTCATCCGGAAACAGTCTCTCTGTACTTTAGTATAGGGGTAAGACTGCGTACATCCGACCCCCCCTTACCCCACCGTACTGGGGTAAATGAAAATGAAAATGAAATGGCATTCCAAGGCAAAACATGCCATAAAATATAAAACAGAATCATGTGGCATATTTCTATAACATGTAGAAGTATAAGATTTTAAAATAATGAGAACATTTACAAGCACAGAAATATATGTGTATGACATGGCCATAGAAACATCAAATACTATGTTTCAATCAGTAGGATGAACTTGACTAACCTATACATATTATAAAACTTACCTCTCAAAATTTTCACAGATACTCTCAAGCCAATAGATGTACAGATCCTGATTGATGCAGGTACTATATTTATGTATGATATAGCAAAGAGCAGCATGCCTGTTGAAGCATAACAAGGTCATCCATATATCAAGGTTCATGTATAAGACCATTTCAATAAATAATCACTTAGTTTTATAAATTATCAAGAATAAAATGACAATATTAAACCCAATGAAGATTTGTTTTAAATAAAAGTTCAGAATTAAGTATTTTAGGCGATTATTTATCTTAGAAGTTAGAATGTTTGTGATTGTTTGGATTTTTTGCTGCTTCATTATAAGGATTTTTATTAATTTATTCATATTATATAATTATAAGATTAATATATTACTAGAATTTTGGGGCATTTATCTTTTTAAATTTAATTAATACAGGGCCGAGTTGCCACCGAGTAGATATCAACTGGGTGCTGGTAATACATTGTCACTTACGGATACCAAGTGTTGTTGATTATACAAAGTAAGTAGCCCCGTTTGTAAAAAATCATGAATATTGGCACGTGCCCCTGCAAAAAACACTACATAATGTCTGCTGCATTATTCTGATATCTGAGCTGTTCTTACATCCATTGATTTTAATTTTTACATGATGTAATGCATAGTGTAGTCAACCTAATCAGAGTTTAGTGAACATACAGGTTCCTTGAGTGTTAGATATGTAGTGATAAATCTGTACTACCTCCATCCCAAAATAAAAGTTATACTTCACTATACACTGATCATCTGGTCAACACAGTTCGGTTTTGATCTCTAATATTATGTATCAAAATTTTATTATATTTAAAACCAAGTTTTGCGACTATAGAACTTTTACTGTAGCTTATAAATATGTAAATTTTAAATTCTTATTCTGATTTAACAATTGCCAGGAATAAGCTTGTTTTATCGTCGGTCAAACCTTAAAGCCCGCAACGTAACTGTTATTTTAGGACAGAGAGAGTTGTAGCTTTAGCGTGTGTAGCATTTTTTATTTTTTTGAAAACCCAAGTACCTTCCAGAGTAAAATGAAACAAACTCTCATTTACCTGTTTTTCTCCTCCTAAAACTCGTGTCTCAACTACATATTTACATACTTTTAGAACCAGTAAACAGAAGATTAGCAGTATACAATAACCACGAGCATACCAAGCCCATTGGCCATTAATGAGACCCTCTTTTATCTGAACAGCAACATGTTCTCTTTTGGCTCGTTTTTCAGCTAATTGTACCTTTGAAGTATTTGTACATGCCTGAGCAAGAGAACACATTAACATCATAAAGGCACAATGTAAAAAGAAAAGAAGAGAAAAGAACACTTAAGGAAAATCGCATGTTAGAACAATTCTCATGATACCAGAACATTTGAAAAGCAACATTGCGCCTTCAGAAAACTTATTATGTTACCATTATTATTAACTAGATTCTTTACCCGTGCGTTGCACGGGATGCTAACGCACGGGATGCAGATGTTATATATTGAACTATGTCATTAGATGACAGTGGCAATCTAACGAATAGTTTGCCCAACTCGGATTTACATCTGTTAAAAATTTGGGATGGATTTTTCAGAGCACAAAGTTCGACAAAGTTGGGGTCATTTCGTACTAACAAAAACATTTTGTCATTAGATATATAAATATTTTGTTACGTATTTGTGTTTATATAACATAATTACAAAGGATCCAAGCAATCAAGGAGCGCTAAAAATATTACTGATCAAACTTTTGTAAAAATCCAATAAGCAAAAACATTAATTGATAGTATAGCTTTAAAAATCAAAATTTTCACATTATCAAACAGCCAATAATAATATGTAAGGAGTATTACATTTTCATAATAAATGTAGAAAAAGTGACTCTTTAAAGGTGTATACTTATTATTGATCATACCATTTCTCATCGAGATTGGAAAATGTACAAAATAATTACATGTTTAGGAAGTTGTAAGACCTCACCTGTAGTCAATCATGTAATGTACAACTGAATCTATTTGATGACAATCAATCATATATGAAGTTGATTCCACGTGACCGTTTAATTTTTGTAAAATGGAAGAGAAAGAATTACACAATGAATCAGTATCGTACTCAAACTGTTCATTATTGTTGCTTTCGAATTCTTAAGAATTACTATCACGATATACAAATCAATGAATCTTATAAAATCCATCTAACTAAAAATTGCCAATTTTAAAGAAAAAGATTCAACTTATGTTAAAAGAAAAACATGGTATATGATGTGCCTCCTGTCAGACACACTCCACAAAAAGAAGAATTTTCTTATAATATTACAGTAATAAAATTCTTGAACAAAAATATGACTAAACTTATTATGACTATGACTTCATATAGTACAAAGTCAAACATAATTATAGTGACTAAGATTTACTAATATAGTAAATGTGTCATTATTTTAGTTTTTATTTTATTATATATAAATATATGTCATTATTTCCATAAAAAACAGTCGCATATATTATTATACAATAAAAACCAAAATGGTAAAAATTGAGCATATAGTTTAATCATATAGATACGTTTATAATCTTCTTTTACACATATTTGTAAAGCAGTTTTTTACCATGTAATGATATTTATACCATGTAAGGCTTGGTGGTGGTTGTTGTTGTTGTTGTTGTTGCTAATGTTGTTGTTGTTACTGAGCATATAGAATAATAGGTTTAGAAGGATAAAAAATCGTTATTATTATTATTATTGTATTATTATTATCATTGATATTACTATTATCTATACCTATAAGATGTCATTGTTATTTCCTTATGTCTTGCAAGATACTAATAACGATTTTTTTTAATTAGACTAAAGCTTTATGGTCAGGTCTGTTTATGTTTGGTCTGACGGTCTAATTTGATCTAGTCAGGTAAGTGTCTGGTGTATGTATATTTTACGTATCTGTTGTGATTTGATCAAGCCTATCCTATTTAAATTTAATCTGATTTGGTCTAGTTTTTTTTAGATGGACGGATGGACGGATGGATATTGAGATTGTTAGAGTACATAATATAGAGCCTGCAAAGCAATGAGGGAATGTAAGTGAATATAGTCCGCAATAATTACCCGACAAAAGACTAGGGCGGCAAGTTCCATGATGCTACACTGAGACCTTGTCATGGATTGGTATTTCTCATCCTTGAGAGTCTCTCTCCTATGCACACCACACACATACTTAAGTGTGTCACACAGATCGGCACTTAGAGCGGGAAAAACATAATACAAAAGCACCACTAACCAAGGGAAATTGTTGCCCGATATACTCATTTGGTTCAATTCCTTGTACGTAATATCCAATAGTTCTTCTAACAAAGCACCCTCATCTGCAGCACCTCTAGTCAAATTTAATTGCAGCTTCGCATAGAACACAATTGAGTCCTGTAAGGAGGGGAAATTTAGAATCATATTTATCAAACCAAACAATGCACTACTTTATGATATTCATATGAAAACCTTCAGGCTCCGATCATGTGTTGTTTTCCAAAAGCTGAACACTAACTGCTGCACATCTTTATGGATTTCTAGGTACTTAAGGCCCAAATTTGGACCATCAATTAGCAAATATGTGTTAATGCACTCTATCAGCTTCCGTGTAACTTTTCCCTCATCCCTGAAAAGAAACAGCATGTATTGTACAGACAATTGGTAATAGCTCAAATGGAAAACAATGAACTCGGAATAAAGAGCAGTTATATTATAGGGTTAAAGCACAAATATACCCCTCACACATGTTTTGGGGTACCCATATACCGCCGTTCTTATTTTTGGATCAAAAATCTGCCCAAACTATTTTATAGGTTTAAATATACCCTTGGTTGACTAGTCAGAATTGAAAGTGAGCAGGGACGACACAAAAAAAACTAATATGGGATCTCCAAAGCAATTATCATTTGGTGGATCAAAGGGGTTGATGAGCTGCCTTCTATGCTCCATCTGTGTTGTTAATCCTGCTATTCATGAGGAGTTTAAGAAGCCGCCTAGGAATACCTCTATCGTTGAAGAAGACGCCTTGCTGCTACAGGCCCTGAGCTGTTCTTTAGACCCATGGCGGCAAGACACGAGAAGGCTAGGGTTTCTTGATTTATTTGGAGAAATGGAAAGTTTACTTTTTGAATGACAGACAGTGAAGGGTATATATGGGCTTAAAATTAACTTTGACAGTTATTTGAGCCAAAAAATAGATCAAGGATATATGTGTTCTATGGTGTATTATTGAGGGGTATTTTTGTTCCTTGTCCTTTATATTATACTACCTCCGTCCCATTTTGTGCGTCATACTTTGATTTGACACAATTATTAATAAAGTGGTTGAAAAAGTAAAGTTATGGTTGAGATTTGAGTATAATAAAGTGAAAAAGTAAAGTTATGGTTGAGATTTGAGTATTAATACAGAGTATTTCTTTCCAAAAAAAGGAAATGTGACACTTATTTTGGGACAACCCAAAAAGTAAAGTAGGGCACGTAAAATGGGATGGAGGAAGTGTGCATATAAAAATACAATGACAAGAATCTGAAAATGTTCTACCTTATTTGAGTAAAAAACTTAGCAAACCCCACTAAAATCTGCTCGCGAAGATCATTAGAAAAATCTCCAGGGGGGTTCTCAAGAAGAGAATGAAGTGTCAGAATACAGCGAAAAATCTCATCTTTAGGATTCAACTGACCATCATTTTTTGCACTAAGGCTTGTTTGCACTCTTTCCATGTAGAAAAGCATAAGACCTAGTCAGTTACAATAAAATAATGAGAAAAAAAACAATATGGAAGATGTGGCATGGCTTTTTTTGTAAAGAAATGTAGTCCGTCCAACCGATGGTTAAATTAAATGATACTCACCATAATAAGTATGCTTCCTCATGTGTAGTCCATAAGGCCTCACTGCTAATAGATCCCGCAGAATAGTGCTATACTCAGATTGGAAACTAGGAACATCCCTTAGAACATCACAGACATGTTTAAAGAGAAACTTTACCACATGGAGAAGAAGCTGAGTCTTGCCTGACAGAATAACATTCACATTATATAAATTACAAATTCATTTATTGAGAAGTGAAATGACCGAAACCTGAAGAAAAAATTGCACGGGCTCAAATTTAAAGACATAAAACTTTAAGAATGGCTTTAAAAAGTTGTGGAATAAGTGATTAACATGAGCTTAAGAATGAACAACAGAAAGAGATGGAGAAACAAATGATGTGATTGCTATCAAATGCAAACATAAATAAATTTATGTATAGAATATAGCTACCACTCTCATCGCTTTAGTACAGAGGTAAGACTGCGTACATCCGACCCCATCCCCCCTTACCCCACCGTAGGTGGGAGCCTTTGCGGCACTGGGATAAATGAAATGAAATAGAATACAGCTAGCACAATCACCAACCCATTCAGCTTGCTCTAGTTCAAGAGAGTGAAACTTGATATAAACAAGATTCATTAATTATGGGCAAATGGTCTGGCACAAGAATTGGCACATTTTTGTACATCTAAAAAATGTAGAAATGTCCAATTTTTTCTCACTAATTAATAAAGTCAAAACCAAAGATTTAAAAAAAATATATGAAATTTAGTAACATATTATGTAGAGTTCTCAAAAATCATAAATGTTTGAGACATTTGTAGATAATTTGATAAACATGTACTACCCAAATTGACATTATATTCAAATACTTCAGTACTCAAATTGGAATCAAGAACAAATAAATGCACCAAAGATAGAATAATGAATAACATCAAGTACTCATTTAAGAAAATCTTCTTAAACATAAAATAGAAATTAATTCTTTAATAGTATACTCCGTGTATCCCATATGTTCTAATAATTACTCATGTGGTCAATCCAATTCTCTTTTATTCTCTTATTAATTTTTTTCATATCCAAATTTGATTTTTTCCATTAAAATATAGCTTTTAGAGTAATTTTTTATGATACTAAATCAAACATTAAAATGTGAGAATTAATTCCCGCTCAGCCAAACTTTGTAATTTAATATGACCCTTATAATATGGGAGGGATGGAGTACTAAATTGTTGTAAATATTACTTCACATTTATATCGAACACTTTGTGACCATTTATATATTGAAAGAAATATTTAAGTTTTGACAACATTAATACCAAGTTTGGGAAACTTTACAAAAATGATCTTAAAATGTTAACAGCATCACAAAAACGGGCCCTAATAACAGAATGTTAACATTATTAAATTACGGTTCGTAGTTAATAGCTATTAAAGAGTTGGGACTATTGTTGTAAACTTCTTCAACTGGGATTTTTTTGTAAAATGAGTGCAAGTAATATTTTCTATTTCAATTTTGCCTTAATATAGTTAGCAACTTTACGTGTACGCGTTCTGGCTTACACTTCATATGGTAGCTGATATGTCAAAATAATTCCCATTAAAATATTAACATCTTTTAGGGAGAGGAACTGAGAACCAGTTCAAAGCCATGTGAACTGCTCTTCGTGAAGCATTATAATGTTGTCATCTCATTTCAAAGATAATGTTGTCCAAAACACCAACCTGAATATTGAGAGTCCTCGGCCCTTTGCACAACAACTCGAAGAGTTTTTGCGAATGTCAACTTTGGTGGCCGTTTCTTGCTTCCAGATATCTCCAGCAATACACAATTCATTAGCAATTCCACAAGGAAAGGCCATGTTTCAGCTGTCATCAAAATAAGCACCCCTCAAATTTCACACTAATATTCACTCAGACAATAACACTTCTATTAAACAATAATTATACACCGTCAACTCACAGTGAGGAATGTCATAGGGTTTAAGCATTGCAGTCTTCTCTGCAATGTACGTACAGAATGCCGCTTTCCTCTCACCATCCAGCCATGTATTCAGCAACTTCACCCCTTCCTAGATTGAAAAAATGATAACAATCACAATGAGTGAGAGGAAAGCTCTTGACGGATGTTTCAATTATCATCCTTCAGAAATTCTCTCTTTCCTTGCTTATACTTTTTGCTTAATTTTAATAAATAAAAGCCTAACCATTATAAGCTGTACCGAGAGAAAAATAGAGTTCAAAAGGTCGTTACTTCTCGAGACTTGGCTTTATCAGATGACAGCTTGGAGACGATCTCCTGGATGTCTCTTGAAGTGACCTTAAGCGCCATTTCGAAAAAGACGCTGATAATTTTAATTGCTACACGCCGAAACAAAAACTAAACTTTTGGGGGGTTCTTCAATCCAATGAACAAAATATATGCAAGATTCCTGATGAGAAACAATTGAAGAAGAGGCGCTTAATCGGATACATATCCACAAAAGCCCCCCAAAACCCCACTGCCTTCTTCCAACAAAACCCCACTCATACGGAGTAGTTCTTTATTTTGGAAATCATTCTGAATGAGATTCAAATCGCTTTTCAAAACTCTTCATCCTCTAACTTCCAAAAAAACAGATTCAGAATTAAATTAGAGCATCAGAATTAATTCTTCACTTTCCCTCAAACACTCAAACTTCTGTTTTTGCTTCCTGAGCAGAAGCAGTTTTAAGTATCAGATCCAAACATCCCTTAAATGTTAAGGCCTTAGAAGGGTGTTGCTTCGAGCACCCCACAATTGCTTAATCACAATGTCTACATCTAGACATTGTGCTTGACATCGTGAAGAAAAACTTACCAAAATGATGTAAGATCCTTCAAATAAGGAGAAAGATATTCTATTTATTGTTTTTTAATTGGTTATTTCTCATGTCACGTATGCACCGTTAACGTTTTAGCATTGGAGATGCTCTACCGTCTTCATGCTCGGTTCTATCATGTTCTTACAATTTTACATTAAATGCACATCCAATAAAATGATGTCATTGGCAAGTAATTCCTTTTTTTATAAAATGTCACAACTTTTTCAATTTTGTTCCGATTTTTATAAAAATTATATCAAATTAAATATCTTTTTATGATCTTTCATATGGCATTCATATTATATATGTAAATTTAAAAAAAAATCTGGTCAAGTCTAGTCACATCTGAAAGGCGCGACCCTCCACCTTTGAAATCTATATACTCCCTCCGTCCCGGTCATTTCTTCCGGTTTTGACCGGTATCACAAATTTATGCAAATTTATAAAGGGGTTGACTTTCCCCTTATACCCTTGGTCGAATGGGGTAAATGAATGGGTAAAATTTGAGATAAAAACTTTAATAAAATGGGAAAGTGATTAAAAGTATATTGATTGACATGTGAATAGTAAAGACTATTCACATTTGACTAAAAGTTTCATACATAGGCGACAATCCAAAAAAAAGGAGGGAGATTAGTTCCTTACATATACCACTCTCTCCTTACACACACACGCACACTTACAAACATTGCACACACACGCACACTGAAAACAAAAAAGGCAGCTTCCATGGCTGCAATATCTTCCACAGCTGCAGCTTCTTCTTCATTTTCTCCAGCTTCTTCCACACCAGGACCCCTAGACCTGCAAATAGTAACAACGGATGGTCATGGTGCTGCAGTGGGGAAAAAGGCTTTCGAACAGTGAAAAAGAGCGCATAACACATGTACTCTTAATGTTCAGTGGGAGGGATTTTTTGGAGTACTTGAAAGCTCAGAAAGGTATTTTTGTCATACTTGCTGAAGAGTATGAAGTGTCCAGAAGAACTATTTCTGGCATTTGGGACACAGTTAAAAAGCAAGTTGTACAAGGTGATGCAGTAAATGTGTGTAGGAAGTATCATGGCAGAAAAAGGATAGAATTTGATCTATCTCAAGTATCACAGATCCCACTCCATAAAAGGACTACCATAAGGTCCTTAGCAGCTGCCACCTCAATATCAAAGTCAAGTGTCCACAGATTGGTTCAAAGTGGTAACATCAGAAGGCATACAAATGCAATAAAGCCATTTCTAAGTGATGCAAATAAATTGCAAAGATTGAAGTTCTGTCTTAGTCAGATAGAGAAGTCAGTGCCACAGAAGCCTACCTTTCAAACATTTCAGAATGTGATTCGCATTGATGAAAAATGGTTTTTCATGACAAAAACATCTCAAAGATTATACATGGGGTTGGAAGAGGCTGATCCACACAGAGTATGCAAATCAAAGAGGTTCATAACTAAGGTCATGTCCCTAGGTGCAGTGGGTAGGCCCCTTTTTTCCGAAAGTGGTGAGGTCATTTGGGATGGAAAAATATGCATGTTTCCATTTGTTGAACAGGTTGCAGCAAAAAGAAGAAGCAAAAACAGAAATACAAGTGTTATGGAAATCAAGCCTATTCTTAGCATAACAAAGAAAGTGTTTAAGGACATGTTAATCAACACAGTCCTCCCAGCTATCAAGGAAAAATGGCCTCCACAGTTAAGCAAAGAAATCACAATACAACAAGACAATGCAAGGGCACACATTTCACATGATGATGCAGAGTATATGAGTGCTTCCATGGCTGATGGGTTTACAATCACCCTTACTAACCAGCCCCCCAATTCTCTGGACCTTAACATCCTAGACCTAGGGTTTTTTAGGGCAATACAATCTTTGAAAGACCAGAATGCACCCAAGACAGTGGATGAACTGTTACATGCAGTGGACGATGCTTTCAAACAACTATCACCTATGACTCTAAACAAAGTTTGGCTAAGCTATCAGTATGTTATGGTTGAAGTTCTGAAAGTGAAAGGAGGCAACAATTACAAGCTACCACACAATGCAAAGGATAGGATGCCGTCAGAAGGGATACTTCCAAAAACAATTGAGGTAGATGTTCAATTATTGGAAGCAACAGAACAGATTCTATGGCAACAAACAGAGGATATTGAAAGTCAGGGGAACTTCATAATTGAAGAAGATGATGATGTACATGCTCAGACATGATAGGCCTTAAATTTTTTGTTTTTTGTACAGGCCTTAATTTTGCAGGACACACAGACATTTGGAATTAGTACTAACATGCTCAGACATTTTGTAATACATGCTGCGTACTCAGACCTTTTGTAGAAGTACAAGCATAGTCAGACATTTTGTAATAGTAGAAACATAGTGATCTAGCAATGGTCATAATGATTTCATCATTTTGGGACAAAAACAGCACACTCAGACCTTATGAATAACTACAACATCAGCATACACATCACACACAAGTACTGATCATGGTCATCATAATATGCATAAAGTACCACATCACAGGATCATGGTCATCACAGTATGCTTAAACTACCAAAATACTTTCATATGCTCATCATAGTATGCATAAAATACCACATATGAGGGTCATGGTCATCACAGTATGCATTAACCACCCAAACATTATCATATGGTCATCATAGCATGCATAGAGTACCATATCACAGCCTAATGCTTTCATCATAGCATACCACTCAGAATGAACCAATCATAGCAGTAAAGAACCAGTACACACAAGGTCTACTTTCATCACAGTATGCATAAAGAACCAGTACACACAAGGTCTACTTTCATCACAGTATGCATAAAGAACCAGTACACACAAGGTCTACTTTCATCACAGTATGCATAAAGAACCAGTACACACAAGGTCTACTTTCACAGTATGCATAAAGAACCAGTACACACAAGGTCTACTTTCATCATAGTATGCATAAAGAACCATCACACAAGGTCTAGTTTCATCACAGTATGCAAAGAGACAGTTTAATGACAGTATGGAAGGACCAGTACACACAAGGTATACTTTCATCACAGTATGCCTAACTACCATTTATAATACCAAACCATCATGTACAACCCACATGCATCACAATAAACATAAAAAAAACAATTTTTCATCATTGCTTCCCCCAAATTACACACAATGGACACAGAGTACGAATTAAACCATAAATGAAGATAAGGTATAGAAGAAACTCCCCTAATCTGTGTCCACGTCCCACATCCTTGTTTCCCATTTTGGTAAAATTATTTTTAGGAACTCCTCCAGTCGGAGACTTCTCCGAATAGGATGCATGTCAATGCCTCTGCGTCTTTTAAGCCGATTTGGGTCCACCGTCTCCCCCACGACCTCTGCAGGCTTCTCGCTTACATCCTCGGGAAGCTCTTCTTCACTGTCCGGGATGATGAGGAGGGCATCCTCTGCCGGGGAGTTCTGAGCCATGCACCTCGGATGGAGTACCAATACAGGGTCATCTGTGTCCAACGCCACCGCTTCCTCCGGAAGAACAACCTCTTCACTCAAAGTATTAGGGTTTAGAACCATAAAAATGTGAGAGAGGGGGAGGCGGAAGGGTAGATAGATTTACAGAGGGGGAGATGGAGGAAGTAAATGGGAGAGACGGTTGGAGTAATTGAGAGAGACGGATGCAGTGACAGAGAAAGAGGAGGCGGTGGGGGTAAATGGGAGAGAGGGATGCGGGTGGGAGTAAATGAGAGAGAGAGGGATGCGAACGGGTAAAATGGAAGGGGGGTGGGAAAGGTTTTTTTTAGGGAGGGTAAAATAGGGTTTTTGGTATGGGTTGAATTCCTTTTTAGGAAAGTTGGAAGATATAATTGGAACGGCCCAAAAAGGAAAACTGGAAGAAATGACCGGGACGGAGTTTGTATATAGTAAAATAGAAAAGTGTGGGGGGGGTTTGGGGAGAGAATGGGCGGGAAAAAATGTATCATAAAAATGTAGTGAGGGTAGGGGCAGGATATTGATGTATCCCATTAATTAATACGGAGTATAAGTCAAATAAGTTAAATATCCGGACGTTTCCAAAGAGCTTTGTTGATTGAAAAGACAAAATAATAGAATATAAAATGGCGGCTGGCTATATTTGTTACTACCGATGCATGTAAATAATTTGAAGCGACCAATTCAAATAACACGTCTACATCAATTTGACTCTTGGGATTCCAATGAGTTACATTGAATGCATTGTAAATAATTTAAATAGTAATGCATCAATACAAAATGTGGGTTATACAAACGGTCGAGACTTTTAATGTGGCTCCAATTTCCACCAATTTCCACTATAAATAGGGACCTTGGCATCACTCCAGTCCACCATAGCAAGTAGCAAACCAGGCATCACTCCAATTCAATATTTGCGTAGAAATGGCTGCAATGTTCGGTTTGATTGGGGATATATGTCCTCAATCAACAACATGTGGTTTAAGGTTACGGCTGGTGCGCATGTACTATGCGCGAAGTGAAGAAGGTGAAATAAGGAGTCTTGAGTGTGTGTTCCATGACAAGGAGGTAGGTGTTTATGGCTGAGAGGAATATTCAGTTGCCAAGTATCACTACATTTTCGGTGACATCGAACTCACGCATGCCTATTGTTGAAGAACTTAACAACTTGACTGGGCCGTTGAAAACCATAGATGCACTTTACGAGACTAAAGAGGTGTCATTTTCAATTCCTGGTTTTTTGTGATGCCTATTTTTTCAAAATTTAAATTTGAATGCGTTTATAGGTTGGGAGTTTCTAGGTTCATGCAAAGGTTGTTGCGATAGAGAGTGGTGATAATTGGTGGTATTTGTCCTGTCCACAATGTCCTAAGAAACTTGACAAAACCAATTCAGAATTCTATTGTACAAATTGTGACAAGAGTTTCGTTGATGGTGTACCTGGGTAATGCGTTATCCCTTTTCCTAATTAAGTTTTGTTATAATATGAATTTAAGTGGAAAAGAAAGAATAACTTAACCAAAATTTGAATGAGTAGGTATAAGGTCATAATTTGAGTCGTTGATTCAACTGGAAATGCACTAGTAATTATTTGGGATCGGGTTGGACAAGAGTTGTTTGGAAGAGAAGTGGTTGATTGCAGAGACACCATCATAAGTGTAAGTAATGAGATTTTGACTTTTATATATGATGTATTGTATAACCGCAAGATAAAAAGTATTATGTTTTCATGACACATTAGACCGGTCGTGGGAGCGGCTTTATCCCCGTGGAGATTGAGGCAATTGTGGATTCAAGTATGTTGCTTAAGATACAAGTGAAAAGAAAGAATCTTAAAAACTACAGCTCTATTTTCAGTGTTATGAGGTTTACCAAGGATGTTGCACTAATTGAGAAATTCGCCGGGAAACCGGGTGACGATCAGGTAATTGTGATTAGTGTATGGTTTCTTATTTGGTGTTGTTTACTAGAATTGTTCGTGGATTGACTTTTTGCCTATATTCATAACATCTAGGAGTCAGATATCTTCTCCAAATATTGTGACGATTCAACACGGGAAAAGGTATTTGCCAAATTAAAAATTAGAGCACAAATTTGTATGGGCCGCGTGCAACACATAATAATTTTTGTTTTTACAAATAGATTGGTTCCTCCGATAATGAGTTGTCAACTCCTGTGAAGTTTAAGGACACGGAGAACAACAGGAAAGATGCTCAGGGTGCGAAAAAGGAATTGCTAGGAGAGTTTTCATCTAACGCTTCATCTAAGAAAGTGAAGGTGGTGGTCAAAAAGGAGAAGGAAGCTTAGTGATAGATGTTATGTCATTTGTGAAACAATTGTTTGGGAACTTTTGCGACAATTTTTGCCTGTTTTAATTTTTATCGTGTGATAAACATTTCGCTTCTACATATTTTGAATATTATGTCGTCATTGTACTTTTGCCAAAACAGGATGCTATTTTGCTTGGTTTATGATTTTTGAAATGATATATTTCGTATAATGGCCTTTCTTTTCTAGGATGATTTTCTTTTTGTTATTTTTGTTAATCATTAAAACTCACATATAATTTAAAATCATAATTAAGGTCCTATAAGTTACAAATTTACATTTCAATACAACAATTGGTATAGTGAAGCATGGATTTAATTAGAGAAAATGACAGAATTAAAAAGCTCTAAAATTTCAAAATAACGTTTTTCTTGAATATAAATTTCAAGATAAAAAAGTTCTAAAAATGTGACTATAACTTTTGGGGGGGTTTAGGAAAAAACGTGTGGCATTAATTGAGTTGTCTTTGGTATTTTTGATGTGCCTTTTGGTCTTCCAAAAATTTGCATCATGAGTACAATATTTGTTTATTGGAAAAAACGTGCACATGATTTTTGGCCTTTTGAATTCCAACACCAACCTGTAAATTGGCTATATTAAATTAGCTGCAACTCCCAATTAAGAGCATCCACAATGCACACATGTGGCACACTTAATTTAGACTAGACATGTGTGCATTGTGGATGCTCTAATGATGTGCCTTTTGAGCTGCAAAAACGTGCACATGATTATGGCTTTTGGGGGAGTTAAAAATGTGAGAATTAAAAAGCTTTAAAATTTCAAAATAACAATTTTCTTGAATACAAATTTCAAGATAAAAAAGTTCTAAAAATGTGACTTCAGAAATTTTGTAAACACAATATAGCGGATGATTGAAAAATAAATAACTTAAATTTGTGCCTTTATTTTAAAAGGTTTATTGAAAAGCATAAATTATACATTTTTTCGGTTTATTGAAAAATAAAAAAATTCCTCAAAAAAATTAGTGTGGACGTTTAAATTAGTGGGGGAACTTTTAGGGGGGGTTTGGGTGGGAAAGTGTGTGCGGTGGTGGGTATTAGTAGTAGGGTGTTTTAGGGAAAAAACGTACACTGTTAATTGAGTTGTCTTTGATATTTATGATATGCCTTTTGGTCTTCCCTATCCACTTGCATCATGAGTACAAACGTGCACATGATTTTTGACCTTTTGAATTCCAGCACCAACGTGCAAATTAGCTATATTAATGAGCTGCAACTCCCAATTAATGATGTGCCTTTTGAGCTGAAAAAATGTGCACATGATTGAGAATATGTTTAAAAATATATGTACAAAATATATTGTTATTATAAAATTTAAATTACATAAAATGTTTAAAAATATATGTACAAAATTTGAAAGTGCTACTTTTTTTACACATCCAATTAGTATTTGATTGTAGTTGTTTTCAGAAATCACATAAAATTACTAACTTTTTTTATATAATATTTAATGTTTGATAAACATGCTTTGCTATATTAGCTTAATCTCATATGGTTAAAAATGTTTAGTTCAATATATATTTATAAAAATTTTAACAATATTTTTCAGATAAAAAAGGTGAACCGTTGCTTAAGAAAAGTAAGCAATCATTGGCCTCATCTCCGAGTTCGAGATCGCCTTTGAGAGAAATTACAAATGTTAACTTCTCAAATTTGGGTATATGTATTTCTATCTATGTATGCAGTTCAAATTGTGTTTTGATTTTGCATCATTTCATATAGAAAATATTCCAACAAGTTTTCAGCGTCAACATCCATCTCAAGGCAATAACATTAAGAGCTATGTATATGTTCAACACTTGTGGAATGTAGATCCACTTGAATGCCATCTACCTCTAAAAGGTCGATGTCATAGAGGTGATTAATTAAACCTTTTCCCTTTTTTATTTAGTTTTTTAAATCTGAAATATGAATTTAAAGTATAATAATTTTAGATATAGGTGGTCCATCTCAACGAGTTCCTAAAATAAATAATTGTCTCAATGCATTATCTGAGAATGTGGATGCGATGGAATTGGGCATGCGGAGATTGGATTATTCCAATTTAAAAGACAGTGATGTTGAGAGAAAAGGTGGATCGAGTGATGCATTAACTGGTAAATCTATCATCAAATGTCAATTTTATATAGTTTTTTTCTAAATTCAAAATGTCAATTTAATTTAATGATTAATGATTGTAGATGTAGGTAATCCTTCTCAACAAATTTCTGAAATAAATAATTGTCGCGATTCACCGTTCCAGAATGCGCATGCAATGGAATTAGATATGCAAACAGTCAATCAATCCAACTTAAATGACAGTGATGTTGACGAAGATGGTGATTTCAATAATGTTCCAACTGGTAATTTTATCATCAAATCTCAATCTTATAATATTAATATAATTAAATTGGTAATTCAAATAGTCTATTCATTATATTTAAACCTCCTTTTTGTGCTTGACATTTTTTGCATATTTTTAGGGTATTGGGATGTTGGGGATCCTTCTTTCGTTTGTAGCTTTTGCGGAGCCTTATTTTGGTATGAGGAGAGATAAGCTGCTTATTATAAGGCAAAAAATCCAAAGTATTCTGGGTGTTGTTTGCAAGGGAAAATACAACTACCGCTCATAAAAAGGCCTCCATTATTTATTGAAAATCTTTTTATGGGTCAAGATGAAAGGAGTAAACATTTTTTGAAAAATATTCGTTCATACAATAATATGTTCTCCTTCACATCTTTGGGTGGAAAAATTGATTCCACCTTGCATGACGGAAAATCCCCTCCAATATTTAAGCTTCATGGACAAAACTTTCATTTGATGGGGAGTCTGTTACCGTGTGAATCTGTGGTTCCCAAATTTGCAACACTGTACATATATGATACAAAGAATGAAGTATCTTACAGAATTAATTCTGTGCGGTAAGACTGTTGTCTGTATGTATATTAATTAATATTTAAATTATTGCTTTATTACTTATTAATTATATATGCAATACTTCTTATGTTTACACAAAAAAAGAGGAGAATCTCATGATTTGGATGAAGAAATTGTTGACGGATTGAAAAATACTCTTGATGAGCATAATTTGCTGGTGAAATCATTTAGAATAGCTGGAAAGAAAATCCATGGAGAAGGATGTGTTGAGTTTAAGTTGAAGCTCATAGGAAAAAGAGCAAAGGATGGGCGAACATACAATCAACCTTCAGTATCAGAGGTTGCAGCTTTGGTTGTGGGTGATTTTGATTTGTCATTGGGGGAAGGAGATATTTTGGTCGAGACTTGCACTGGGAGGTTGCAACGGATTAATGAATTGCATCCTTCATATTTAGCGCTTCAATATCCACTTTTATTTCCATACGGGGAAGATGGATTTAGAGAAGACGTGCCTTTGAGTAATAAAAAATCTTATCAAGCCCAAGGGAGACAAATGATGAGCTTCAGAGAGTTCCTTGCATATCGAATGCACGAGAGAAATACAGAGATATCCATTATATTGCGTGCTAAGAGGTTATTTCAGCAACTTGTTGTTGATGGTTATACTCTGATTGAATCGAGCAGGTTAAGGTATATTCAAAATAATCAAAAGCAGTTGAGGTGTGAAATTTTTAAAGGGTTGAATGAAGCTTTATTGCGTGGTGACACACATCTTGCAACACAGGGGAAACGCATTATACTCCCATCTAAGTTTATAGGTAGAGCCAGATATATGATTCAAAACTATCAAGATGCAATGGCCATATGTAGATGGATGGGATATCCAGATTTATTTATAACTTTCACGTGCAATTCAAAATGGCCAGAAATACAATGATACCTTGATGAGCGTAATCTCAACCCAGAGGATCGACCTGATATTATTTGTCAAGTTTTTAAGATGAAGTTGGATGGTTTGATCAATGATTTCCGTCGTAACAAGATATTTGGCACTGTAAAAGCAGGTATTTTAAAAATTATTAAAAATTGTAACAATTAAGGTTATTGTTATTATAATTACTAATTCAATTTCTAGTAGTTGTTTTCAACTAATGATCGTTTTTGCTTTGTGGGCAAAGACACTGAACCTTCCAAACCATGCACGTGGAGATTGCTTCAAGCCATATAACGAATGACGTAATCTGCACACCAAACCAGACTCCCCCTGAGCAACAAATCCATGTGGTTGCTCCATATAAACCTCCTCGTGCAAATCCCCATTAAGAAATGCATTTTTAATATCAAGTTGGAATAATGGCCAGTGGCTCATTACTGCCATGGATAAAATTAAATGAACCGATGCAATCTTTGCTACAAGAGAAGAAGTGTCAATGTAATCCAATCCATAGATCTGAGTATACCCTTTCGCCACAAGGCGTGCTTTAAAACGATCAATCTTCCCATCAGACCCAACTTTAATCGTGTAAATCCATCGACATCCAACCACTGATTTGCCAGTGGGAAGTGGGACTAGGTCCCATGTGCCACTAGAATGAAGTGCCTCCATCTCAGCTAACATGGCTTTACGCCACTCCGGGTTGTCCAGGGCCTCATGTGTGGTTTTAGGAATGCATATACGAGTCAAGTGTCAAATGAAAGTGTAAGGAATAATTGTAATTATATTTTGATGATGCTATATTTATTAGGATCTTAGAGTACCCCCTTATTAGTAATTTGTATTAGAAATTTTCCCTTGTAAAGTTTCTTAGAATAGTCGACTGACAGAAGACCCCCCTCCCCCCCGGACAAAAGACCTTCAGATAGACTTAGTCCAGACAGAAGAGCCTTGGCTCTCTGTTGGCAGAAGACCTACCCTGGTTATCTGTTGGACTTCACTTCGACAGAATCTGTCAAGACTCTCTGTTGGTTCACTCCTTGACAGAAGACCTAAGGACCCTCTGGTAGCTATTCCAACAGAAGTGCTCGAGACCCTCTCTGGTAAACCCTCTACTGAAGACACCAGAAGGCCTGACACTTAGAGAATTTTCATGGAACTGCTTTTGCCGGTGAAACCAACGGAAGATTCCTTCAACGGCTAGAAGACTTCAACGGAAAAGCTACAGTACGCGCATTTAATGCACCCCGTACCCTGAAGAGTAAAAGCTGATGATTGGCCGACATTCCGGGATATTTCATGATAACTTTATCTCAAAAATAGTAACTCGCCAACTTTCTTGGGTCCTACTGGTCAAATCAACTGTACGCGCATTCAATGCAGTTGTCCTCCTCCTCCAACGGGAAGACAACCTCGGTATAAGAGATACACTCTGAAGAACAAAAAGAAGAGAACAACACTACTGAAAGAAAAATATTCAAAAGCTCAAAGACAAAAACTTCCATTCTTCACGAGCAACATTCTAATACGTTGGAAAAGATTATAACCTCAATATCTTTTCTTTCCAACGTAAGAAAAATCGTTCCAACTGTTCTTCAACACTTCAAACTCCTCAACTACACATCTTTTGTAACGAAGCTAGTTGGAAAACCCCTGTTCTCACATAACTCTTCTCTTACGGGAAGGACGTCCAAGTAACTGGAGTAGTGAAGTGGTGATACTTCAAGGAAGCTCAGTGAAAGGACCAATCTTAAAGAAAGCAAGGAAGTGCATCACAGGAGGCATCTAGGCTTGAAGAAGACGAGGAGAGCTTCTTAAGTGCTAGGACTAAGGCTGTCTAATTGGATTTTTTACAAGCTTAGTGGAACAGCGGATTAGAGGAACGAGTTGTTCCTTGAACCACTATAAAAATCTCTGGTGTCTTTTACTTACTGCTTTTATTTGTTGTATTTACCGTTAACTGATTAACTCCAGAAATTGGGATTCTGTGTTCAGCAGAACCCCTCATGTGAGTTAACAGAAGGCCTACTGCCTTTGCATCTCTTAGAGGCTAACCGGACAGAACCCCTACCAGAAGACCATCCGCTGTCAGTCTGTTCTGCCAATAGAACATGCCATTGTGTTAAATCTGGTACTTAGGTTGAAAAAGTTAAAAATCAGTACAGTCTATTCACCCCCCTCTAGATTGTACCCAGTACAACCGGGACCAACAGAAAGCATAGTAAGGCGTAGAGAGGCGATAACTCAAAAGGTTATATATGGGATGTGGGTTCAAAGTAGAACACGTACCTTTTCGAAGGGCAATGGGCAAATTATCCTGAGTATTTTCGGGTGCTGGGGTAGCTGATGGTGATGATACGGGATCTGTCGTAGGGGAATCAATTGGCATGGCCACAGTAGGCACAATGGGAGGAGGTCGAGGTCGTCGATGGTATACTTGTAATGGACAGTCTACCATAGGAGAGCAATTTGGGTGTTCATCACATGAGGGGGTGAATGTGAGTCTCCAGATGGATGGGTTGGAGATATGAGGTGAGGTCCAAACATGATGGGGTATCAACTGAAGATAATGGATAATAAAAGGACGACTAAATGAAAGTGACATCGACTGAAATAAAATGTTTCTTAAGTATCCAGGAAAGATACACTTTATTAACCTAGCCGACATTTTAGCTAATCCGGGTGTCGTATCGTGGACAAAACACACACACCCAAACACATGAGGTGGTAATGGAAATAAATCACGTTCGGGGAATAAAATAGAATAGGGAATTTCATTATTAAGAACTGAGGAAGGCATTCTATTTATTAAGTGACACGCAATGAGCACAACATCTGCCCTATACTGAGGTGGTGTATGCGATTGTAATAATAGGGTACGAGTAGTATCAACCAAGTGTCGGTTCTTGCATTCAACAACCCCATTTTGTTGAAGCGTGTGAACACAAGAAGATTGGTGAAGCATACCTCGTGATGTCATGAATTGATTAAAGGATGCCCCAAAAAATTCTTTAACAGTCACTGCGTAAAATTTTGATAGAATGACCAAACTGAGTTTGAATTTGAGCATGAAAAGTTTGAAAAATATGAAACAATCAAAACGCTCTTTCATTAAAAACAACCATGTGTAACGGGAAAAATCATCCACAAAAATAACAAAATAACGGAAACCTAAAGTAGAAGTTACTTGATACGGGCCCCATACATCTGTATGAACTAAATCAAACGGTAATGTAGCCCGTTTATTGAGTCGCCTTGGAAAGGATTTATGATGTTGTTTCCCAAGGTGACATGACTCACAATCTAAAGATGAAAGATTTGAGAAACCTGAAACCATACGTTGAAACTTTGAGAGACTAGGATGACCCAGACGATTATGTAAGGTAATAGCAGGTTCAACTGAAACACAATCGACTGGATCAAAAGGATGGAGATGATACACACCTTGAGATTCATGTCCGACGCCAATCGTTTTCCCCGTACAACGGTCCTGCACAATCACATAATCAACAGAAAATGTTACAGAACAATTAAGAGCACGCGTAATTTTACTGGAAGAGACAAGGTTAAAAGGGGTCTTTGGGACATATAAGACTGAATCTAATGGTAAGGATGAAAGTGGAAGTGCTTGTCCAATACCCGAAGCCGAAGTTTGAAGGCCATTAGCAAAAGTAATCAATGGAAGATTTCAGTGCTTTGTAATATGAGATAAAAGATGGGGATTACCAGAAATATGGTCTGAGGAACCTGAGTCAACGATCCATGAGCATGTTGAGTTTGAAACACAAGCAGTAGACAACCCGGGTGTGGATAAAGGCATATTAGTCAACTTAAATCGTTGATATGCTGCATATTCTTCCGGTGATAGAACAATGGGAGATGGCGGTAGCTGAGCAACATGGGCTGAGGGAGGAGGTCTCCCATGTAATTTCCAACACCTGTCTTTAGTATGACCAATGTTATGACAAAAATCACATTTAGGACGATTTCGCCTCGAGCATCCTTTGTTGTTTCCACCTTTAGCTCTCATAAAAGACATTTTCTTTCTTTTTTTGTTTACTGTTTTGTTGTTTACTGTTTTTGTTAAGGATAACAGAAATAATTTAAATATATGAAGTAGTGCATCAGCAATTAAACATCAAATAGTGCACTTAAACATCAAATAGTGCACCAGTGTCTAATTAATAGAGCAGTGCAGTAGTAACAACTTCCCAAGGCAGCAACACAGCAGCGGAATTGCAGAACAACAGCCTGGGAAGATGGAGTGACGACGCAGAGGTTAAGAAAAATATAGCTTGGGAGTGGTGAACACGGCGTAACAAAACAGTGGCAGAGGCGGACAGAGAGACGGCGACGGTACAACCGATCTGGGCGGCGCGTAGGTTGTCCGATGAGTGTTAGTGTTATGTTGTCCTAGTCGCCAGAAAATCCAGATCTTCAGGGTATCGGCTGTGAGATCTCCGGATAAGTAGAATGGAGTAGATCTGCAAATATGTTAGTGAGCTGCGGGAATGGGCGGTGGCGCGTGAGGACGCGTGGTAGCCTCCGTACGGGTACTATTCCGGGTGGTTGGCCGCGATGGTATGCTGAGCAAGGCGGTAGGTGTAGATCAGATGTTCACCACCGGAAGTGTGCTCCAACACCAATCGCAGCTACTGTTCACACCGGAAATTATGTCGGAAATGTTCGCCGGAAACCAGTGCCCTAACTAATGTTTCCCATATAGGCTCTGATACCATGTAGAAAAGTATTGTTGTATTTCATATACTCGATGTTAAATGCTATACAATAAGCTATATTTATAGCTATATTTAGAGCACTAGGGTTTCCTATACAAGATATACAAATGGGCTAAGCCTAATACTACTGGGGTTTCCACACTCTTTAACATATTTTATCCCTACATTCCCTGTTTCTTGAAGATATCGTAAAATCTTTTAGCAGCAACATAATGTAAATTGCTAGAATCATGCATAAATCTTGAAACCAAGCTCACCGGATACACAATGTCATGCATGGTGTTTGTCAAATAGATCAAGGACCCAACCAAGCTTCTAAACATGCCTGCATCAACTTTGTCTGCTTCATCATTTAGCCTTAGTTTTTCATTTACGGCAAGAGGCGTGGAGATTGGCTTGCAATTGCTCATCTGAAATTTTTCTTGTAGCTCACCAAGAAATTTTTCTTGTGAAATGAAAGTTTCTCCTTTCAGTTGTCAGACTTAGATTCCAAGAAAAAAATTCATTAACCCCAAGTTCGTCATCTCAAATTCCCTCATCATATTTTCTTTGAATTCTTGCACCATAGCAAGATTAGTTCCCATGTAAATCAAATCATCAATGTATAATGAGGCCTCACTTGGACTTTGATGGAAACCAAGCTTCTGAAAATATCCATCAATCTTGGTGTTCCAAGCATAAGGAGCTTGCTTCAATCCGTATAGTGCCTTCTTGAGACGGTAGACATTGTTTTCTTCTCCTTCAACAATATATCCATCGAGTTGTTGAATGTAAACCTCCTCTTGTAAATCACCATTAAGAAATGCAGACTTCACGTATAGGTAGCTCGGATTGTGCCACAAGAGCTAGAACGATTCGAAATGTCTCCATTCGAACAACCGGTGCAAACGTCTCGTTGAAATCAACTCCAGGTTGTTGCGAGTACCCCTTCGCAACCAATCGAGCTTTGTGTTTTTTGATTGAACCATCTTCGTTGAGTTTGGTCTTATGGACCAAATTCACCCCAATCAAATTCTTTCCTTTCGAAAGATTAACCAGCTCCCATGTGTTGTTTTTTCAGGATACTCATGATCTCCTCATCCATTGCTTTTTGCCAGATCTCCTGTTTTCCAACTTCTTCATAACCATGTGGCTCACTCGAAAATAGTGCAACAAAAGCTACATCACAAGAATTATATATATCAGCCAGACTACGTACCTTTTGAACTGGGCTTTCCGACTCGCAATGGATTTGATCATGTTCGGGTGAACCAACACATGGATTCTCACTTGCGCTTGGTTGATCACTTGTACTTAATAATGGTGGAGGATGAGTAACATATGCATGCTGGTCATTCTTCCCATTCCAAACTGCTTTTTCATCAAAAGTAACATCTCGAGAAATTGTGAGTTTGTTTGTTTTTGGATCTAAGAGACGATATCCTTTTGACTCATCACTGTACCCAACGAAGATAAGATTTTCTCCTTTTTCATCAAATTTTTCTCTTAGCTGCGACGTGATGTGAGAGTAATCAATGCAACCATTTTTTTGAAATGGTGTACCTGAGGTTTTCTTTATACCATGCTTCATATGGTGTTCACGATTTCTATGCGATCGAGGTATGACGACTAGACCGAAAGGTAAATTTTATCGTACAACAATTAGGCCGGCATTAATGTATGGCGTAGAGTGTTGGGCGGTGAAGCAATGTCACATTCAAAAGATGAGTGTGGCAGAGATGCGTATGCTGCGTTGGATGTGTGGACATACCAGAAAAGACCGCTTGAGGAATGAGGTAATCACACAAAAGGTGGGAGTAGCACCTATAGAAGATAAGATGTAGGAGTCTCGTTTGCGGTGGTTTGGGCATGTGCGTAGAAGACCGAGTGATGCACCTGTTAGACGACTTGAGGGGTGGGGAGAAAAGGCAGAGAAGAGAGGGAGGGGAAGACCCAAACAGACTTGGATTAGAGGAATCAGAACTTATATGCGTCTTCTTGGTTCGGATGAGAGTATGGCTTTGAAGAGAGAAAAGTGGAGGACGCACATCCGTGTGGACGATTGATGTCTTTTCTACCTTTCCCCTCTTTTTTCTTTTATTGTTTATCTTCCTTATCTTTTTATATTCTTATGTTATTTTTATCTTCTAGCTTTTTTATGCTATTTTATTTTTTATCTGTTATCTTTCTTATATTCTTGTGTTATTGTTATCTTATATTTATTTATCTTTATTTTATTCATTTTATCTTACTTTTTTTCCTTCCCTTTCTTGTCTGTCTTCTCTTTTTGGCATCGATATCATAGATCGATTCATGTTACCCGACCCCAAATTCCTTTGGGATTAAGGCTTGGATGTTGTTGTTGTTGTTGTTGTTGATTTGAACTCCAAATTTTTTGAATATGCTTCAGATTTCTGCTTCAAAATATAGACCCACATCATCCGAGTATAATCATCAACAAATAACAAAAAATACCTATTATTGTTGAGAGATGGGGTCTGTGTTGGTCCACAAATATCGGCATGGACTATCTCCAGGGGAGTTTTGGCTAGTTTTGGCTCTGTAAGAAGTCTTCGAAAAAAGTAGACGATGCATTTTGCCCATGATACATCCTTCACACGGACTGTCTTGCTCAAGCATATGAGGAAGCCCACACACTATGTTCTTCTTTTTCAACAAATTCATGCCTTTGTAGCTCAAATGCCCGTAGCAGAAATGCCAAATTTTATGATCGTCACCTGCTATACTTTGAACTCATCTTAATTTGAGCTATTGTAAGATTTTTCACCTTATCAACGATAAAGCAATTTTCATTGTTAAACTCCACTTTGTAATTTTTCTGCAGCAGCTGGCCAACACTCAACAAGTTCTAGGTCAAGTTTGGCACATGAAACACATCATTGATAATATAAGATGTACCTTTTCTTGCTTGAAATGCTACTGCTCCTTTACCATCAATTTTGAGAGATTTTTCATCACCAAGCTTAACTTTCGATGAATAGGACTCATCAAGATTCACAAACATCTCCTTATTTCTAGACATGTGATTGCTACAACCACTTATGAACAGGACTCATCAAGATTCTTGCTCTTCTTCTTTTATGCTCTTATTTTTCTTTGACTTCGTAAAACTTAATTGTTCTTAAACCTTAATCGTTATGGATTATTATTTGTTACTTCATATATATATATATATATATATATATATATATATATATATATATATATATATATATATATATATATATATATATATATAGATTTAGGTTCAAGTGAGAATATCATCTTAGGAGAGAAATGAGAATGATTTATAGCCATTAGATCTTGAAGTCTTTAAATATTTCATTAAGGGTAAATAAGAGAATTTGACACCATAATAAACTTATACGGTTACTTCCATTAATCTTTCAATTGTTTCCATACATGACAACCTATAATCATGGATGACCAATCATCCGATTTGTTTTTTATTACTTCACAATTCCAAAAGAATCTTTATCAAATTATTTTTCATTTGCTTAGCCAATAAAAATAAAATTCTTTATCTCATCATTTGATTCTTTCACACTTTCATCATTCTGAAGTTCGATATCACGGAGGAAGACATCTATTTTCCATGTTTTGTATAAAATCTCGATCATTTCATTACTTTATGTTTAAATATATCTTCTACTTTATTTTTTAATGCATTTTCATTTATTATTATACTCTATCTTTTACTAAACAATTGCACTAATGTAATTATAAATATTGCACCTTTTTAGTGTTATAACGGCACTGCAATGTCTATGCAAAATTTTAGAAACGTGTGAGACGACAGTGCACTTTTATTTATATTTAAATGCACATGTTTAAAGTGCATTTCATTTTGGGTAACATATTATCATTGTAAAATTTTATAGTGTTGTAAACTTATGCACTTTTGTATATACTTGAATGCACATCACATTATAACCATGTATTTTTTATACCCGTGTCTACTTGTTTTTATTTTTTCAATTCATTTTGATTAGAAAGATGTAGGGAAATGCACAATAGTATGTTTAAAGTGCAATTTATTTTTCAATTACGATTAGTGCAATTAAAATATTCAAATATATAATAAAATCAGTGATGCATAATTTTTCTAATAAAAGTGCACCAATTTAATATCGGAGTGCAAATGAACAAATCTAGATGGATTTTGTTGATGAAATATTAAAAATAATGCACAATTAGTATATTTTCTTTACCAAATTAGTTATCCGAATTTTATGTGAGAGAGTACAAAATTTAGAAATAAAATTTAATAAGAGAATTAATGTAATTTATTGTTTGGAAAGAATCGTTGCAACCTTCACAATTCCAAAGTGCAAAGGAATTTGAATAACAGTGCACCCACACAATTGACACATTTAATTGAATATCTGGATTGCATTTATTATGTAAAGTAACAACCTAAATAAAGTAACTATTAAAGGAAAAAATAGTCTGAATCAATAGGCTTTATGTATTGCATTTAATGATCCAATCCTATTTGTATGAAAAAATTGAGCTACGGTTATATGTTTCCAAATTAAGTGATGATGACTTTTACACTTTTGCCCTTAGACTTAAAACCGTTCCTTTTAGGATACTAATAGCCATTCAAACTTCAACATAATTACCATGTGCCACAATTAATTTGTATTCAATCTTAGCCTTTGATTTCATGTATTTGATGGTTAGATTTTATTCTCATTTCTCTCCTGAGACTCCTTTCTCACAGGAACCCTCCCCTATATATATATATATATATATATATATATATATATATATATATATATATATATATGCTTATAAGGCTCATATAATACTTGAATTTTGTGGCATATGTATTTATAATTATATTATTAATAGAGAGCCACATAATCACTGAGTAAGCCCGAGTAATCGAAATTAGGGGTGAGCATGGGACGATACGAGACGGTTATTTAAAAAAACTTGTCCCATCCCAAAGTACGGTTCTTTTAAAAACCAAAGAATCGGTACCGCCCTGAATATGTATAGAACCTGTCTCATTCCGTACCAATTTTCGTTACGGTTCGGTACAGGTCGGTACGGCTCTTCGGTACTATTTGATTCCTAAATAATTAACTCTCACAAAGTAAAAAATATTTTAGGTTTTAGCATAAATAAATAACTATACAAAAAATCAAGAGTGATAGTCAAACTAAAAAATCAAAAGGTATGTCCTCACATGAAAAATAAAACCAACTTAATAGTCCATATTTGAGTGTTCCTTAAAGTTTAGTATATAATTGTATTGGAGTCCAAAGTTTTTAGTAATCGAAGTGTAGATTAATAATTAATATAATGTTGATGCAAATACGGCCGAATAAACCTGCAAAAAAATGTTAGAAAATAATATAGCTCGAGTCGCGTGAACGCTGTCCTCAAGAAAGTATTTCCGACTAGCGAAAACCTTTCCCCAAGATAAAACGAGCTCTTCGGCTTACGCCGGTAACAGAATAACGAGAGTATAAACTATTAATCCAGCAAAATGTAAAAGTTGAGACAAAAAAATATTTTCTTCTTCTAAGAATGAAGCAAGGCAGCCGACTTTATACTGTAAGATTTCCAACGTTGCTAATCGATTTGCATGCGAGGTAGAAACCGTTTAATAAAATAAACGTTCATATTGATTATCAACGTTCCAATATTAAAGGATACGGAACGATTAGACAGTTGGGGTATTAAAATTGCACGTTTAATAATAATGAAAGCCATTAGCTCATTATCCACTAAGGTAGTAGCTCTTGCATTTTAAAATCTTTGAGTACATTTTAAAATCCACTAACGTTCCATGTGCATTTTAATTTTTGATTAGCATGTAACGTATCTATTTGCACTATTGATAAAATCAAAATGTTTTAAAATAATTATAAAAAACAAGTAATGTTTTATTCATTTGAAATACTCTCAATTTTTCCAACAATCCCCCACATATTATAAATGAATAATTTAGTTTTTTTAAATAGTTTAGAAAATTTCTGCTGGATTAAAGGAATGAGACTTTAAGTTTGGTGTTCGTAGACTATGAACCAAACCGAGACGATTAAGTCTTAATAAACCAAGCTTTTGGTGAAACATATAGTTTCTATGAACCAACAAACTACTATTGGTAAATCAGGGTCTTAACGGTCGTGTCTCACACTGCACAATTTCTCGTTATTACGTCGTTGTGCGCCGTAAGGCCATGCGCGTGCTTGGTGTTCATGAGTGCTCTAGAAGTTTTGTCATGCTTCATAGAGGCGGCCCCACCTCACACTCATATAGGTGATATCATCAAGTGTGTACCGCTTTTGCACACCACCCTAAAATTAAGGGCTATGATAATCATTAAGAGCTTTTAGCTCACCCTCTCAAAGAATGCGGTTTCTAGCCTATATCTCACATCATGGAAATGGGCAATTTTAGTTAGGCTAGCAGAACTAAATGGAAGACTTGTTATTACCCATATCAACTTGCTTCATGGGATCTCCAATCACACAAGTTGGGTTCTCATCTCCATTTGTTTCAAAGTGACACAAGTCCCATTTCCTTTGATGTTTCGGTTATCAATTTTCATCCTAGGGCTTTTGTCAAAGGAGTAGTTAATTCCTTCAGACTTCACAAAACTAATGGAGATAATTCCATTCTCAAAAATCATTGCACCACTTTTAAGGGTGAATGGATATCCACTATGTTGGTCCGGGTTATACTGGGTACAGTCTAGAGGGGGGGTGAATAGACTGTACCGGTTTTTAACTTTTCAAGCTAAGTACCAGATTTAACAGAATAGCCTGTTCTGTTGACAGAACAGACTGGCAGCGGATGGGGTTCTGGTAGGGGTTCTGTTCGATTAGCCTCAGAGAAGCAAAGGCAGTAGGCCTTCTGTTAACTCACAAGACACGTTCTGCTGAACACAGAGACCAAGTCTTTGGAGTTAATCAGTTCTGACTAAATGCGATAAGTAAATGCAGTAAGTAAATGACACCAGGGATTTTTATAGTGGTTCAAAGAACAACTCGTTCCTCTAATCCACTGTTCCACTAAGCTTGTAAAAACGTCTGTTTACACCGCCTTAGTCCTAGCACTTAAGAAGCTCTCCACGTCTTCTTCAAGTGTAGATGTCTCCTCGGATGCACTTCCTGGCTTCCTTTAAGACTGGTCCTGTGACACTCCAAAAATTTAAATAAAAAAAAATAATAATTTTTAGCCAGATAAATCATAAAATATTGCGGAAGTGACATTTTAATTTTTAATTGAGTCAGACAAAAATTCAACAGTTGTAACATTCTAATCAGATAAAAATTTCAAAATTTATGACGTCTTAGTCAGATAAAAATATTTCAGTAATAGGAACAACATTTTATGAAACAAGTGAACCAGATAGAAAATTTACAATTGTGACATTTTTAGTCAAATAAAAATGGTCCGATAAAAGAAGTAATATTTTATATCAAGTACCAATTATACATATGACTTGGGAAAAGTGATCTCAAAGTTTTATTAATCTATCTTTTCATTAAGTAAATACGTATCTAGACACATGCATTAGTATACGTATTTAGTGTACTAATAAAACAGCATATGCGTAGTTACCAAAATACGTAGCTACCAAAATTAGCATACATGCATTAGTATAGTATACGTAGTTACCAAAATACGGAGTAATAAAACAGCATATGCGTTTGCGCACCAAAAAAAACGCTCGCGACCGAAACAGAATCATTTTAAATTTTAATGCATGGAAACCCTAAAGTCTAGAAGCATCAGCTAGGGATATATGTGTTTGCCGCAGAAGAGAAGAGAACAGATGCACTCGTAACTATATACGCTGCATTACGGAGTACCTCATATATATAGATACATATATTGGTGTGTGGCTTCAAAGGAAAAACGAACAGAACATCGCGAGAAAAGAAAATGGAGAAGAACGCCAATAGGAGTCACCGAATCGGATTTGCTACCGCCGCCCAACACAACAGCTCGCCGGAGAAGACTGACTGAAACCGCCGGAGACGAATCAGGACGCCTACGACCTGCGTGAAACAGAACAGAGCACGAAAGCAGGGCGACCTAAACTACGCCGTCGTCGTCAAATTAGAATAACCTCCGCATAAACATTGCAGACCGCCGAGAAAACGAACGCATGTATATCACCGGAAGAGGAGCTCGTGTGTCGGGAGAGGAGGGACCACGTTGATGTGTGGCTGGACCAATCTGCTGTCGCCGCCGCCTCGCCGGAGCGTTTTCACCGTCGGGAGAAGAGTACAGAGCCGGAATCCATCCCCTGTCTTCGCTCGTTGATCGCACGACGATACTGTTGCAGGTACGAAGAAGATGAAGTACTGGTTGTTATGTTATGTCTTTACTAAATGGGTTGCTTATTTTTTTGCTTGGCCGATCAAAATTAAAATGAAAATATGTTACTAGTATGGAAATGATAAATAAATTGGACTAATTAATCTATTAAGAAGTACGTAGTACGTAAATTACTAATAGTAGAATTTTAATATTTTAGAAGGAAAAATTTGAAGAAGATCGAGATAGAAGTTTCGGTTAGGAGTTATCGCGATTTGAGGTAAGTTTCTCTGCCAATCTAAAATTGTTTCCTCGTATTATATGCTTATTATGCATTATGTGAATAAGTGTGAATTGTTGAATTTTGTGTATGAGAATTGTGAAGAGATATTATGTATATGGTTGTTGAGAAATATAAGTTAAGTACTTTTGGGGTATTAAATATTTTTTAAATACCTTCAAGATTTTTTTAGAGAAATTAAGAGGTATTTTTGAAGTATTGTTAAGCGAAGATAAAATTTACATTTTTATAAGAAGTGAGCATCTCGGGAGTGATCCGAGGTGTCGGTTTTCCACATCCGGATAAATGTGGAGGGTGATTAGGTTTGCTACTACTAAGAAGTACAGTTTGAGTTTAAAGTGATATTTGGATCGATGATCCCTTTTAAGAAGAAGTTATGGTAGTAGTAATCCCTAATCATTCAAAATATCTTATTCAGGGGTAGCTGGTAGACTGAGTCCCGACTACTCGTTACGACTTACTACTCGGGGGGCTTGGAATCCCTTTTAGGGGGTGTGCACACTTAAGGTAGTCGTTTCGTTTCCAACAGAGCAGTTGTGGTACCGGCATTTGTTCGGGGTGGCCGTCCGTAACCACGGTCCACCGGGCTCTACCGAAATGTTGAGCACCGCCCTTCTAAATTACTAGGAAGTTAGAGAAGAAGTGATTTTTGAGGAAATCAAAGAGAAGAGTTATTATGAAGTTTTATAGAGAAGTTGAGGATTTTTGTAAAGAAGTAGTCTTGAGATAAATCAAAGTGAAAAGAATTTCGACGGTGTGAGTATTTTTATATATTATTATATAAAAATTCTATTTTTGTCAAACATGATTATTTTACGGGGTTGGGTAGTACTTACTTAGCTCTAAAGCTAATTTTTGTTTTCTTTTCCTTGTTTTGTTTCTGCACTTTATTTGTGCAGGTGAGGATGATGTTGTCGAGTGATGATTGCTTGCACGGCCGAGAGCGAGTTAGAAGTCGCCTTAGTTATACTAGTCATGAAATAAACATTTACTTTTCAAACACTTTACTTTTATCAAATTAGTTGTTATGTTTTTAGTTGCCTGTGCATCTGGTTGAGAGATGACCGGATGTGGCGGTAACACTCATTTCCTATTTTAGACTTCCGCTGTATTTCTTCAACTCTTTGATGAATAAATAAAAGTTTTATTTCAATTATGTCAACGTTTTGGGTGGGAAATTTGGGGGTGTTACAGGTCCTTTCGCTGAGCTTCCCGGAAGTATCACCACTTCACTGCTCCAGTTTCTTGGACGTCCTTCTCGTTAGAGAAGAGTTTCTAGATGAAACGAGGATTCCTCCAACTTGCTTCATCAAAAAAGATGTATTTGTTGAAGTGCTAGAAGTGTTGAAGAACGAATGGAACTTTGCTTGAGTTGGAAATGAAAAGACGTGAGTAGATAATCTTTCCAACGTCTGCCTTCTCTTGTAGAAGATGATGAAGATTTAATCTCAAGGAGGCTTATGCGTTTGAATGTTTGAATGTTTTTGTATTCGCAATGTTGTAGCAAAGTTATGCGGTTGTTCTTCGTAGTGTATCCTTTATACTGAGGTTGTCTTCCCGTTGGAGGAGAAGGAGGACAACAACATTGAATGTGCGAGCAATTGACTTGACCAGTGGGACCCAGCAAAGTTGGCGGGTTACTATTTTGGGATAAAGCTATCCTGACATTGCGGCCAATCATCTGCATTTACTCTACAGGGTACGGGATGCATTAAATGTGCATTTAATGCACGTACTGTAGCTTTTCCGTTCAAGACTCCTAGCCGTTGAAGGAATCTTCAGTTGGTTTCACCGGCTTGGGAAAATTTTCTAAGTGTCAGGCCTTCTGGTGTCTTCAGCAGAGAGTCGATCAGAGAAGGTCTTGAGCACTTCTGTCGGAGAAAGCTATTAGAGAGTCTTGAGGGTTTCTGTCGAAGGGGCGAACTAACAGAGTCTTGAGGGTTTCTGTCGAAGATATGTTCAACTGAGAACCAGGAGGGTTTCTGTCCGTGAAAGAGCTAACAGAGACCCAGAGGTCTTCTGTCTGAAGCAGAGGGCCAAAGGTCTTCTGTCAGTCAACTATTCTAAGAAACTTTACAAAGGAAAATTTCTAATACAGAGTACTGAAGAGGGGGTACTCTAAATTCCTAATTAATATAGCATCATCAAAATCTAATTACAATTACTCCTTACTATTTCCCCCTTTTTGATGATGCCAAAACCCTTTAACTATTTCCAGAGAAGTGCTTTCACCATAAAGAATTAAAGTATAAAACTTTCATTAAAATCTTGGTGGGCAACTTGACATAGCAAAATAGTAAGAGTACGGTACATTCAAGATAGTAGATAACAAAACAAAATAAACAGAATTGAGAAGATAGACATGCAAAGCAGACAGTAAGAACAGATAAGGAGTAATTGCCTTACAGATTGAAAGGCAGAGGTGTTCTTTTATTAAGGAAAAGGTTTACAAGGATATTCCTTTATAGATTCTCCCTTACAGCTGCAGCTAAGGCTTGATCTTCTAGTTCTTGCAATCTTTTTAGCTCTGCATTGACAGCTTCTCGAATTTCTACAAGATTGCCAGAGCTCTGATGTGAGGCCCAGATAGGTGAGAGCTTGCAATCCAGATAGCTAAGAACACCTTCATGAATGTCCTTTCCGGGGAGAATTTTGTTGAGGTACCAAAACTCAGCTTCTTCCAAGGAGCCACCATGTCTGACCTTCACCATACCATCTCTGTCAAGATATAGGTTCTGCTGCTGCATTGGGGTCATCTTCTCATTCATTTCCTCAAACTGAATTCTATCAATTTTCTGAGAACCACCATCTCCATTCTCTGAAGTTCGAAGCCTTCTTCTTCTCGGTGCCCTTACTGGGAGGAGATGGGGGTCTAGAAATGCCAGCTAATCGCTTCTTCTGAATGGCAGCTTCAAAATATGGTGCAGGATCAACAGTTGGTTCAATAGAAGAAGATGCTTTGACAGAAGTTCTGATAGGGCGAGGCTTAGGATGATGAGGGTCCTCTTCCCTCTTTTTGGCATCATCTAGATCACCAATCATTAGAGAGAGCTTCTAGAACTCTGACGCTTGAGTAGAGGCAATCTGTTCAAGAGCTTCGGGTAGAGTCTGTGTAACAGATGTAAGCCCCTCTAACAATCCGTGCTGCTTCTGAATAGTAGAGAGGATATCTTTGTTGCTAACTTCCAACATTATCATCTTCTGATACCTTTCTTTGTCAGCAGCCAGGAGTAACTTGCCTTGGTCAGAGTGTTCCTTGCAGAGAGTGTGAAGACTCTTGAGGTTCTCTTGGATTTGGATATTAGACCTCTGTAGTGAGTGAACAGCTTGAGTGAGTGTTGTAAGAGTGGTATGCTGAGAGTTCAAAGTGTGATTCATGGCTGAAAGAACTGTCTTGACATTGACCACTTCATTGGAGATGGCAACAACTTTTGCATTGGAGGAGGTCATGAAGTTCTGTAGGGGAGTTGCAAGAGTGTCTGATAGGTGCTTGAAGCCAGATTCAAGAGTTGCATTGACCTGAGTCAGATGCTCATAATGTTTATCATTGATGAGCACAAGCTTGTTCATTCC